GGGGGGGGGGGGGGGGGGGGGGCTGCGTTTGGGTGATCATTCAGCTGAAGCGGGGCAGATGAACAGGTGGCGAGGAGCAGAGTGTGTAAGGCGAAGGGAGGCTGAAGCAGCGAGCGGGTCCTCCACGTGAAAGAGAAGCAGAATCGAAAAGGCATTGATTGTACTGCTGCACCTTATCTCCTCGGGTCCAAGTGGCTGGCACGGCACCTGGCCTACCTGTCATCAGCAAGGGCCATTCGAGATTGCCAGACGATTCGCCCAATACGCTGCCAATTGCCCCACCCATTTCCTCTCCGCAAAGCTCTCGCTATGGTACACAAGACGTGATTTTGTTGTGAGTGAGCTCAGACTACTTTACTTTGCCTACCTTGCCCGAAATGTATCAATTTAGTCCAATGCAGGCGTGCGTTGCAGGAGTGCGTGGTTGGGCTGGGCCAGGTCGACGGCCTCGACGCCGTCACGTGCATGCCAGCCGATCTCTGATGAGGTTGGGATTACAGGTGCGGCAAAGGCACGCGGGGACTCGCGCCCTCTCTATCCGCTCGCTACACACACATTTGAAAATCTGAAAAAGGAAAAAGATGGCGGTCGTACTGCGATCGATCGTGAATTGTGAAAAAGAGTGAGCTCGAAGCGCGGGCTTCTCGTACGCGGCCGGACCGTCTCTGACCGCGCGACTTGGCGGTCGGCGGTTTGCGAGAGGAGGAGGAGGGGAAGGGCGCGAGGTAGGCCGGCCGTGCGTGCATGTTGCGGCGGTTGCTGGATCGTGCAGTCGTGCATGACTGTTGATCCGCCACTGGCGACTCGACCGGCTACGTATGGCAATTTATCCTTGCCAGAGCGAGGGTATTTAGATGGCTCACACCTTGCAAGGATGGGAGCGCGCATGTTGATGCTTGCCTATAGATGGCCGAGCCCAGCAGGTTAATTTTGATTCAATTGACGGGGGGGAAGATTCAAGCTTCACGTGATTGTGTATACGGCGCATACATGATGGTACAGAGGCTTCGAGAGCGCGCGCGCGCAACATCAGCCAAAGCATGCGCCGCAGGCTTGATGAATGTGAATAAGTAAATAGCTTGGTCTCATGCATGCGCGCCGTGCTGCCTTGATCGCATATATCTCTTAATTTCTCTCTCTCACACACACTCTACTCTCTCTCTGTGTGCAGCATGCTCCTCCACCTATATGGGCGCATGCATGCATATATATGCTTCATTCGCGACTTCTTCCTTTAGCGCTCCGCTAATCACTCGTCACTTTGCTCGATCAGGTGTTTGCATCGACTTGCATTCTCCCGTCGACTGGACTCGATGTACACGAGCAGAGCGGTGTAGCGATCTTTGCTGCCAAGGCTGTGAGGTCAGAAGCTGCGGAGCTCGAGGGATGGAGTCGAATTGCGAAAGAATCACGAATGGCGGAATGACGACTGCATGGGTCAGCGAATCGTCACGCTGTGCGGTGCAAGCACGTCCGGGTATGCCTAATGCGTACTCGTGACTGTACGAGATGGAGGGGACGCTTGGCAGGAAATTAGCGCCGGATATATGGAGGGAGTGTGTGTTGCTCGGCTCGACTTGCTTCGATTGCTCTTATGCGCATAGCCTGCCTGCCTGCCTGCCTGCGCCGAGGTCACAACGGCACAGCCTCTCGCGCCAGCTCTATGGCGGGAAGCTTCGAACTGGGTGGAAGCAATCAGAAAGCACCACACCCCCCAATCGCTTGCTCGATCGTCACACTCAGCTGCCCTGCCCACCCCTTTTGCCTTGCATCGCGACGAGCAAATCTCCAAGACTGCCCAGGAGATACGAGCAGAGTAGCAAAGATGTACGACCCATTCGCTATTCGCTCGCCCGGGGCCAGGTTGCCCAGCTACGGAGCGTTGAGGGAGACGGTGGAGGAGGACATTGAGGTGTTGCGGGTGATTGAGCGAGGTGCTGCTGCGCACCCTTCTGCTCCTCTAGCATACTTTGCCTTTCCACCCGCCAAGAGGAACGATAGCTCCCACTGCGACTCTGGTGCGCACGACGGCAGCTCAAATTGTTCGAGCAGCAGCAGCAGCAGCAGCGTTCGGTCGCCCGTCACTTTTGCTCAAGGATCGCGTATCGTGGCGCACTTGGCGGCACGTTATGCACCCCTCGTATCCACTCTGCAGGATTCCAACCGTCTCGTTGCTCTCTTCTCTCAACCTCCCATTCACCTATTCTTCCATCAATCGGCTCTTTGGGCACTCGGAGTGGGAGTGCTTTTTTTCGATCAAAAGATGGAGAGGGTACAGAGAGATGCGCTGATCAAGCCTGCTCAGGCTATTATCTATGCGGATCTGATAGAGTCGGATATGGAGTGGGTCAGATCTCTCGACATGCCACAATGGGAATTGCCGGAAGATGAGCACGTCATCGCCTTGGCAGATTGGGCAGAGGCGCAAGAAAAGCAAAGAGGTGAGTGGGTCACGTTCGAGCGAGCGCGACCTATCGTGCAACCGAGCGCAAAGCGCGTACATGAGCCCCCCTCGGATGCATGAAGTGCGAATGTCAAGCTCAGAGATCCAAATCATTCCCCTCCACATTACCGATCAGCCCCGCCGCTCGCTTGGCCGCCCGTCAAAGTGCCTCATCCCTTCCTCGTGTTGCACACCTCTGCCTCGACTGGTGCGCCCAGACATTGCATGTACAGCCTCGAGTATTGGAGTCGAGGCTTGATAGAAGCGGCAGACAAAATCATAGGCTTGAAAAGAGGAAGCGGCGAAACGCGACCGCGCGTCCTTCCCACCAGCGCATTCTTCCATTCGTAAGTAAGAGAAAGGGGAAAGAGGCGAGGGCGCCGTGTGCGGAAGCGTGGCTGTGCGACCTGGAGAGCGTCGCAAACTGAGCTGACAGAATCTACTATCTCACCCTTGTACTCCCAGCTACACCGGCTATATGCTGTTGCAATTCATCGTGGGCCAGCCAGTCGTTGTTGCTTATCCCGCCAACAAGACTTCATGCACAGTGATCGAATGGCTAGAGATCATAGTTTCCTCCAACGCCGCCCACATGGCCACCTATCCGCAAGTGGCGTCGGACATGCTCAAAGTTGCCGAAGGCGATGAGCGCTACGAGCGAGCTTTGCGAGATCTGCAAAGCTTCGCCGTCTTGGGAGCAGCGGTGGACGCGGATCTTGGGGATCGCTTCAAAGCGTTCGGCATCAAGGTCGCTTACAACCTGTACGGTCTCTCGGAGTTCGGTAGCGTGATGCTATCCGTGAGTCCACCCATGCGACTAGACACTCTGCTGCCGGTCCCTGGAGCAGCCGAATGGCTCGTCATGAGACCGGCGACGAAGTCTCTGGGCGGACAAACGCTAGAGTGGGAAGCTTGGAGCATCGTGGAGCGCAATCCCAAATTGGCGCTGAACGTGGCATTGGGAGGCATCAATGCTATCATCGAGCCTTATCCGGGCGAAGGACCGGACCACGGCAAAGCCGCCTTGAACCTTTCGGATCTGTTCGAGCGCATAGAAGATCCGAAGAGCGGCGCGATTAGTTGGAAATTGATCGGGAGGTCGAGCGATGTCATTGTCTGGGCCGACACGCTGAGCGCGAGCGCGGTGAGCATGGAAGCGAGACTTTTAAAAAGTCTCAGAGATCGTCTTCCACCCGAGACGATCGAAGCGCTTCAAGTCTTTGGCCTCGCAAGACCTTGGACCGCGCTCGTCATTCAGACTTGGGATCAGAGTGCCGTCAGAAACGTTTTGCAGGATGTTTTGGACGAGTACAACAAGACTCCACCTGCCCCCATGGCCATCATTGACGCTGAAAGAGTCGTGTGCTTGCAAGATGGACTGGCTTTGACGCACAAGAGCACCGTTAGACGTCGGTACAATGAACGAGCCTTCGAGAGCTGGTTAGATAGCCTTTGAGACGGGTTGGCGCCCCAATGGAGAAACTCGTCATGCACGCCACGTGCCGATCTCACGAGCGCAGAGCATCAGCGCGATGTTGGTGGCATCCTTGTTTCGTTGTCCAAGCGGGTCAGGACTCGAGATTCACTCTCATTATTCAAGACGCAAGCGGAAGAGGTGTGAAAGACGATCACACGGTGTCAGCAGGTATGCCATTGCGAAGGAAGAGGGCACGCAGAGTTCCTGCTTCTCACGAAAAAGGCCGGAACCTCGTCAGGAACTGGCTTCGCTCCAAGATTCAACATCCAACTCGAACTCGCACAATTTTCTCACGCAAAAGAAATCGCAATCTTGTGAACAGCAACGAAATGGGTGACAGGTTGACTCGCTGGTGAAAGGGGGGAATCTGGTGACGGCAAAAGGACCTTGACGTGAAGCGGCGCACATGACGGAAGAGCATCGACCATGCGAAAGCGATTCGAGTACGGTAAAGCGAAAGAGGAGATGGGCTGGAATGTTGCGATTACAGCTTTTTTTTGTTGTTTTGTTTTTTTTTTCTGCTGTGCGATAGACCGAGCTTTGCATGCACGCTACGGTCGGCAAGGAAGAGTGCAGAGGGGCCAATCGACGGATCGGAGCGCTGCGCTTCATGCTTCAAGAGTCTGCCTTGTAGAGACTTGGAGGCAGAGAAGGCAGCCTGGTGGAGGGTGTGATTTCGAAAGCCGGCGTGCTTCCTTCCCGGCGCTCGATCGAGATACTGTCCGCACGCATCTGACCCAAACGATGATGTTGCCCGTTGTTTTCGGACCAGCGATCCGCGCCTCGCAAAGTCTCTACGTACTGCGTGGGCGAGCGACTCCTGCTCCAATTGATGGCAGCAGCAGCTTCTTTGCGTTCTTGCTCCTCCTCGATGGACCTGCTGAAACTGGTGGGAAAGGTATTGCTGGGTCTAGCATGTGGACGAGCAGGAACGGTAGTAAAGGGAGAAGCGGAAGCTTGCTTGGATGAAGCTTCCATGCTGCTCAGATAATCGTCTGCGAAAATGTTGGGAACGGCTTGAGGAGGTTTGAGCCTGCTGGGATCAAAGACGATTCTAGCGGCTACGATTGCAGTTCCCACGATGCCTATGGGAGTGGGCAAGTGCGACAAGACGGGATCGTCGACTGCCAGCTGCACCACGAAGCAGGTGGTGTTTGCGACAAAGACGATGGAGAACCAGAGCAAGTTGCTGCGCAGCACGAACCTGTGCATTTCGCTCTTGGGCAGTCGATTGCCTCCGGGAAGAGGCGCTTGCAATCGGTGCACCTTCCAGAGCGTCATGAAGAGCACGACGATGTCGAAGAGCATGCTCAGTCCCCAACCTGTCGACCTCCATCGGTGCTGCACCACGGTTCGGCACCAAGGGGCAAAGGTAGGCACCTGAGCGATCCTTTCCGCCGAGTAGGCAAAGATGTCTGCTATCCACGCTCCGATCGTCGCTAGCCACAAGAGTCCCAAAGCTGCCAACACCCGCTTGCTCTTGCCGTACATGATGTACACTCGAGCGACAAAGATGGAGTTTGCGGCTGCCCACGTCACGCAAAAGCATAGACGCAGCGCTTTGGCAGTGGCTGCGCAGTCCATCGGTCTACCGAGGAAGAAGGTGATCATGAGCGGACCAGAGACTAGCATGGAGTAACGCAGCAGACAAATGCAGATGGATCCTAAACTGGCCTGAATTCGACCCTCTGACGTGTCGAGCGGAGCATGGAGGCCATAGCGCGGCGGAGCAGCTCGAGTGATGCCTAGTTTGCGGAAAAGGCTCTTCCAGACCAGGATCTCGGAGGGCAGCCAGATGAGATGCTCCCATACTGCCACTGAGAAAAGGCATACCGAGACGTATCGAAGGATTTGCAAATGGTACTCTAGAGTGAGCAAGTCCATTGGCACTTGCGAGTCCATGATGGGGCTTGCGAACTTGAGCAGTCCAGCACTGGATGGGCTGAATGTTAGCGCGTGCGAGGAAAGGAGAGTGCTGCTGGGTGACGGTGACGATAGGGGTCTTTGGGTCTCGACAAAGCAGGGCGAGGGACGAAGCTGCCAGATGCACCGAGTTTCACCATTGGAGAGGGGGGGGGGGCTAAATGCTTGCGATCTGGACCCCCTCTCATCTTTATATACTGAGCACGCTCCAGAGCAAAGACAACATCCGATTCGTGCATGCGGACTCTCCCGATCTGCTGATTTAGTGCTCGGGTCCGCTGACCTGATGTGCTGTTTGAAAGGATTCGCTCGCAGCACGACCGATCGAGTTGCTGCGTTGGCCCGATCGCAGTTCCAGCTGCAGAGTCCGCGCAAGAGGGAGCTCGCAGACTGGATTTGAATTAATCGACATCGAGAAGGCCGGGAAAAGGTACATACAGTAAGTACATGGGCGCTGAAGCGCATGGGAGGCTTCAGAACAGCGGCAGTTGAGAAGGATAAGAGTCGGAGGACCGGAGGAGAGGGTGCATGCGTGCGTGCGTGCGTGCAAGGCTAGGCTATACAAGATATAGGGAGAGCACAGCACAATTAATTAAGGCACGAGTAGCATAGCAATTACTGCAGGGTCGGAACAAAGCGCCCAACTGCAGGAACACGAGCCTGGCGGAGGTTTCCAAGTCTTGCTGCGGGATTGCTGCTGCTGGGAGGGGGGGGGGGGGGTCGCACCTCCCTCATTTGCGGGCACTCATTGCTGCGAATGTGCCGACGATGCTGCGCAGCTTCACGCTGTCCTATGGAGCGATTGCGAGTCAAACAGGCGTCGATCTGGCTACGCTAAAGCTCTCGCAGTGCTGCTATCGGAAGATAGTGGCTGTTGATGAGCGTGCAGCATGCCACGTACACACGAATGTGACCGGCGGAGCTGGAATGAGATTTCATGCGTGCGCAAACCTTAGCAAGCAGGTCGAACACCATGCCCATGCAGCGCAGGCCCAGCTTTTCGTCGTTGTCGTCGTCGTCGTCGTTAGCATCACGTCAAGAGCAATGAAGGGGGAATAGAAACCCCGCTCGCTGTATGCATGCACGCGGACGGAGTCCGAATCGGGCTGCAAGGTGAGCCATGCCATGCAATTTACGTGCGTGCGCCCCGATGGAGAGAAGGAGAGTTGCGAATTCGCGCGGTCGGGCTCGCTCATCGGCAGAGTTTGTGTGTCCGTGAATGAGGGAGCGCTCCAAGGATCGTTTGAGCTTGGCCGCTGCACGGTCCCCTGTAGGTTCGAGCTAGGGTGATGATGTGCTGGAATATCGATAGACCCACGACTGCAAGGATATCGCGCCATGCATGCACATTGTGATTTCCGGGACTTTTTTTCAGCCCCCCCCCGCCAGCCCCCGATTAGAATTCACGAACTGCATGCCCGGCCGCGAAGCTTTCATGGGAGCCCCATGCAAAAGTCCGCCAATCGCAGTTCAACGAATCGCGTAGGAGCTCCAGCTGGGAACGCTGATCAGCCGTCGAGTACAAGCGTGAATCTTTGTTAGGCACAATGAGACGCGAAAGCGGGCTCGACACCAGTGTCCACACCGCTGCTCCTGTAGCTTGTTTGGCGAGGGGAATGCGATCGAGTGGTCTCCCCTTGGGCAGCGCGCGGGGCTGTGACATATCTACAGGTTCACTCCATCTGCATCATGTGCTCTTTGCTGGTCCTATCGCTCCATGCTTTGCTCATGTTGATTTGAAACTCCCGCACAGTCTACCTTGAGCGATGCTCTTTCTCTGATAAGGGCACTTGTGGGCTTGAACAGCGCCGTGGTGATGCCTTTCTGAAAGCCCAGCCGGCGCATCTGACCTGGCCCCACGCGGCTGGAACAGCTCTGATGCACGGGCACTCACTTGCCGAGTCCGAGAAGCAGCGCGGTCGTGAGTCGAGCGTGCTGGGTACCTATCAGCCAAGCCTCTGTGCCTCGATCATGAGCTCCAACAGGAGCTCCTTCCGCCCTGCATGCACAAGCAACGCCGATGTGCAGCAGGTGCTTGGGAATGCTCCATTGCGCTCCCCCAGGGTCAATTGTGAGTCGAGTCGGTCTCAGCGACGAGTGCGAGTGTGGACTCGGATCTGCTTGGCTATGCTTGCACTCATGACTCGTGACTGCCAGACGATTGCTGTTCTAATTCGAGCAAGGTGAGCGGATGAAGTGGGTTGATGGGGGCAAGAATTGCAAGTTCGAATTTGGGGTCTCCGTGAGCGTGAGTGTGAGTTCAAGTGCGGGTGCATGGGACTCTGATTACTCGTGACTCGTGCACGAATGGATAAATGAAGCTCAAGACCCAAGATTCTTAGCATCCATCACGAACAAGAGATAATTAAGCTACTTCTCTCCCTTCGACGCACTTGTCACGTGGCGCAATCCAACACCCACCAAGCATGATTCTTAAAATTGGCGAATCCGAATTGAAGATTTCAAAAGGTTATTCATGCGAAGATTGGCATGGCCCGTGCTCGTCGTTCCGCGCGCGTGTGCAGCATGGATGAGAAGAAGGAGCGGTACGCGCCGAATGCGCCGCGCCCGGGCCGCCAGCACGACGACCGCGCGGATGGCATACCCGCGCGCGCGCGTGACCCCGCACGCAAGCGCCGCGGAAGATGGAGATCGAAAAGGATTCAAGACGCCGGCCGCTGCGCTGCGCTGCGCTGGTGTGCGTGCGTCGTTGGACCAGTCTAACCACAATGAATCACAATCGTGAATCGTGAATGATCGCGAGAGTGGTGATGGAGTGGTGCATGAGTGGTGATGATGAGTGCACGCAAATCACTGGATTCACAATTTCTATTCGTGACTCGTGACTCGTGATCGATGAGATTCGCATGCATGCATGCACCCATGCATCACTGACTGCGCTCACATTTCCCCACCTCTTGGAATCACAATCTTCAAAGTTTCTTCCCCGCTCGCTCTTTCCATTCACCTTCATTCACTTTCACATTCACATTCCCGATCAGTGATTGTCATTCGCGACACGTACTACCGAACTCGCAGGCGACAGGCGATAGGCGACAGGCGATAGGCGACACGCTGCGGTACTCCCACCCGCTACCCGCTTTCCATTTGGCCCCCCCCCTCCTTGCCCTTCCCTCACCGCTCGAGTTGCGCAATCACAGACTCGACTGGAGCAAGTCTTGATCCATTCTACTCGACTCGCCGTGCACATTCCATCGACGTCCCAGCTCCATCTCGACTGCAACACAGCCCCAACGCCAGCTTGCTCTCGCATCTCCTCGGCGTAGATCGCATCTCCTCGGCCTCTACGCACGCACGCACACACGCACACACGACATGCCCCCGCGCAAAAGAACAGCGGCAGCAGCTGGCGGCGGCGGCGGCAACAAGTCCACTTTGACTTTGCGCAAAGATCAGGCCGATTCGAGTCCTGCTAGTGCCGCCTCAGCCTCAGCCGCCTCCGCCTCCTCTTTGCGGGACAAGTCGTCGTCGTCGTCGAAGCATCTCAAATGCAAGTTGATCCTCTACCTGCTGTCGTTGACGTGTTTCGCGTGGGTCTTGTGGCCTACGGTGGAGCCATGGGTGCTTGGAAAGTTGGACCAGCTGCGCGGAGCACTGGGAATGGGACTCGCATCTCAAACGCCTTGGTCTGCAGGACGATCATCCTCTGCGGATCATGATGGCAGACCCGATGACGACGACGCTGCTGCTGCTCATCGGTCGACTTTTGAGGATTTTGTTGCTCAGCCGAGTCTTCCCTTTGCGCTCTCTGCACGTCCATTCAACTTTACAACTGTCCTCCTATCTTCTCTTCCCAACACATCGGAGCGTCGAGCAGAAGCTGCATCGCGCTCTGCCGCCGCCGCCTTCTTGTCCGACGACAAGAAGAGCGAAGCGATCCGATTGGCTTTCAAAGATTCGTGGGACGCGTATGTTCAGGATGCGTGGGGATACGACGAGTATCATCCGTTGAGCCATTCGGGAAGCAATTGGAGCAAAGAAGGTCCGAGCGGCTATTTGATCGTCGATGCCATCGATTCGCTGCTCATCATGGGCTTCAAACAAGAGTACGAGAGAGCGCGCGATTGGATCAGGGATGAGCTGGATTTCGAAAAGGATGGAAGGTTCAACGTGTTCGAGGTGAGTGGATGGGCGAAAGGGCGAGGGCGAGGGCGATGTGATGGTGAATAGGAGAGAGCTGGCAGGTGCACGCAATCAGGCCTGCGCATCGCAACGCGCTGCTGAACTGGAGCTGACAGCGCTCTGCACTCGTTTCAACATCCCACCATCGCATGCACGCACGCACCCCACCCACATTCCTCTAGACGACCATCCGCACGCTCGGAGGTTTGCTGAGCGCCAGCGCTCTCTGCACATCCCACGCCCTCATCTCGGCCCATTGCTCAGCAGGCGATAGTGAATTGTTCCTGTCCAAAGCGCAAGATCTTGCCGAACGTCTTGCACCGGCTTTCGAAGCTACGAGCACGGGCATTCCCTTGAGAGAGGTCAATCTGAAGACGGGTGAGAGCTTTGAGGACGCGGATAACAGGGGATTGGCTAGTCTGGCAGAGATCAGCTCGGTGCAGCTCGAGTGAGTGGATGATTGTGCGCGGCACACTAGTGGGGAGGGGAGCGCGCGATTTCGCGTGGTTCAACGAGAAGCATGCCTCCAATGTCGATGAGCTCACCCTTGCCGACCTCGACGCATGCGCGTACGCACACGCTTAAAAACATGAAATTGGGCAAGATTCAAGACGCTGGCGCACTCTACCAAGACTTTTCGTTGGTGGCGCCTCTCCGAAAGACCCATGAGCGCCATCCGAAACGCTTTGCGAACGGGCGCCTCGGATGGTCTGTTGCCCATCTTCATCAACCCCAGGTCCGGCAAGTTTGTCCTGTCCGACGTGAGGCTGGGAAGCAGGGGCGATTCGTACTACGAGTACCTTGCCAAGCAGTGGCTCATCACCAAGTGAGTGCTGTGCCTTTGCGAGATGATGATGGGTGCATGCACAGGTGGGGGGCCATCAAGGCAAGGCACAGAGCTAATGTGGATCGTGGGAATTTGGCTGCGTTACGATTCTCACACACGCGCGCGCGCGCGCGCACTCTCACACACAGTCGGACGGAAGATGTGTACCGCGACATGTACGATAGAGCGATGAGCGGCATCAAGAAGAATCTCGTCAAGCAGAGCACATCCAGCAATCCTCCTTTGCTCTACACTGCAGAAGTCGTGCCTCGATTTGTTCAAGGAAGACAAGGCCCGTGAGTGTTGGGGAAGGAGGCCCCGCCAAGGCTTATCGAGCCCCGCTGAAGCTGCCTGCAACTTTGCTTTATCCTTTCCTTCTGCCCTTTTTTTCCGCCAACCTACTCGTCCCACCCCAGCGTCTGGTCGATCTTGCCCAAGCAAGATCATCTGGTCTGTTTCCTGGGCGGCAATCTGATGCTCGGTGCTCTTTCCTCGCTGCGTTCGCCAAGCTCCAGCAGCAGCGGCAGCAGCACTGCGAACGCCGACTGGCTGCGTCGTCTGCGCACCTCTGATGGCGAACTGGACAACACGCTGGACCAATCGGACGTGATGCATGCGAACGAGGTGGAAGATTGGGCATTGGGACACGAGATCATCAGGACTTGCTACGATACGTATAGAGGCACCAGAACTCGATTGGCACCGGAAATCGCACATTTTAGAATGCCGCACGAAGAGAATGCCAGCTTTGAGGATTGGTACATCAAGCAGTGAGCATCATTCGATCGAGCTGGCAGTGCGCTCTGGTGTTGCTGGTGGTGGCGGCAGCACGAGCTACTGACCGAGCTGTCGAACAGACTCACATGCTGACCTCGTCCCTTTTCTTTATACTTGTTTTTTTCTACTCTAATTGGCAAACCTTTTTTCATCTTGCCTTTCCCCCGCGGCGCCGGACCCAGACCTCCGATCGACGCAGAGACGAAAAGACCCGCAGCGGCGCTGATCGATGCGCGCAACATTTTGCGACCCGAAACGGTGGAGTCGCTGTTCATCGCCTACCACTTGTCCGGCGATCCGATTTATCGCGAGTGGGGCTGGAAGATTTTCGAATCGTTTGTGCTGCATGCTAGGGTCAAGCAGAGCGGCGCTTTTGCCAATGTGGTGGATGTGATGGGCAGCGGGCCGGATGGAAAGGCAGAGCTGGAGGATAGGATGGAGACGTGAGTTTTGCCATCGCCTCTTTCTTTTTGTTTTGCCGCACGTCGGTAGTGCGTCTGGGGGGTTGCGCATGCTATGCAAGTCGGGCAAATACACCGCTATGAAGACGGGCTGCTTGGAAAAGCAAGAGAGTCGAGACGTGTGCTTTCACAGGGTGTTGCCGGGCTGCTTGGTTTGTCTCGACTGCTTGTGGCTAAACATCGCTTCCATCCTTGCCTCATTCGTGTCAGATTCTGGCTCGCAGAAACTCTCAAGTACCTCTATCTTCTTTGTGAGTGCAGCGCAGCGACCGAGAGGGCAAAAAGACGCGCCATCGCTGATTCCCGCCAGCACGCGTACAGTCTCCGATCAAGACCTCTTGCCCTTAGATCAGTGGGTCTTCAACACCGAAGTGAGTGGATTGACAGAACGCATCGAGTCCTTTTTGCTCGATTTTTCAGCACCAGAGGTCGTTGATGGAGAAGGGCGGCTGCTCACTCGATTCCGTCGAAATTTCCCCACCAGGCTCATCCTTTGCCCGTCTTCAAACAACCCTTTCCGACAAGTTTCGATTAAGGCGCAATGCGCAATGACGGGCACACGACTTTGCCCATCGCACAAAGCGGAGGGAAACGCAAAAAGAAAAAGAAAAAACGATCATGCGCGGAAAATTTGGAAGTTTTCGGGAACAATCGGAATGCGTGCTTTGCGTGTTGGCGTTGAGAGCGAATTGGTCGTTTAGTATCTCTTGGCAGGGAGTAAGCGCATCGAGATGCTCAGGGGGCAGCCGTCCACGCGACATGAGATTGTTCAAAAGGACACGATGTGCAGGCTGAATGAGTGCAAAGATGGAGCAGCGATGGGTTCGAATCTTGGACAGGCAGAGCTGCTCGGTGGGTTTCTGAAGCGAGCATCGGGGGTTTTTGTGGGAAGGAGGTCCACGTATTCTACAGAGTGCGGTGCGCGCAGCGAAGGGGTGTTGGGTGGTGAGAGGGAAATGCACAGACTGACGTGCTGATCGATGACCCGCCAAGGCACTTAGGCCCACATCCTAATCAAGCCGTGCCTCACGATCAAGGATACGAGGAGAGTAGAAGAGAGGCAAGTCATCAAGAGGACGATGCCCATCTCTGCCATGAGCGAGTGATACTCGTCCCTCATCTTTTCTCCCGAAGCTTGATCCAGCACAATCTCTTGCGCCTTCTCCGCTGTCGCATGCAGTAGTGCCGTTTGGAGAGAGGGCGCTTGAGCGCCCGTGGAAGACTGATCGACCTGCAAGGCAGGTGGAGGGTGGAACTTTGCCCTTCCTTTGCCCATCTTTTGCAAGTTCCATAGCGTCACTCTTCGAAGCAAGATCCGAGCATTGTCCCTTAGACGATTGCCCCAGGATGGTCGCAGGTGACGGCCGTAGGATCGAGCGAAAAGAGGAGGCAAAATGAGGATGAGGACGCTCAGGTTCACTCGAAGAGATCCCCAGGGATAAGAAGTGGCGGGAATGCATAGGGCGGTGGCGAGCGATGGGCCCATAAGATACCTTGCAATGGCTGATTGTAGAAGATGTTTGTAGGATGTGTGAGCTAGCGCTCATGAAAGTAAACGGGGCCGTACTTCTGCGGTCATCGCAATGTAGACAGTTCTGCACTCACCCAAATGACTCGCAAAGCTCATGTTGCTTGGCGCCCGATTGGACGTGGAGTACAGCAAAGGCAAAGCGGGACCTTTGAAACCTTCCAGTGGAACTGCACCTCCCGTCTTGCTCAGCGGAGGAGGTGGTGGCAGGTCTCGAAGTGGGGCAACGTGCAAGAAATGGTGCGATGCAATGTAGTAGACTGAGAGTGGCCGCGTACGGGTCAGCAATTGTGCAAAAGGGAGCAGACTTTTGCAGCAGCGCGAAGAAGAACTCACAGCATCGCTCGGCTTTGGAGACGGTGCCGAAACAGCGCCTGAGAAGTTCGGGCTCGATGCCGACGTAGAAGCCCACGTGCCGCCACAGAGAGACGTAATCTTCGCGCTCTTGCATGGTGGGCGGTAGACCCATGCTCTGCAAACTCCAGAGCGGAACGATGGCAAAGGAACAGAGCGTCGCTAGCAAATCTTCCTGATTGATGGCGTCCAATGCAGAGTCTTGATTTCGCTCCTGGGCATTGTGGGCGCGGGACAAACGGACTCGGACCGAAGAGTGCAGCAAGCGAACTCTGGAAGTGGAAAGCCAGCCTTTACCGGCCGTTTGCAGCCAAGCGGCAGCATCTCGCTGCGCATGAACTTCGGTGGGAAGTTGCAGAGCTTCAACATTCTCCATCACATCCAAAATCCATTCCGTCGTTTCCAACAGTCGTCTAAACGTTCGATCTTTGGAAGCTTGACTGACCGGAACACCTCCTTTCGTCGATCCTTTGGAAGATGCTGGATTCATCAGGTAACCGGTGCTATTCAGCACTCTGCGGATTCGAGGACTGGCAAAACCGCCAGCTAGGCCTGCATGGAGCAGACTGACGAGCAACGGAGGTCCATGTCGATGGAAAAAGTCTTGGCCTGCAGCAATGACTCTCGACTCTTCTTGCAGCTCATGCGCATTCGCTATGCCCTCGTGTGGAGCAAGCACTTGGCGATGATTACCGCGCGCTTGTTCCGCTCGGATGTTTGGCAGCACGTTTTCGCAGCTCTCTGAATGTTGCTGGAGCAGATCCAGCTTCTCGGTGGGGCCTGTGGCTTCGGCCTGCGCAGCATACCACGCTTCGCTTACAGCGCCCGCTCCCCTCGGTGGTCTTCGGCACGCATCTCTGAAAAAAGCGCTTGCAGCCGAGCTGTGGGCGGCATCCACCCTTGCTGATTGCGGCGATGAATCGCTCGAAGAGAGAAGCAAGTCCGCCAGCGCTGTCAAGGGATCGCAAGAAGCAGGAGCAGGGTCGTCTTTGGAAGACGTGCCGAGAAATGCTCGAACGGCCGCGTCGGCGACAGGATCCAAAAGGCTTCTCCAGCTGAGGAGCAGGGTAATCGGGTCGGCATGTTAGCGAGAAGAAAGGAAGGTGATCTGGAGCGCAGCAGCTATCCGCTCACCTCTCGAGTACGGCAAAGGGTACGCAGTCAGCGTCCCAAACGACGATCCTATCCCAGCTCCTTATGACCTCGCCAATCTCGGGCTTTGCTCTTCTGCTTTCGCGTTGAGTAGGGTCCAAGGGTAAGGCTTCTCCCTCCGTATCGCAAGGTGGTAGATCCCAGTGAAAATCCGTATCGTCTTTGATGCTCTTGGCCAATTCTTGCGGTGTTTGACCGCGGGAACGAGCGAGTCTTGACCATTCGAGATGGGCCTTGATGGAGGAGAGAGGGGAAAAGGAGGAGGCTTGATGAGGCGAACCGTTAGATAGGAGGAGCGTGCACGTGCTGCTGTTTGCGCTACCGCCGGGCAAGGGCAGGACGAGAAGCAACAGAAGAGCAAAGGGGACGACGCAGAGCAGTGCGAAGGAAGGATGCAGACGAAGTGCGCAGCAGGATACCGTCAAGGCTAGGAGGGGCCATTGCAATCTGGCCGAAATGCTGGGCAGGTAAAAGCTAAAGAGCGTTTGGCTGCTGATGCTGAGAGCGTAGAAGAGCCAGCTGGGTAGCAGTGGCGTGTGCGAAAGAAACAAGAGAGAGACGAGAAGCATGACAGAGGGTGTGAACGGTGCTGACTGCAAAGCGTGCCCGACGTGAGTGGTGACCGACCAGAGCGGTCGCGCTGCTTTCCAAGCTGTCATGGCGCAGATGGGTGTCGGCGGCAAAGGGTTGTCAGGTTCGAGGTGTCGTGTCAAGCTGGAATGCAGGTGATGAAGAGGGGGGTCACCTTGCGCAAATTGGAGATTCCTGGCACCTCGTATTATATACGGTTGAATGGGATCTCTGCTCGATGCACTGCCCCCGAGTGCAGCTTTCCGATCGAGAGCACCAGCTTCCGCGCCACCGCAACGGAAATGCTGCTGTAGATAGCTCACCGGCTTCTAGATTGCCGGTTCAGTGAAGCCTAAAGCGGAAAGGGTCTCATTCAAAGGTTGGAATGCTGTATAGTGTGGATGATGACGAGCGCTCGAGCTTGAGCGTGGGTCTAGCACGATGCGCAGTCGTGGGTGTCAGCGCTGCTGCTGCTGCCGGGGCGGAATATGTATATCGTGCTGCGGCGGATTTTGGATTTCACGGGATTTTCCTGTTCGGTGGTAACCTGATCTATCGGGTTCTGGGAACGCGGTGCAGCTCAAGCCTACGCTTTGAGGCACGGTGGGGGAGATCTTGGCTGACCGAGCGTTGAGCTTGAGTGTGCTCTTAGTGTGTACGAGCAAATCTCTTGCTGCCACCTCTCCTGCCTGTCGTCGACTTTTGGTGCTGCGGAGCCTATGATGCCAAAGCGAACGCGACTCAGACGTCTCGTCTAGCTAAGTCTCGTTGCACGTGTGAAAGACGAATGACAGGCCTGCAGCTTGGACGAGACAAACAAACAGCTTAACCTGCTCTAGATTCACGATTGACCCTGCGGCGCCACTGCTTCGGCGGGCACTGAGTTCACCAAAGTAGATGTCGTCTCTTGATCTTCAAAATGCTGTATAGTCTTGAGTGGGTTGAGTGGGTCGCTGAAACGGGCAGATGCTTCGCACGCCATGCAGGTTCAGAGGTTGGGCGGAAAAGTTGAGGCAGCACAGGGGTAAGTTTGCTCGATCCCAACCTGACTCTTGCTTCGTTACCGACTCCACCAAATTCCGATCTCTTGATTATAATCGCTTGGCACTTGACGGCTGCTTGTAGCTTGGTGACTTACTCTTGAGTTGAGCAGTCCCCTGATCGATGCTGCATGGAGGCCTCGTCTCGAATCAATACAGCCAAAAAGAAATCACGAATCTTGTCTCGAGCCGAGCCGCTTCTCTCCTGTTCCGATGTTCCAGCATCCCACATCGAGCTCGAGCCCCCCCGTTTCCGGTCGGAATCCCCAATGGATATTCATGATTCACAATCAGTCACAGAGTCACAGTCATGACTTGCAGAAGCAGCAGGCAGCAGCAGGGTTGCATTCACTCATCATTCACGATTCTCCTAGCTTTTCCCCACGCAGCACCTCAGCAGAGCTTACAAGGGCCCGCATGCACGCCAGCTTACTAACAACGCTCACGACGTGCTGCCAATCGTGGGACGCGGTACCGACGGAAATGACGGGTGGGACGCCCCGGTTCGCGAGCATATGCTGTGCTGCATATGCTGCTGCTGGACGCATGCTGGATGCTTGCGCGCAGCATGGAGCAGCGGCTCTCGGCTTTGGCCTGCTGCTGCGTGCAGTGTCCGCGATCGCTCATTCCGTGCTCGACTCAGACTCACTCAATGAGTCAGAGAGAGAGAGAGTGAGTGAGTGAGTGAGTGAGTGAGTGTATTTCTGGCTGTGCTGGTGGGACGTTCGGAAATCAACAATTTTGAAATCAAAATCGTGAATGCGAATCAGAATGATGCTCGTTGCACCTGATCATCCGGATTGAGTCTTTGAGTATTGTGTGAGTGACGACTCGCGAGTCAGAGCTGCTGCTGCTAGCTGCTGCCAGCTGCTTTGCATCGGTCTAATTGACCTCATCTTCTTCATCCTTCATCTCTTTCACACGTTCAGACATGAGTGCACACTTGATGTGTGACGCTACACTCTCACATGCGGGACTTTGAGAATTTTTGAGTGTGCAATGAAATTGCAGCAACGAAGCTCGCGTGGACTTGCCAGCTCAGACATCACAAGTCTTGTGTTCTTCATTTGCAAGCCTCATCTATTCATACGCGCTGCGCTGCCGACGCTTACTTGATCGATCAGTAAGCGGCAGATCAGCAGCTCAGCAGCATTGAGCAGTTGGGCATTCAGCAGTCAGGAATATCGAGGAGCATGTGCGCGTTGAGAGCACAAAGACGCACCGAAAGCAAGGATGAAATGAAACCCTGAATATGCGCAGACCAAAGTCAATTTGCGAGCATGCAACACACGTCTCGCTCAGCGAGTAGACACGATGATAATCAAGTCTCGGAGGATCTCAATCAATTCGTTTGTCGATTTGGACTCCCCTTGATGGATTTGTCGCCTGACTGCTGTATTCCCCTGCTCCAATAAGCAAACATCAAGCAGCAGCAAGACGCCCCACCGTGACCGTGCGCGAATGTGCGGCTGTTGCCAGTCATGCAGCCAGCCAACTAGACGAAGATCCACTAACAGCCGCTTCACGTGCGATTCATCTACTCGCGGCTTGATAAAGTGCTCTAGCGAAAGCCTCGAATGGTCAATCAAGAAATCGTTGGTCTCGCATCAGCGACCACGTCGAGTTGCCATCGAATCGATCAATCAAATCGAATCGAATGCAAGGCTCCGAATCTTGAATGCATGCGAGCGCGGATATACGTTAAAGCACATGGCTGGCCTCAATCTAGTCAGACGGCGCATATGTATGGATATACGAGACGCCCAATGGATGGATGGATGGAGGGATGCAGCGCAGACACCAACGCAAGCAAGTGCGTCGTTTTCGCAACGCGTACGACTCACTGACTATCGGATCCCTGATTCGTGCGAGTCTCGTTGCAAACAGGATGAATTTCACGGAGATCGGAATCCGAAAGGAAAGGTTTGCCGCGTGTAGGAGAGTTGTGTTTGGTGGAGCGCGATTGCGAAAGAGGGGGGCGCGCTCTTGATGGAGAGAGAGTGTCGTGAAGTGTTGTGCAATTTCACCACGAAGCCATGCAGCAAGGCGCCAAGTAACGTGCAGTCTGCAAAGTCAGAATGGGGTTTCAATGGCGCGCGACGATGCTGTCCGATGCCCACGTGAAGGTTCCTGTGCCTTGCCTGGGAAAGGGCACCGATCGCATGTCCACCAGCTCACTGACCACGGCAGCAATGTGGTCAGCTATACAGCGACCAGATCGCGACAACAGCTCTCCGACATGCTCTCCTGCCGCGCTCCTGGCCAGCATTGCCTAGTCGATTGGCAGCGCGTCCAATACTACTAGTACTACTACCAGATAAAAGGCAGCATTCTCCAGCGTCTTGCCAAGTACTCGTCGTACTCTTTGCCAAAGTGCTTTCTGAGCATGTTCTCTTCGTCGGGTACGCGAAGCAAGACCAAGGTGTAGGCGGACCAGATGCCTGCGAGCGCTTGCAAGGTCAAGAGGGACCTGACTACAGAGTGAGGACTCGTGCTCGCCAAGATGCCGGGCAGCGCTTCGGATGCTTCCTTGCTCAGCAAGCTCAGCAAAACGTTGAAAGGTCCAGCTAGCGAACCTATGACTCCCACATTGCAAAGAAAGATGCCAAAGTAAGAAGGATGGGCCAAGTATCTGTACGGTCCCTTTTTGATCAGCTTTTGGTCGGATTTGATGTCGAGTCGGAAAGTAAAGTACTTGTTTAGCGTCTTGTAGCACCAGTAGCGCAACGTGCCGCCCAGTATGATGCTCGTGTAGAGGAGCATGTTGATGCGGACGAGCTGCTCGGATGGGGCGCTCTTTGACAATACGTCAGACTGCTTATCAATGTGGAGCTTGAAGAGATAGACGGCTTGAGCAGCAGCGCTAAAAGGCGTCACTTTGAAATTGATGCTCGGCGATCCGATCTTTTGGTTCTGCCTTGACCTCTGGCTTCGCCTTCTTGTTGGCCTCGTCACTACCGTCGCTCCTACCGCTCGAGGGATCTCGAAAGGACACGTGAATTGCTGCGCTGCATAGCGATGCCAATATGGCGCCACTCAAGTACAGGCTCGTCATTATCTTCTAGCTTGGCCTTGTCGAATGATACGATGGCCCTGTCTGCTAGGTACGCAATTGGTGGCGGCAGGCTGACCTTTGGGTGGAGATGACGCGTGTCCGAGGGAGCAAAAGACGCATCAATAAGGGGCGCGTACATCACTGGCTTTTAACTCTCACCTCATCAAGGCAAAAGCCACTCACTTTCGCAGCCAAGGGCCGTTATGATCTTGATTGGCGCAAGAGTTGAAGCGCGCAATGATGCGCGACAAGCAAGACCAGCAGTCAAAGTACGTTGCGCCCTCCTCATTTGGCGCCTCGCCTCGCCTCGCCTCGCCTCGCCTCGCACAGCGCCTCCTCGCGATCGCAATCGTTGAACTAATTGAGCAGACGAGAGAGCTAGATCAGCGCGCCTTCCGGGCCGAAATTGCGGTCTCGGCGGCGGCAACAGACATTGAGACGACGGCCGAGCACGTCCGATGATGATCCCTTGCCAGCGCAGTGGGGATCAAGGTGATAGCGGCAGAAACACTCACACTTCATCCCTAACGCGACCTCCATTTCTCTGGCCGCGCCAAGAGGATCAAAGTGAGCGCGAGCCGGGCCGAGCGTGCGAGCACGCCCTCTCAAGATCGGACATCGTCGACCCAGTGCGTGGAGAATGTATATATTCAGGGATGGCGAACGCCTCTTGTGATTCATGTCGCAACTACGAAAGAGGTGCGCCGTTCATGCTCACGAATGTGGATGCTTGCTAGCAATACGAGGTTGCGCGCTAGCGCAACACATGACTAAGCCGCATTCCTTCTCCAGCCGAAACCATTTCGAAGTGCTGCGAATCGCATGTATTGACCACTTCGACAGAAGACGCCGCACAGCTGTCCAGAGAGTATAGAGCAAGCCGAGCCAGTGGATTAGTGTTTGCGCATGCGCGCAGGCTGCCTCCGGAAAGCCAAAATAGCTCAACGCTTGACCCAGCTGTAGTGAGCAAGGAGGAATCCAATCAGTTTCGTGAACATCTCCACTAGCGGCAACGGTCACACCTCCGTGACAGGCAAAGCAAGACTCACGTGTATGCCTTTCTGGCCTTGGCCAAACCAGTCTTCTTCCTTTCCACGACACGAGGATCCCTGTGGACGATGCCATCTGAAAGCAGAGCGATTGAGCGCAAAAGCAATTGTCAGTCGCTGCTCGACGAGGACGAGAGTGCGCAAATTGACGCCACGTGCGCCGTCGCCAACTCGAATCGGCTGGACGCAGGCTGGAGAGCTGGCGCAACTAGGGGTACGTTGCTGCTTAAGCGCTCGACTCACCTTTATGAAGCAGCTTGGCCAGTTCTTTCACCTTTGTGGCATCTCCCGTCAACCGCGCTTGTTCCTTGTACCACTCTAGTAAGCAATTGGCGATTCCATGAGCTACTGCGCCTGCCTGCCCAGACGAACCACCTCCCCTGCTGATGGCAAAGACATTGAAGGCTCCCAGCGCAGAGGCCAATCGCAAGGGATAGATGACGGATTCTCTGTGAATCGGATTGGTGAACATGTGGGATAGCGGTCGATTGTTGATTTGAATCGAGAGCGGGTCCAACGCAGGCTTTGGCGAAGCGGCAGATTGCGCAGAGCCGCTTGCACCAGCAGTCTCTGTCTCCGCCTCTGTCTTGACCGGAATGATCCAGACTCTTGCGCTCGCATCCTTTCTTCTTCCTCTAGCGTAAGCCCTACCCAGTTCGTCCACATGACTTGAAGCCCGTGTAACCTCCGGCCTATCAAGCGTCTCCGCGACAGCAGCCGCCTGGTCCTTCCTGACAAACTTCTGCAGCGTCTTGCCCACCTTGTCGGCCAAGTACTGATGTTCGTGTCCATGCTGACCACTGGCAAAGTGAGACTGCAAAAGCTGAGACCATCTGCCCAGGGTAGTCAGGAGGTCGGTGAGATTCCTATACTCTGAAGCTTTGAGCGGACGAGTGAGCGCATTGCTCAGATCCGTCCTGGTCAACCATCTCGTTCCAGAAGATGGTGGAGGAGTCGAATGAGGTTCTACCAGAAAAGTCTGCTGCAAAGCTCTCTTGGATTGTCGAATGAGGTCTTCGAGATTGAGCACCGCATCGATGTACTGCGGTCGACCTGTGAAGTGGGAAGGAGAGACGGGTTTGAGCCTGGCGGGTGGCAAGGTAGCTTCGCGAGGTCCTGCGCGTGCCAGAGAAGCAGGAATGTGTTTGATCTGCCCATCTTCAGACGCTCCCCTTGTGGCGGTGGAGGATGAAGCTGTTGATGCTGCTCGACGAGCGTATGCTGCGCTCCGACCTAGCGCGCAAGGACGAGCGACACCCGCTTGTCTGAAGGCCTGCAGCGCCCGAGCGGAATTGCTCATGTTGGCAGAGCGCATCGATCGGCAAAGAGGCGATCGGCGTGCGAGCGGTGACAGCGGAATGGCGAAGTGAGACTATGAGGGAAATTGTTCAGCTCACGACTCTTGACTCTTGCCCTTTGGAAGGTGCGTCGTGATAAATCGTAAGCGTTTAGAGAAGGATGAGCGCAGTAGACCGCGCGCCGGGGTGGCCATCTCGTGCGAGAACCAAATCCTCGTGCGCGCTATCGTAATCACGTGATTGTGCTTTTTTTTTTTTTCCCGCCCGGGCGGTGCAAGCGCTCATGAGACTCTTCTGACTTGCGAATGACTTCAGGTGAGGACCACGAACGACCATTTTTTTAAAGGCCTTTCGTTAGGAGCTGCGTCCAAGGCCTCCACTCACACTTGTCAGTGACCCAACGATTCACCACCGCACAAGAGCATACAGGCATCTTCTCACCATTTGCAAGCATGACTCTTCCGTGCGCAAGCGTCGAAGCCGGCGACTCGAGCAGCAGGAGCATCAGCATCAGCAACCATCCGGTTCCACCACCACCTGTCCACGTGACTCGACAGTCCATCCCGCCTTCCAGAGCTGACTACACGCCGCCATCGGAGCAGGAGGAGATGGATCTGCATTGGATGAGGGAGGCTCTGATCATGGCAGATGAAGCCTTCGATGCGCAGGAAGTGCCCATTGGAAGCATCTTTGTCAGAGAGGGGAAAGTGATTGCGAGAGCTAGGAATCGGACGAACGAGCTGATGAATGTGAGTGCAGTAGCAGCGCAAGGAGCACTTCATGACTGGCAACAATACTCAAAGTGCATTCACGCCGTGCTTGAGCTTCGCTGATCTTCTCCCTGTCTCAACTGGTCACGACAGGCCACCCGGCACGCCGAACTCGAGGCCATCGACTACATTCTCTCACTCTACCCGCCTTCTTCTCCTTCATTTGCAACGCACCCTCATCGCTCCCTCACCGACAATCCGTTCAAAGAGACGACGCTATACGTGACCGTAGAGCCTTGCATCATGTGTTCAAGTGCGCTCAGACAGGTCGGCATCAAGCGAGTCGTCTTTGGAGCTGGCAATGAGCGATTTGGAGGATGCGGAAGCGTAGTCGGCTGTCACAAGGAGTTAGTTCAGAAGCCAAATCATCCGTCGATAGGCGCGGTGACGATCACATGCTAATGACTTTGCGCCCTCGTATCAGCCCTGCACTGGTCAACTCACCGCCATTCGTGGCCGTTGGAGGCTACTACCGCGAAGAAGCCATCATGCTATTGAGGAAATTCTACCTCACCGAGAACGTCAATGGTGAGTCGTGCTGTGGTTCGTTGCGCTTGCGCTAAGCGCTGAACAAATGTATGCGCTTGCGTTTGCAGCGCCGAATCCTAAATCGAAAGCCAATCGGATCCTCAAGACGAAGTTCCAACGTAAGTCCAGTGCAACAACTTGGCATTGTCCCTTGCAAGAATAAGCAGCTCACATCAACGCTGCGCATTGCCGCCCTCCGTCGTACAGCTCCTGGCGTGTCGATGCACGGTCCTCAGGGTCCTCCAACCAGGCGTGGCATTCAGCGTAATCTGGTGGCTACCAGATCCGTCTATAACAGCAGCAATGCGAGCTCCACGAGCGAGGATCTGAGGGCATCAGTGCTTGCGGACGGGGAAGACCCGTCTGTGCACGAGCAGCAGGAGCGTGATGCCGGTTTCATCGATGGAATGCGCACGCAGGAGAACATCAATGGAACGGATCTTAGGGTAGCGGATAGGTGAGCGCAAGCGAGCTACAAGAGCATCGCTCCGAATGCGCGAAAGGTAGCAAGGCCAGGCCTGTCACCCTCGCCGGTCCTTCTCGAGACGATGAAACAACCACCATGGTCTTCTTTCGCCTACGTCTGCATCTATTGCGTGGTCTTCCCAATCAAGTCGCCATATATCACCACCTTATGCTCGGTCATGAGCCACCACACCGGATCGAAAGGGCACCTCGCCGAGGAGGGATGTGAGCACTTTGTGCGCTGCTCACATCCTGATTAGTTCCTTCCGGCTTGCCATGGCGGCAACCTCGTTCGGCTCAGATGCCGCACGGGAAGAAGCACGTATGCAGAGCAGCACTCATTCACGTAGATCCGAATAAGCGGCCCGCTGCACCTGTAGATCACCTCGGCTATCCATCGATTTCCTCAAATCCTCAGGAGGCACGATGTTCGATTGCGTTCTGTGCGCATCGTCGAACCCGGTGTAAGTGTGTCCCGATGACTGCAACCCCATCTTGATCATCCGTACCGCGAAAGAGATCGCGATGAGACGATCGGATGGAGCAGGCTGATTTCGGCATGCGGAGGTGCAAGAAGCTAGCCATGGTGATGGAATCCACTTCAGCTTCCTGAGCGGTGCCCATTTGTGATCAGCACACACGCCTGCGAATTCCGGAAGTCCCATGCTGGTCGCAGCTTGTCGAGAGGATAGGGTGCTCGCCATGAAGTGCGTTTACTGCCAGCTCTCACGTATGCGACCAAATTCCGCGTTCCAGAATCAGACCGTCTCCACCCCTGCTGCCGTGCGCCACATCCTGCAGTCTCGACCACAATTCTGACCGCCCTCGCTCTACTGCCCAGGTCATCCTTACCAGGGGCCGGCGGAACCGATCGGCTGCGCCAATGCTCGCCTCTTTTGCATGACTGCACCTCTTGCAGTCTCAATCTGCGGTGCTGTCTGCACAGCGACATTGCTTACGCGTGATGCGCGTCTCCAGCATGTACGGGTGATATGTCTGTCTTCCTCGACGAGATACGTCGTTGGCACCTCTGGTGGGAAACATCATCAATCGCAAGGACGGATGCTTGCGAACATCATCAATCGCAAGGACGGTGACACGTTTCGAATTCGCGTGAACGCGCATCCCTCATCTGGCATCAATTCTGACCCGAAAGCTACGATGTAGCCCTGCCGATCCCTTCAAGCCGCATCGCGTTCCCGGAAGGAGGGTTGGAAAGCTCACGCCGCACGCAGAGTCGGTCTCGGTGCAACAAAGTGGCTGTCCAACATTTACTGTTCGCTTGGGGACAGTCTGCACTGTGCGCTGCCAAAGGCACACCAGGCACGCATTGGTGATTGCGACTGCATAGCCGGAGCCGGTACGACAGCTGGTGATGGCGTTCGCGTAGTCGCCGCCCTTCGTCAGCGCGCCGCGGTGACGTAAAATTGCGCGCGTTCTGCGTGCCATCCTTCTCCAGCATGCGCCAGGCCGTTGCAAGGCCGAAGCGATATTTACGCCTACCGAAGTTGCACGGAATCTTTAGCATCACCCAACAATTAAGAATTGAAATCCGGGGCGATATACTGGGCAATCGATCGAGTAATCACGAATACGAATGTGAACACCGGGCTCAGTCAGGCCGGGTCCGCCGTCGCTATGCAACTTCCGCGCGCAGAAGCGCAATGGGAGAGGAAAGCGCTTACTGCGATGCCACGTAACCCGCGATCACTGCCGGCGAGCAAGCGACCGTCGATGGAAAGCGTCTCATGTCTTCGTGCACCTTGGTTGACAGTCACTCCAACGCCAATGCGTTCGTACGTGCTCAAGGACACCTCGGTTCAGCAGGCCATTCGCCCCTGTCTACGTTTTTCTGTGGGCATCAGCCATTCACGGCTGGTGGTGCAGTCGACCTGCGCCCGCCTTCTGCTTGCGATGCTCCCTGTGCATGCAAGTGGCGACCACCACGGCGGTGCAGAGCACGTCCATGATGCGGTAGAGGTACCCGCTGAAGTCGCAAGTGAAAAGGTACAAATACTTGCCCCGACCACCCTCCCTTCTGCTAGTTGTCCGTCATCAGCACCAAGTCGTGCACAACGCTCTCTAGACTCAATAGATCGATAGCTCTCGGTCTCTACTCGCCCAACATGAAGCAAGTATCCTCGTTCGCAGCCATTGCAGCTGCTCTCACACTCTCTTTCGCCTCGTTGACCGAGGCGCTCCCCCAGCCTCAAGGCGCTGACCAGACCACTACCGCCAGCGGCGCTGATGGCAAGAAGATCTGTGAGCGATACGGCAAGACTACTTGGGGCGACTACACTCTCAACAACAATTTGTGGGGACAAGATCAAGGCTCAGGTCAACAGTGCACCACCGTTGGCGACCAGAAGAGCAATGCGTGGTCTACCAACTGGAAGTGGGACGGCGACAAGACCAAAGTCAAGTCGTACGCCAACTTGCAAATCATGCCTAAAGGTCTCAAGCTTTCGGACATCGTATCCTTGCAGACATCGTGGGAGTTTGAGACCAAGGCTACTGGCAACTACGACGTCGCCTACGACCTTTTCACCTCTCCCAAAGACGGTGGGCCAGATCAGCAAAATCAAAACGAGATCATGATCTGGCTCGAACGTGCTGGTGGTGCAAATCCCATTGCGTCGTGAGTGTTTGGATAGTCCGCCCAAATCCGACATAGTACGACACTGACAGCTAACGCGCGTCATCACTTCTGCAGCGCATACACTGCCGATGGCGCCACTCCCGAAGGCAAGATCGAGCTGGCGGGCCAGACGTGGAACTACTTCAAGGGCCAGAGCAACGGCATGACCACGTTCTCATTCCTCCCTCCGGCCAACGTCAAGAGCTTCAACGGCGACGTCAACGACTTCATCAAGTGGCTGGTGGAACAGAAGTTGATGGATGGCAATCAGTACCTCACCAACTTTGCAGCGGGTATCGAGCCGTACGTCGGCGAGGGCACCTTCACCACGACCTCTTACAAGGCTAGCCTCAAGAGCAGCTCACAAACGCTGGGCGATGCTGATGCTGGTGTTGCCGGTGGCTCTGCCAAGAAGGCCGCAGCGGCCCCTGGCAAGACTAAGGGCAGCGACACGACTACGACGCCCACCACGACGCCAAGTGACGCTCCGACCACGTCGACTGGAAACGCTGGAAATGGCAACGCTGGTACTGGTGCGGGCAACTCTGGCACTGGTGAGGCCAACGCTGGCACCGGTGGGGGCAACACTGGCACCGGTGGGGGCAACACTGGCACCGGTGGGGGCAACACTGGCACCGACACTAGCACCGGCAAGGGTGGCAGCACAAACACAAACCCGAACTCCAACTCTGGCTCAAATTCGAACAACAACAGCCACAACAACAACACCGATAGCGCACCCAACAAGAAGGTCAAGCCCGACTCCACCACGTCTGGCGCTCTTGGTGGCTCTAACAACCCCACGGACAAAGGTGAGACAAAGCCCAAGTCCACGACGACAGAGCCACAGTGCAAGCGGCGCGTGCACCACAAGAGAGCTCCCGAGCTCGCACGCCGATCGATGGAGCCTTGGCAAGCGACTACTGCGTCGAGGGGGCTCGTGCGTCGATCCGAGGCTGGTCCTAATCGATTGGACCGAGAGTCCGAGTGCTGATCAGAGCAACAGGTGCCCGAATGCGAACCTTTTCTCGGTGCGATACGAGTCGCACAATTCAACGTTCCCGAGACCTTTTCCAAACCGACTTTGAAAATTCTGTACCTCGTATTCCTTGAACCGATCGTTGACGCGAAGCGAAACAATTCCCTCCCTTTCTCCTCTCTGCATCTCAGAGAAGCTCTGGGATCAGCTCATGGGGTACCTCAACTCGATCAAGTTTGACAAGGATCACTGATCGAAAGAAGACATCAACTCCATCATCGCTGGACGCCTCTGGATACAGGCTCTCGCGCTACTAGCTGGCCCTAGATCGTCGCACCTCTACTCCACCTGTAGCAAGAAAGGAGCTTTTGAGAAGCCTTCCTAGGGAATCGACGTTTGTTCATCAGCTTGCGTATGACCGTGTGAGCTTCCTTGAATCAAGTTCGTGAGTCGGTGACTTGCGCCGTCGAAGGAGAAGGGACAAGCGTGGGTGGACGTAGGACAGAACGATCTTTGCCAGTCATGATTAGAAATTGGTGATTTGGGCGAGAACCCGAGCAGCGCACGCATCAAACGCACGCTGGGATCGAGTCACCTGCTTTCTGCACCTTCGAGTCATCACACGCGCGGGATTTTTGATGATAGTGATGCATCACGTGGGTGTGCGCGCGTCATCCCGCGCGGCCTGTGGGCGAAACGCCCGTACTTTCTTTGTGGCAACCGCGCTTCACGACCCTCATTATGCACTGCCCGTGACTACCACCACAGCGATGCGTCAGGAGAAAGTCTTCGGCTCTTGACTCGAAGCATTCCAAGTCATGTCACAGTCACTAAGATGCAGTGTGTGCGTGCGAAAGGGCAGATATTTCGCAAGCAAAGTTATAAAGGGGGCTGCAATGGGAAGTGGATTCGATGGGGAAATGGGATACTTTCACCTTTCTAAGGCAAGCCAAGCCTGAAGCGACAACCCACAAGTAATCTCTCCGCTCAGCGTAACACGTCATGTTCGAACTCGTCGAAACTTCCCACGCGTTGGAACTGCGCGAAGGCGCAGTCGTGCTGCCGTTTGAGTGGACGCCCGAAGGGACGTCGACGTATGACGATTACATCATCCTCCTCGAGCCCCACGAGCTCGAGCACCTTCACTATCCACCAGTGCAAGACCTTCACGTGGACTCTCGAAACATCTTTTTCATCACCATGCCCGATTGGCAGGCGCACACAGTCATCTGGAATCACGCCGACTCGTGGCGAAAGGATCACGGCTTGGCGAGCAAAAGCTACCGCGCAGAGAATTTGGCCAAAGAAGCCTTAAGCCCCGTTGAGCTACTTGCTCGTAAGGACACCATGGCGACCTTGCTCCAATCAGCATCACAATTTGGAGTGCGTGCGCTGGATCATCTCTTCCTTGCACTGCATGCCACGCCGGAAAGCTCTGCGGTGGTAGCAGAGAGAATGATAGTGGACTTTCCCCACTCTTTCAGGGGCTTCCTGAGAATGGCTGCGGCGTATGAAGCCTCGAATCCAAAAGTCGCATGTCTGGCTTTGGCGCAAGCGTGCAAGACAAATGCGGAACTAGTTCCCAAAGTTGCAAAACGACTTGGCACTTTGCGTAATCAAGTGTCGTACGGACCGACGGTGACGCTTGAAGAGCTCGAGTCCATTCCGCTTCCTATCCGGGACCAACTGCTTGGAAGCTGGCCTGCGCAGCTCGATGAGGTCATGTCATCCACGCTTTGGACGGCTTGCACACAGTCACGCAACCGTTCGCACTTTGGCACGTATGGCATTCCGCGCTTCTTTTCCTGGGTCTACCCGGGACGCATAGCAGGAATGTCGACTCCACGCAACGCGCAAGACATCGACGCCCTGGTCGACATGGGTTTCGATCACGTCTTGTCGCTCGCAGCAGAGTCCCCACTGGATCCAGCCTGGTTTCGCTTCAAGGCGATCAAGCACGTGTTTGTGCCACTGGAGAATTATGGACACCCGACGCTTGAAGAGATGGACAGCATCCTCGAGCTAATTGAGCAGAGCGGAACTTGGCTCATTCACTGTGGAGGAGGAGTGGGCCGCGCAGGCACGATTCTTGCATGCCTAATTTCGATATTCGGCAGAGGAGACGAGGAGAAGATGGGCTATCCTTTGCTGGATGCAGGCGCTGCTATCTCGCTCCTTCGATCGATGAGACCGAGATCACTGGAGAGCGAGAGTCAAGAACGCTTCGTGTCCGCCTATGTTTCGCATCGATGGAGATGTGCTGGCGCAACGAAATTGCCAGAACCCATGTCGTCGCTCAGAGTGGAGCGCTCTCTCAGTAGCAAAGCACCTCTGGACGATTTGTCTGTGCCGACAATCATCGTGATGGTCGGACTGCCCGGATCTGGAAAGAGCTGGCTAGCTGCAGCCATAGCGAAGCGACGTGGAGATACGGAAATAATTAGCCAAGACACTGACGGCCGAGCAGCTTGCGAACGATCGATGGGCATGAAGCAAAGAGACGGCGTACTCGTCATTCTTGACCGCTGCAATCCTCGGCAAGATGATCGCTCGTCGTGGCTTGCCCTGATGATATCTACGCGAAGGAAGATTGCAGTCTTCTTCGACATTGACGCGGCTCTCTGCAAGCAGCGCATGGATAGGCGGCTAGGACACCCGATCATTCGCGCAGGCAGAGGGTACAACGCGCTGGACCAGATGCAACGCGACATGCGCCTACCCTCCTTATCAGAGGGTTTCGATGCGTTATTGACCGTCACTAGTATGCACGCAGCCAAAGAGGCGCTTCGAGTACTGAGTCCGAGCCCGAAGCTGCTAAAATTCCCTCGCACCCCGCACTTGTTCAACACTGGCGCTGCTACGCACGACGACCTCACGTGCGAAGACATCGGAAGCTCCATCACTGGGAACATCGTAGTGGAGGAAAAGATTGACGGAGCCAATTTGGGTCTGTCTCTCGATGCCGACGGCATCATCCGCTGCCAGAACCGAAGTCACTGGATCAGCTCTGCGGATCACAAGCAGTTCAAGCCGTTGGACGGATGGATAGAAGCGCATCGCGATGCGGTGTACAAATTACTTGCCAGAGACAGCCAATTTTTGGAACGCTTCATCTTGTATGGAGAGTGGATGGTTGCCAAGCACTCCGTATACTACGACCGCCTGCCCTCGCACTTTGTCGCATTCGACCTCTACGACAGGTTGACACAGCGATTCTGTTCCAGGTCGGCGCTCGCAACAGCGTTGCGAGGAACAGCTATTGCACACGTGCCTCTTGTCTTGCAGACCTCGCACGTCACGCGAGAACGTCTGCTGTCACTCTGTCAAGAGCAGAGCCTCTTTAGTACCGAAAGGCGAGAGGGAGTGTACCTGCGTTTTGAGGACGACGAGCATCGATACACTATCAAGAGGGCAAAGGTGGTTCGATCGGACTTTATCGCAGGCAATGAGCACTGGTCCAAGAGCATCTTTACTCCGAACGTCATTGCGGATGGCCATGTCGTCGAAGCAGGCGATCGATGATGTGCTTTGTGGCAAGCCTTCTTGCCCTTGAATGGGGGCTCCGGCGTCCACGACTTTGCCGCCTTTGGTGTGCCGACTGTGCGGCGCACGATCACGCGGTCGCACTGATATTCGGCGTCGAACGTGGAGGTGATGTTTCGACACAGCCAGCATATTGTAGAACGGTATGGAGCCCCAAGGAAGCGATTGGTACCCTGCTTCATGAACACCATTCATTCCGATCGATTGCGCATTCGATCAGCAAAAGCAAAAGCAGACCCTATCCATCATAAATTCAGAGTCAATGCACGCTTTGGCGTTTGGGAGCGCGGCACGGGCTGAAATCGAGCACGCGGTTAGACGCCATCCTGCATAAGTGTTCGGGGGCGGGATGTCAGTCAGAGTCAAGAGTCGTGCAGGGCGCGGGCGCGCCGCATTCTGCCGGGCACCGTGTTCTCGGCGTCACGCTAAACGTGCACGGGCAAACCTCGTCAAAATTCGCCGTGCGGTTTGAAGCTGCAGCGCGAACCTTGCTGTGCACACCCCAGCCAGTAGTTTGTGCGGGTCCTCATGATGGAGTCACAGCAGTGTTCAAGTCAAAATTTGCAGGTTTGCTTTCACCGGCAATCCTCCAGTGCACACTCGAATCGTGAATGTCATTCTCAAATCGGTCACTTGTGGCAAGAAATTCTCCGACCGCGTGGTCCTTGCAGGATTGGCGTCGAGAACCTTTGCGGGGTCTGGCAGGGGACGAACGCGGGGAAGCTCGCGAATTGCATGATACAGTTCTGGCAAAGAGTCGGCTACCGCGACCCGGCGTATTGGACTCGAACTCGAATGTGAACGTCGCTTGGAGGTATAAGAGAGCGACGATCGCCCACGATTTCCAATTTGATCATCTTCTCCACGGACTGGTTCCTCACTAAGATTCTTCCTGCCTTTCTTTTCTATTGCTCTCATTGCGCCCTTCGCTCCACTGGTAAGTTTTTGACGGGTGGTCTCTTTCACGTCCAAGCTGAGTGCTGCTCACAATGGCGCGTACCTCTGTACCCAGGCTGGAACGAATCGTTGTTTAGTCCCTTGTAATCCTCATCTTGACCAACCTTGCACTCATCCCATCGCCCGCCATGCACTCTCACGCTCTTCTTTCTCTCGGCCTGCTTGTAGCAAGCAGTGCCGCTACCCTAGCACTGCCGGTACCGACGACGACTGGTCAAGTCCGAGGCTCGCTCCAAGCTCGTGATGGAGCCAAGGGCAAAGTTTCGACCTCATGGAATTGGGACAAACCGCAACGTCGCGCCGACAAACCAAAAGTGTCGGTCGCGTGGAACTGGGACACGCCTCATGCGCGAGATGCGATCAACGAGCTGGTGTATGCTACTCGTAAGTGTACTTGCCAGGTGCCTTCGATTTGCGCCACGCTTTTGCTGATTTCACGTTCACATTGATTTGGTAACATGCAGGCGACACACCTGGTCAGCTCGACCGTCGGCTGGGCGCGCACATGGCTGAAGGAGCGAAGGCTGCAGCTGATGGAGCACGCCCCGTTCAGCAAATCACAAACAATGACTATGGCGACAATTATGGCAACGTCGAGGGAAATGTCCACAATGGCGACAGTCTCAACAATCCGCCTGCCAATCATCACAGGCGCGACACGATCAGCAACAACTATGGAGATGCCTACGGCACTGTTCAAGGCGGTGTACACAACGGAGATACATTCGAAAATTCTCCCTTTTCCTCATCACACCGCACCGGCGTCAAGGCGAGGGACAACATTTCCAACAACTACGGAGATGCCTACGGCACCGTTCAAGGCGGTGTCCACAACGGAGACACATTCGAGAATTCTCCTTTTTCCTCATCGCAACGTACCGGCATCAAGTCGAGGGACAACATTTCCAACAACTATGGAGATGCCTACGGCGCTGTTCAAGGGGATGTTCACAATGGCGATACTTTCGAGGACTCACCTGGCTCTCAATCTCATCGCGAAGGCATCAAGGGGAGAGACAACGTCAGGTACGATTAAGGCAACGCGTGCAAGGGTCCAAGGCAGCGTACGCAATGGCCACACGCCCGACAACTCGCCGCTGTCCGAGTCCAACCCACACTGCAGCAATGCAATGAGAGTGAAAGAGGTCATTCGCGAACACAAGGCTAGCGTGCTGCTTTGAGGCGTGAACGAACCCAAGAGTCGACCATGGAGGTACCTGTGAGCTCGAACACGGAAGCAGCAGAACTACCTCGCTGCCGCTCACGCCTGCGCTCGTAATTATAGTGCAGGCTGCGGAGTCATCTTCGTGGCCGTCGATGCGACGTGGCTGAATTGCAGAATCTAAGTCCGGATCGCAAATTGAAGCGAAAACAAGGGCCGTAGTCCAAATGATTACATTTTGAGTCATCGATCCGACGTAAGGAGTCTTGATCCTGAGTTGAAGTGCTTGAGTCAAGAAGTCAAGAGCGCGAACTCACGACACTACTACCACTAGTATCTACGGCCATGCAACTTGGATTCAGTCACAAATTTCGCATCAGAATCTTTGAATCTTGACACTCATCAGACTCAAGGACTCCAGAATTATAAGCAAATTTATGACTTGTGTATCAAGAATCAAGAATCACCCGTCAAGAATGGCTGTGTGAACATCACGTGACTGCAACTGCTAAGGGACCCTGCACCCTTCAAACATCCGCTGGGTCAGGGTCTGAATCTTGCGGGCATAAGGCGCCCGCATATATGTGTCCTGCGCGCTCTTCCGAACTTCCATCACAAGGGCATTCACCCTTCATGTAGCCTTGAGCAGGTACCGCAATCACAGATCGTGAATCACAAATACAGCAAGGTCGGCGGCTCATAGCCCTCAAATCGGCGAGTCAAAAATTCGAGTCGCAGCCGTGTGTCAAACGCTTCCTGCAAACGTCGCCCTACGTTGACAGCTTGACAGCCACTTGGGAGGTCGAAGAGTCACATTTATCTTCCGCGCGTCTCGGCCCACTCTAAAGATCAACGGACACCCTGGTTTGGATGTATTCCAGCTCTGCGCGTGCACTCTCGCCGCGTATGACTGCGTAGATCGCCATACCTGCTGCCAACGCCGCTGAAGGTCCGGATGGTTGTGAATGTGCAACATCAAGATGCTCAGTGGCGCACGATGCCTTTATATACTCTGGCGCAGTCCGCAGTTCGCGACGTGGAGTGGTTTCATAGACCATCTGAACAAGTGACTGTCAGGCGCATTGACGAAGCCTTCGCCACCCACACCCATGCCTATGAAGACACTCTTATGGATAAACGATGAGTCGTCAAGATCGATGGATGTAGATTCTTTCGCGACGGTCGGTGAACGCTTTCTTCAGATGGGAACGATCTCAGGAAGAGTGAGTGGAATGTGCATTCCGGCTTATGCTGGACGTGATAGAGTAGCTAGATACGTCGTGCGATCTCGGCTGGCTACCAGCACGCCCTCTGATCAGTGTAGCATAATGATGAGGCATCGCACGACTGAGAAGGAAGATCAGCACGCGAAAAGGCTAACGACTGATGGTTGAGAACCAAGGTCGCTTCCTCGGGGCCCCAGAAGGATCATAGCCGAACACGTTAACCACGAATACGGGCTGCGAGGAAGCTCAGATGGTGACCCCCTCCAAAGCGCTTCGGATGTTCGTGGCGATGATGCCTTCAAGCTAGAGGGACGGGCAAGAATATGTGACAAGCCTGGCCAGGGACTCGTCTCAAGCTTGCGCGTCCGGTGCACTAAGCGAGTCATGAGTGTAATGCTATTCGCAAGCTCCGCGCGTTCTTAGAGCGTACGTTGCTGTGGCTCTCTGCTGGAAGTTACGACCGGCGAGCAGTATCCATCTTCATCGCGCCCTGCGAGGCTCACTCAAAGCAAAGCAATTTTCGCACGCTTCGTGTCTGTAGTACCTTACGTACCTTCTAACTAACAGCGGACCACCCAGGTGAGGTGGCGCTTGAGCGTCAATTCCCGATTGAAGCAGGCGAACAGAAGAGCTCAAGTTCCCATGCAATCAGCCGGAAGTTTGTTCCAGCGATTGCATCGTCGAGCTTGCACTGGTGCCCTCAAGGCTGGCGGGGCGCGAGTGGTCGCGGGCCCTAGTTCTAGACACTCGACGCTAGGACCTGTCCTACCAGCGACGCGACTCAAAACTGTGTAGAGACTCGCGCGGGATCGCGCACTGTCCAGGTCCCAAAGAGCAGCCAGCCAGACGTGCGGCCCCAGGCCGCAGTCTGACATTCACGCCTGGTGATCGCGCTACCCACGCACATAATGACAGGGAAGGTGCCAGGAAGCAGGTCCACGATTGCAAGGAAGAGTCTTTTTGGATTTGAGCGTGGCGTCAATCACGTATCAGCTTGCAGCTTCCTGCCGCGTATGCGCGTCCTTTACTTAGCGTCGGGGTCGGAGGGACCGGTCCCTTGACGCGCGCGGTTCTAGGCCCCGCATCAAGACGGGAAGGGTCGCTATTCTGCTGGCTCTGCGAACCGGCGGACACGATACCGATTGTGGCTTGCGCGCTCAGGTCAACGCTCAGGCAATCAGAATGCTGAGAGCGCATCGACTTCTTGCGCGCAGGGCTGCTTTCTTTGGGGTATAAAACAGCTTGTATTGCCGCTCACGAGGAAGAGAACGTACAGCAAGCCCTCCTCCTTCACAATATGCTGCTACTATCTCTCTTCAACCCAAGACCTACGGGGCCAGCAGCGTCTCCTTCAAAGGATGCCCTTCCAGCAGCACCTTCAAACGGTGCCAGTCCAACAGCGCCTCCTTCGAACGTCGTGAGTCCAACAGCACCTCCTTCAAACGATGCCAGCCCCGCAACACCTCCTCCGAACGACGCGAGAAAAAGCAAAGAAAAGGTCGACCCAAGAACGCTAGCCAAGCGCCAGAAAGCAGCGACACAGCTTGGAAAACAACTCGGTATCTTTACCGCATACTGTCGTCGACTGGACCATTTGCTTCAACATGCATCTCCGTCCTCGGATGTAGCTGACAATGACGCATTCAAGAAACTCCGAAGTACTTGGGCAAAAGAGATGAGAGCAGCTGGTAGGGCATGCAACGCCGTTCAAGAATATTGGTCTGGTTGGTACGGGCACTGGGGAAACACTTTGTGGCTATGCATTGAAAAATGGTCCCGCCACATGGTGCCACCCGCGGACGGGTTCAACCTAGAAGACATTTGTAAGGACTGTGGAAACATCAACGGTCAGAGTTCACCTCACGACTTCGTTGATGTGGAAGCGTTCCGTTCCGAGCTGCAGCGCAGGCTTTCGTACGCATACCCGGATCTGTACGCCAAAGATGGAGAGGCGAAGTCTGCCAAAAATGAGCACGAGCGGCTGAAGTCCGACATCACGTTCTTGCTCACAATAGCAGGATTTGTTGAGGTCGAGGAGGATTTAGAGGAGGATACTAAGCGCAGAATTTTGCGAAATGCGCGACCGTGGCTTGCTGCTCTGACAACTATCGCTGCAGCAGGCGCCCTCGCATTTGCGGTCGGGACAGCTGCTGTTCCAGTCGCTCAACTCATCCATCGAGTCATTGGGGGAGGCGAAGCTCAGATTCAGGGTGTGCAGCCGGCACAAGCTGCTCAAATACGAGTGACGATCTCGGTCACGAACACAAAGGCACTTATGAAGCAAGTCACTGATTCGTCCGTCAAACCGACCCTCGCTTTCTTTCTCTTGGTGAGGAAACTGTACGAAAAGCATGTGAAACTTTTAGGATTACCCATGCAAGATGCAGTCGATCAGATAGACGACAAGATAGCGGACCTTATCCGAGGCCGCAAAGAGCAGTGGCGTGTGCTGCTGCATCGGCGCCAAGAGATCGTCTTGTGTCTCCGTAAATGGCCTACAAGAAGCATACCCCCGCTGCCTCGCGCTGGCGATCGAAAACCCCAGGTGGATGTCAACACGAGGGTCTCAGCGAGTTGGTACGCTCATCCCAACCTTCGACATATCCTAGAGCCGATACAGCTCAACAGTGTTTACCCCAAAGGACTGCTTCTTTACTATTTACACGGCGCCTCCGGCGTGGGAAAGACGCAGTTCTGCATCGACCTTGCTGACACTTTCGGGCTTCCGGGCTGTAGCCCTGAGCTGAACGAGACAGATCTTCCCAGCTTCTTCAAGCAACCTTCCCAAAATCTGGAAAGCTGGTCGGATCCTCAAGTCAGCGCAGAACAACTCATCGGCACAATACCTTGGCTGATTGTGCAACATTGTTGTGCCAATCCTGTTCTCATGTTTGAGCAGCCCCGAGTCCTATCAGGGGCGGCCTGGTCAGAGCACTTCGATGCCTTGGTTGGCTTCCTAGAGCCCGCCCAGCGGATTCAACGAATAAGCATTGCTGGGTCTGCAGTGGATTTTGACATCTCAGCCGTTACCGTCTTCTTCACGAGCACCGAAAATCTCCAAAATGAAAGGCTGAAAAGCCGGCTAACATTTGTACATTTTCCTCCTTTGTCGCCGGAAGCCAAGGCGGAGGCACTCCATCGATTTTTGGAAGAAGAAAAGAAAAGGTTTACAAACGAGCTCAACGAGACTTTACTGAACGGGGTGCATGCACGATTAAGAGGACTTGTCGAGAGTCTGTCCTCCCGAGAGCTGTGTCAGGAGGCAGGTCTCCGGAGGCTGCTTTGGGTCTTTCGCCACCGGTTGTGGGGGGACGCTTTGAAGGCAGAGCAGCAACGTGCCGGCAAGCCCAATCGCGACAAAATCGACGAGATAGAGAAAATTTTCCGCGATGCGGTCGTGGATACGATGACCACACAGTTCAGTGAATCGGGCGAGGTCAAGATGAAACAGTACTCGAACAGAGTACACAAAGCCATTACAAAGGGCATTGCCCAAAGCACAGTGGACCAGAAGCGCTCTGCTAACGTAGCCGCTGAGTTGCGCGCAACAAGAGGTACCCAGCGGCTGCCAAAACTTGCATGGTTCAACGAGCAACGCGATCAGAAGCTGGAAAAGCCTGTGGAAGAAGACGTCATCATGAGAGCTGTGATCCATTCGTCTACTATCATCTCGCTAGTCCATTCACTACACTCCCGTCACAAAGATTCTTCTGCCTAGCATGCAGGTCCGGCTGCGTCGTAGCACACGACGCGGTTGGTTAGTCACCGACCATTTCAACGAATGCAGCAAGGATCCATGGGAGCGAGGAAGCGTAATTTGCCTTGCACTATGATGCGAGTTGCTGCTCAGACGCGGGGAGACATAACGAGTCACGGGACTGTGCCCTACGGCCTCTCAAAAGCAGCAGCTTGGGCTTCTTGAGCCTGTCAGTCGCAGCAAAGGGTCGTCAAGCCCGACGTGACCAATGCAAGGCGACTGCTGGCCTTCATCTTCACTATCAGCGTGATGCTCGCTGCGCAAGCCTCGCGTGTGGCCCTTCAGGCACCACAATCAGTCAGTGTACGCAGCACCGTCTAGATCTACTTCCTGCAGTCATGCCATGCATCTTGTGTGCACGCAAGAGCTGAAGAGCTGTTGAAGGTTTCGAATGCATTCGGCTCGCTGAGTCGAGGTCATAGACGAAGGCACTCATCGAGAATGCCGTGTACAGCAAGCCGCTCTAGAAGATGCTCAAGTCGGCGTTCTTAAGAGCCCTCCAGATGTACTTCACGCAGGCACCGCCTTACTGCGGAGCATTCTCACGCACCTGAACGGCTCTGTCATACCGGGAGCCAATCCCCCTTGAGAAGCGCGCGCTTCTTACACAGCATCATGATGTCAATACCTTTCGCCTGCTGCCTACGCGTGCTATTTGTGACATTAATGAAGTGCTGGAGACGGTGCTGTTAAAAGTACACAGGTACGCCATAGACGACGACTGCAGCGCCAGTGAGATAGGGCAACTTGCAAGCATCCCGAGAAGCATTGACGGCTTGAGTGAGGGAGAGCTTTGAGTTGCCGGATGAGTTAGAAGTGTCACTGCGAGGCTCGACCCCAATCGAGAGGACGTCGGTAGAACGCATCAGGCCGCACTTGACAAAGACGCTCTCTGCGACTCCGTCCAATTCGCGGTCCGTCGCGTCCCAGAGGTTGGCGACCAGGGCCGGACATCCAGCAAGCATATAGTTGTAGGGAGTTCCAGCTCGATCGTATTCACCTTGATCGCGAAGTACGCCCGAGGAACATCCCCACAGCATGGTCACTGCGCATCTCTTGAGTGACCGAATGGCTTGAGATCGAGCAAATTGTTCTGCTCCCGAGTGCCCAAAGTAGAGAACCAGGTCCTTCGAAGCCAAGCTGGCAGAAAACGCATCAGCCACGGGCACATGGCCAGCATCGCCAGCCCATTTACGAGACTTGAGCCACGGCTCAAAACGCTCTTGAGTCCGAGTCAGCTCGCCAGAGGGATTCAGAAGGTAGTATGCCGATGGCTTTTGGCCGAGATTGAAAGAGCCGCCCTCGTCTTCTCGGCTTTTCGGCTGAGCGAGTCTGGAAAGCTCAATGCGGTCCTGCAAGAATGAGAGGGAGGGTATGCGGCTGACAGCTCGGCCGCGGATGCACGGCATCGACTCCCATGGCAACGCGCATGTGTCCTTGTCCAGCACCAGAAATGTGTGCGCAGCGGGCAAAGCGTGGGCATCGACGCCACTTCCACGAGTCCTTGCGCTGACCTTGCCGCGAAAAGTTTCGAGGGCACCACGCAGCTGTACCACCGTGTGGTCAAAGTCCACCTCATCAACAGCGACCGGCACGCTGCTGAATTGGAAAGAGTCGATGACAAAGTGCAGCAGATCCTCGAGCTCTTCGTCGGTGCATGCGGGAGGAAGTGCGGACAAGCAGTCGAGAATTGCTTCGGGCACCTGTACTCGCGCTGCCCTCTTGGAGCCGCTTGCGCCAAAACACGCGCGCCTGAAAATTCCATCCCAGGCTGTTCTGAGCGAAGCGAGTTCATCTGCTTGGGCAGTGCTCTCGAGGAAGATGCTCTGTGATACACAAACGGTCAGCCAAGTACTCATGCTCTCATGCATCGTTTCATGCAACGCACCTTGAAAGGTCCCAGCCACCTTTGCTCGATTGCCTCGACCAAGTCCTTGATTCTGATGTCTAGCTGCATGCGATTCTGCCACCATTGTCTCCTCGCGTCGACCCCTTGAAGATTCTTGGCCCCCTGCGTTGCTCTATTGCTGGTGTCCACAACGTCTTTGAGCTCTGCTAGCGCCGCAGCCATGCTGAGCTCTTCTTCCTCGCCTTCGCGTCGGCCGTGTCGGTCAATGGGCAGCCGAAATGCAACATCGTTGGCATGAGCTTGAGCAGCTGGCCCTCGCTGTCGCGAGACGACAAGGCTTGAGCCGTCGTGAGAGAGGTTGATGGTGATCACTGTCCAGTGAGGCGGCAAGTCGATCCTCGTAGCGGCGTCTGCTTTCACGATCTGAGCCGCACAAGTGGCGTGGCGGTGTTTGACACTCTCCCAGTAGCTTTGCAGTTGTTGATCTGTCAAGACATTCTTGCGAGATGGGTTGATGGCGGCTTGCACTTCGCTGTCTGACTCATCGTCACTGCTCGAAGCTTGGTGGTCGTCCTCATCCATCAACGCAGCAGCTCGGCCAGCTCTTAGCGCGGGCCTGGTCCGCGGTGCGCGTTGAGCTGCGCTCGGGCCTGCAAAGCGAAGCCACTCTGGCGAGTTAGCGCCGACCATCGGCACTTGCCGCTTGAGCTTCATTTCGATCGCTTCCATGAGCTCCCGTCCAAGCGTCACAGCAGAGGCTGCATTCGTGGTCTGGGCAATTTTGCCGACACTTTCGTCACCTTGCCCGCCGTGCAGAAGGACGGCCGCGAGACCAAATAAGTCAGTGAGCAGGCTCAGCACCCTTCGCACGAGGAAGGCACGAGCGGTCGATAAGCTCAGCAAGCTTGCGCTCAGACTCGACGCTTGCTCCAAGAACAGTGCGGCTACACTCTTGGCTAAGTGCGGTGGCTCACGAGCATTCGCGTCGGCAGCATCTGTGAATGAGATGACAGTCTCAGAGATCATGCTTAGAACTTGATCGCCTTGCAACTGCTGAAGTGCACGCCGGACAGCCACCTTGGCGTCCGCGAAGGCAACTTTGCTTGTAAGACTTGAGTCGCCATGTTGTTCGAGCTGGTGTAAACGATCAAGCTTGTCGCTCGCTTCTTGAAGACGGTCGAAGTCGAGCAGTGCCTCCACGTGATGGGCTAGCACATCCATCTTTAGTCGGAGCAAGGGGAAATCCGTAGAGAGCTGAGTAGGGACGGCGGGGCTGCTGATCTTCTTCAAAGGTGCAGACTTGCTCTTTGTTGGAGCGGCTACTTGTCGCTTCGCTGCGGTTGGACGGCGCTGCTGATCCGCTTGCGGTGCTGGTCCTACCACACGAAGCTGCTTGACCAGCTGAACGAGTGCTTCGGATTCCGTCGACACTTTTGCAATTTCCAAGAGGTCTGTGGTTCTTCCATTTTCGCCGCGTACTGTCGCCTCTGCGATCGCAAGCGCACAGGTCTCGGGTAGCAGGGAGCCGTCCAGCAGCAGATGCGCCTGCTGAAGATCGTCTCGCGCCACGAATGTCTGAGCCAGCGCAGCCCGGATGCGCGCTCTCTGTATCAAAGCCGAGGCCGAAGAGACGGGAACGCCGAGCGGCTTGCAAAAGTTGATTGTTTCCGTTGCAAACATTTCAGCATCTTTCGCGCTGCCACGTAGATCGTACAGCGTCGACGCGTGACTGTAGGCGGTCGAGGCGCAGTGGACAACACGCCAGTACAGACTGGCCACAGCGTGCGTTCCCACGCTGACGTGTGTCGGTTGCTGTCCCGACTGCTCGCTGCTGCCACTGCTCTCGGCGCCAGCGACCTTTTTGCCGTCTATCGACGCAGGGGGCCCTAGTAGCTGAGCGATATCTCTAGCCTCATCGTCTGTCTTGCTGATCTTTGGCGGCGTACATATCTTCGTCATGATGCTAACAGCGCGCGCAGAACATCTGACGCCCTCAACAGCAGCCTGCAAGGCACTGGTCGCGTCCCCTTGCGCTTGACGTATCAAGCTGTACACCTCTGCAGCTTGGGCATGTCTCAGATTCGAAGCTGCTCGTTCGAGGGCCATGGTCCAGCTAGATGATTTTGGCGGCGACGCCTCGATCAACCCCGCAGCAGCGACAGCTTTCTCGTACATCTGTACCGCCTCTTGCAAATCCTCACGACGGATGCAATCCTTTGCTCGGACTAAAAATAGACTAAAGCGGGCAAGAGGTCCGGCAGTGGTGGCGTCTGCTGAGCGCAGAATCTCCTGCGCTTCGGTGTGCAGGCCCAATCTCATCATCTCCTCCGCCAAATCCGCTCCACAAAGCGTCTTATCACCGACAGCATGTGTGTCGAGTGTGTCCGTATCATAGAGCTGCCAAGAGGCGGACAAGAGCTCCAAGCAGGCAAGCGAATGGCCGCTTGCGACGGTCATACGTGCCGCCAGGTTTAAAAGCGACCCGAGGCGTTCCTTGTCGAGAACGTCGGTGCCTGACGTCTGATTTGTTGTCGCTGTAGTCATAGTAGGTGGTGTTGGTGGCAACGCCATTGGTTTGCGTCGCGGAGGGGTGCGAAGAGCAACATTGTCTTGCCTGGAGAGGCTGTCTTTCAAAATTCGCTTCTCTGGCTCCTGTCCAGTTTTTGTACTTGCGCTCGGCACCAAATTGCGCAAGCACATCGCCGCCTCATGCGCATACTTGCCGGTTCTCTCGATGCCAAGTGCTCCCGAAGCTTTCTGAGAAGCACAAAGCATGAGCAGTGCAAGCTGCGCGCGAAGCGCAGGTACGCAGCCGACTAATTTAGCATCGGCGCCGAGTGCCTCGCAATCCAGCAGCGTTTGCGCCTCGAGCCGACTTTCTTCGACATCCTCGTACGTCCTGTTGCCGAGCAGTACGCAGCTTTCGAGCTGGCGCAAGAGCACGCGTGCCCTGCGCAGCGGATACGTGGTAGGGCCATAGACCTCCAAAGCGCTCTGCAGCGTGTCCATCAAAGCATTTGGCGCTTCCGCGCGATGAGCCAAAGGCTCCAAAGTCTTGGAGCACTGCTCGAGAAGGACTCCAATCGCGGTCTCTGGTACTGCCGCGTCTTCGAGAACTCGAAGCACGCCATGGGGCGCTTTCGCACACTGAGATCGCAGCAGAGAAAATGTCGAGACATGCTGGAAGCTCGTGACGATATTCGCCAACTGCAGAAGGGCAGGATTCGCAAAGATGTCGCATAGCGCACTGGTATGCGTTGCCTCTGCTAACATTCCCCACCGTGCGGGCCGTACAGCACGTATAGCCTTGATAGAAATGTCCACAGCACGTGCATGCTGCTGGGCAAGCCTCAGAGAAGAGCTCAAGACGTCGTATCGTCGCACCGCCGCATCAGCACGCTTGTCGCTCATGTCATCAGCAGGCGAGTCGGCAAATAGTCGTTCGGACAGCTCTCCTGCTTCGCAAGACTTCTCTAGAAAAAGAACGGCTGCACCCGCAAGTCTTTCATGGTAAAGCTTCACCCCTAGCTGGTACCACGTCGTCGAGACATTGTAGGCTTGCTTTGCCTGGGCTTCGAGAGCAAGCGATTCCAACGCGCACAAGCCGTCTACTTGCGACAAGCTTTGTCGCGCTTCATCGTGCGTGCTGCTGATGGATGGCTTGAGAACAGAAGTGGCGAGGAATCGACCAGCGTCGCAGGTATCGTGCAGGATATCTTCCACGCTAGTGCCTCGCGTCAATGGCGGACCGCCCGGTGTTCTCAGGTGCCTCGAAGTGACGCGCATGTAGCTCTTGACTAATTCTGAGAGGGCGTTGTCCACCAGCGAAGCGCTCATAGCGTCCAGCATTCTCCTGCAAAGTCTACCCAGACTTGTAAAGAGCTGTTCACGGCCGTCATCCGAGGCATGAAGACTCGTAGATCCAAGGTCGTCCAGACATGCGCGAGCTCCGTCGAGCAACGCTGCTTCGGGTAAGGTCTCGCCGGCCGTATCGAAGGCGACGACGGCTTTGGTGATGACAGCCACGGACCTGGCAATGTGCAAGTCAGCCGAAGCAGAGTCTTTGCGATTGTACTGTTTCGGATCGTCCGTGCAGCTATCGCTGTCGGAGCCCGTCAGAAGCCTCGCAATCCTATCAACAGCCGGGCAATCCCTGGCGTGCCGTGCGTAGTTAAGCCATACCTCAGCAAACTTGACGAAGCCCTGCGAAGACAGGACCTCTGGTCCCAGCCTATTCAGCCACTTTGTGAATGCAGCATCCATGCGCGCAAAAGCATGGGGACGGGCTTCGTCTGTGCAAGCTTGGTAATGCGCTGCGCCTACGCGCGCAGCTGTGGCCAAGAAGACGTCCGTCTTGAGATCCGAGACACAAAGCAGAGCCTCCATTCCAACCGATCTTGCTTCAAAATTGACGCCGCTGGCGGGGTTCAGAACATGTTCCAAGCGCGAGAGCGATGCACGAAGACCTCTTTCGAGCGCAAAAGCAGGTCGATCGGCACAGGACTTGCTGGTGGGATCCTCCGCAGCTGCGCGTAGCCAGGCCAGCACGCCTTCGGGCTCACGTAGAACTTCAAGATAGGCTTCGAGGTCGGAAGCTGGAAGTGTCTGGAGCGCTCCAGCAGCGCTCAAAGTAAGTGTGTCGAGGATGAAAGGTTGGATCTCACGTGGGACATTGCCTGGCGAGGGAAAGAGGACAGTCCTGTCCCGTACTGTCCTTTCTGCGTGCGCGTCGGAATCGGCCAGACCGCACGACACGAGCAATTCACGTCTCAGAGCCGCAACCTCATCTCCGATCAACTCTCCCTGCGATGTGCAAGTGTCAGTGTAAAACGCTATGATGCGCCAATAGCGACACGCCGCTCGCATCCACTCACCAGTTCCAAGCTGACCATTTTCCTGATGGCTGTACAGCGCGCGCTCAGGAATTCTGTACCCTTCCCTGCTGGCTGCACTTCACGCGACAAAAATGTGAGAGCTGAGCCGCAGCATTTGAGCAGGTCTGCAACATGCTTGGATGTAACCATTCCTGACGCCGGCGTGGTACCACTGCAAGTGCGAGGTGCGTCTCTAGGGCGCTGCATGGTGCTTGTATGCGCAGATCTCGGAGCAGCGCTTCTTGCGGATGCACCCTTCTTGTCGCTGCGCACCTGGCTGGCTTGCTCGCGTGCAGGTTTCCATCCAGCCACGACGAGATCGTTGAGGCTCTTGAGACAGGCATTGGCGATGCGCTTTGCTAAGTGCGCTTTTTGCATCTTCGTCATTTCTTGCTTCTCCTTGCCTACCATGTGCAGCGCGGTGCACGTCGCGGATGATTTGGCTACAACTTTGGCGAGCCCCGCACTACTCGGCCCAGCGACACCAAACAGCCCTTCTAACGCCAACACCAAGTCTCCCGTAATAGAACTTGCAATGCTCAATCTGGAGAGCACTTCCTCGCCATCTATGCAGTGCACCTCTTGTGAATGCGACGCTCCAAAGGCTACAGCTCCCACATCTCTCATAGCTGCCGGTCTTACCGTGGCAGCTGAGGCCGCCTTGCCTGTCGTCGGCGCCACGCCGGAGGCCAATTTAGGCTTCGATGAAGAGATTGATCGCGGAGCATCGAGAGCTCCTGAGACCTTCCTTGAAGGCGGCAAAAGCTTGCTTGAGCTAGAGCTCTGCACAGCACGACCATTGGACCTGCTACTGCTGCCTGCACTTGCCGCAGGAGTCTTCGCGACTGGCATAATGCGATGACGAAGCCGAAGCGAAGACTCGTCTATTTGTGACCTCCGGCGATCTCGAGGGTGCTCCGCGAAGACAAAGCAGGCGGCGACTCGACGAAGGCGCGATTCGGTTGATGGTTGGCGACGAGATTGTCAATGGGAGCCTCAGAACGTGCGGGAATGATGACGGTATGCTTTGCCGGCAAGAAGGCACGCGATTTCACAAGCGATCACTCGATCGCCAGCAGACTCCCAACTCGCGCTCATGAAATGTAGAGTCGTGCCCTTTGCATGCATCCTTCGCGCGTGTTGGGGTGTTTGTTGACTGCGAACACGCGCATTGTGTCGTGCCGCGGCGAGGCAAGACGCGTGAACGCGCGCGCGCGAGTATAGATGTTTACGCACCCCACTCGCCCACATATTGACCGCCAGCCGCGCGGCATGGCCTCACGCGTGGATACAAGGATACACAAGACAAACCCTAACTCCACCGGACCTTTTACGCGTGACTTGCTCGTACACTCGTGACTCCCACACTTGTGACTCGTCAGCAGAACCAAAAGTCATTCAGAGGCCTGTCCTCCAACATCACAACACGACTGATCCGCAACGAAGCGCTCCTTAGCCGCGTAAGGCTGTTCAAGCCACTGTGCGAGAGCTGCTTGCTCCTTGCCCTCGACCTATACTGCTCGCGGTCCGTTCGGCAACGGAGCCTCGCGCAAAGGCTGCCGCAAGGCGTCATTCCCAAAACGACGCTAACTCAAAGCTCACCTGGAGTACACCATCCAGTAGACATTCGATGATGACAAGCGTCACTGATCAATAACACTCTCTCGACGATCTTTCTTCGCCATGAGCACGCGATCTTCAAGACGGACCAACCCGGCTTCGACAAGCCAGCAAGCGGAACAGGGTACAAGTTTGGCCAATCGATCATCGGCTCGAGCGGAAAGCGTCAGAAGTCGAGCTTCATCCTCACGCAATCGCGCGGATAGCGTCGCTTCGAGCGTCTCTACTGTGCGGCCCAGGTCGAGGAGGATTCAAGAGGGCCCGACCGCGTCCAAGCGGCAAGCGGAAGTCAAAGGTGTGGACGGTCTGAAGATCGAAGATGAAATTCTCCTCGAAGAGGATGAGAGGAACTTTGATGGTGAAGGAGTGGAGATGGACGTGCAAGTTGTAGAGACGCCACGACCACGAGGGACGCGAGCGCCACGCCCTACGAACGTTGTGCCGAGCAGCTTCGCACAGGATGCCGCCAGCTCGCCAAGCTCCGTGAGGGGAGGTGTCGGGCCTCAAATTCACGTGTTCGGCAGCTCAAGTGTGCGGTCCGTGGAACAGGGAGCTAGCCGCTTGTCGGATGGCCGATTAGGACCTCCATCAAGCCAGCACGAAGTAGTCGCATCTCCGCGCACCGACGGTGGTGCGCCAGCAACCTATGCTCTGGGTCGACCACGCATGAGTTCCGAGATCCCTCGAGCAGCGAGACACACGTCTGTAGGAGTGATGGCAGCACCAGATCGTATTCCCCGCAGAAGACAAGTTTCTGCCCTGACATCAGGCGCCGAACTTCAGGAGCTCATGCGGAGTGGAAGATTGAGCGACAGCACCTCGGGCCCCAATACAGTTTCCTTCCTGTCAGATGCCAGAGGTGGCGACGCGTTCAGGCGCGGTTCTATCAGTACGAGAAAGAGCAGCGTAGGACCTCGCCTTCGACCCAGCCTTATGAAGTCAGATGGACAGGTCCACGAACCATCGTTGGCTCAGCGAAGCAACATGCTCGCTGGCAATGCGCAAGGCGTCCTGAACTTCTACGCAGAAGTCATGCGCGACGGTTTCACCGATGAATCGGTCGCCGCAATGCGCAGAAATTGGGAACCATTCCAATGTGAGTCAAGGAATGCGTGCAAAGGGCTTCGCATCCGCTTATAGAGCCTGTGCATCCCCCACAGCATACAAAATGAACAAGCTCATGGCAGAGGCTCAATATCCAAGTCACTTCATCGATGAACGAGCCATGCTGCTAGCTAACGACATCACCGATGCCTCTTCTGAGTTTGGCGAAGCACTACGGCTGGCAAATTGCGCCACTTTTGTTCACTACGTGTACAGTATTCCTGCGGATGCTACTCCCGCAGCTTTGAACCAGGGATACTATCCCCATCGATCGCTTTCCGAGCTGCTAGATGCCGGCAGAATCTTTTTAGCTTGGATCGTCCCGCCCGACACGCCCTACTCCGACGACATTTTGGCAATGCAGGTCGATCTGTGCACCCAAGTCTATTTTGCTCGTCGAAGAGCTGATCGGCAAGTCCAACTGTCCGCACGCAAAAGGGCGGTGGACCATCGAAACGAAGTCTTTTCTCCAGAGACAATCAGGAAGAGCTTGTTGCGAGCCGCAGCTTATAGGCAAATATCTCCTGACGACTTAGCCTTGATCGTTGAGCGATTCGCTGTCCTTGCCGATGCCCGAAAGTACCAGGTGAGCTACACGATTTTCTGCCTTCACTCGACATGTCACTCATAGTGCAACTTCACCTGCGCAGATCCTGCAAATGGACGACGAGGTCGAGTCTATGGCTGCCCACTGGAGCGTGACCCAAACAGCATCGGACTTTGCACGCTTCATCGAGCTCGCGCTGCAGGCGTATCGCCCTGTGGCGCCCTGCTCCTCGTCCGTCGAGGATTTGCTCGAGACTGCTCAGCTGGAGAACGAAACTGGGATCGACGATAGCGAGCTGCAAATCGAGCGCGATCTGGCCGGAAATGGTTCGATGGTGGTGCTGGACGACGTGGCTGAAGAAGACGAATTGGAGTCTGAGGTCTTCGAGGATGAGGACGAGGATGGCGCAGATTTGAGAGGCAGCGTCGTTCGTGCTACTGGCATCGCAGAGGAATCAAGTACACCCACAGAGAGACAACGGTGGCTTCGAGAAGCAGCAGAAGCCGAAAAAAGCACCGAAATCCGTGATGTCTCGACCATCCTTGCTTCTACGACGCCGAGGCAGCGTCGTTCGTGGCTTCGCGACGCCGTTGCGGCCGAAAGCACGCCAGAACCATCAAATGCACTCTCTTCCGCTGCTAGGCAGCGCATCCTCGCTGAGATGGCACTCAACGAAGTCAGTGCCATGGCCGCAGATGCGTCTCCGCAGCCGGCTAGAGAGCCCCTCGCTGAGCGCGTTGCACCTCCAGCAGCAACGCCTCATAGGCCTTCTGCACTCAACGCGCGCAGTATCATGGCAGGTCTTCGCTCGGCTCGAAGGTCTGTTAGCATCCAACCTGGCGCACAGCAAACGCCAGCACCTGCGACAGTCAGGCTTCCACCACCACGCTCAGGCCTCAGAAGCCAGATCGCCGCTGTAGAAGTACCACAGGCCGAGGCGAGCTCTAGCAGCGGTCGTTTCCACTTCGATTCGCAGAACCGTATCAGGAGGACGAACGAACCTGCTCATGAAGGCTTACTTGCCAACAGACGCGGGCAAGGAGAAAGAATGGAACGTTTCGACGAGGATGAAGATGGCGATGCGTTCTTGCAAGATCAAGTCGGTCTGAAAGGAAAGGGCAAACGCAAGGGCCGCAAGCGACCTGAGAAAACGAGGGCGACGCAAGGCGTGGATGACGCTGACCTCGGTAGTGCTCCCGCAGAGAAAGCGTCCGGTGCGGCATCTGTCGCGACAAGAAGGACGCGAGCTCAAGCCCGAGCACTTGAGGAACCAGTCGCTGCCGCTACAGCGGCTGGAGAGGACTTGGGCAGCATGCCGCCTGATGACGAGATGCCAGATTTGGATGAGGTCGGTCGAGACCAACTTCCGCCGGACGAAGGCCTCAATGTGCACGGCGCAGATCCAGAGGTGCTTCTCGATGATCGCAATGCGGACAACGTGGATCTCGCAGATGTGAGCGCCGGTGCTTCGCCGCTTCGACGTCCAATTCGCAGGTCTGGGGTGCCGCCGATCAGACCGAACGTAGAACAAGACTTTGAACATCTGGACGACCTGGAACAGCAAAATCGTCAAATCGCAGAGGATCGCAAGCGCAAGCGCAAAGGATATCTGCACTTCCGTCTACTCGGCACCCCCTCAAGCGCGCAGGAACCGTTGCCTGAGACGACATCTTCTGATGACGACGAGATCGTCGAGGAGCCTTTGCCGGCGCGAGGAGGGAGAGGTGCAGTGCTGAACCCTTCTAAGCGGCCCCGCAATCACATGAATAGAGAAGAAAATGAGCGTCTAGGAGCTGCTTCAGATGTTGCAGAAACCAACGTAGCAAAAGCTACCCGAAGCAAAACGCGAAGGAGTGCTAGGTCGGAGCAGGACAGCACCTCTGAATCTCCACGCCAGACACGCTCAAGAGCATCCACGCGATCTCGCAGGGCAGCGCAAACAGTCAACGACGAGAACGTGCCGGCAGATAATGCAGAAGCGAGCGAGGAGGAGGAGGAGCATGAGGAGATGGACGAGCTGCTAGAAGTGCGACGACCACGAGCTTCCTCTGTACGATACAAGCCCAAAAAGAACGCAGAGATCTACAAGACGGGCGGGAATGCTAAGGGCAGACAGTTGTGGTCGGATGAAGAGACGAGAGTGTTGCAATCTGCGCTGCGTCGATTTGCTAGAAGGAAGATCAAAAATTCCCATGCGCTCGTGTATCGCGATGTCCTGCTTGCGCATGGGAAAACTGGAGATAGGAAGCTGGCGAGATGGAACAATGTGCAGCTCAAAGATAAGGCTAGAAACGAGCTACTACGCATGAGACGCGAAGGAGAAATGGTGAGCAAGGGCAGCCTAAGAGAGTATTTTATCGCGCATGTGCGCCAAGTGCTGATTCGTGTCTCGTGGTGTCGCGAGCAGATTCCGTACTGGAGAGCTCTGCTATTTCCCAACCTCTGGGAAGAAAAGAAAGTACCCAACGCTGAGGCGCCTCCTGATTCTGAGGACGAGTCGGACGACATTGAGGAAGATGAGGACGAGGATGAGGAAGACGAAGCGGATACTGATCAGCACGAGAGCGCAGAGGATGCGACTGGTGCGGAAGAGGCAGATGAAGATGTGGGAGAAGTGGAAAATGCGCTCTCTTGAGTCGTGCGTGTATCGGCTAGTGGGCATCCGTCACTGTACGGCCGATAGGCGTCGATGTTGAGCGCATCGAAAGTCTTACTCTCTCGGTATCGAGTCTCGGATGTACCTTCACGTATCGGTCACGCCTTACACTTTGCCATGTTTTTACTGTTGAGCTTGCCGCGGTAGCCTAATCGACAATTCCTAGTGCATGGCCTGCGGTGGAGAAGGACAAGATCACAAATGTGGTGTCTGCGCTGGTTCGATTCCTGGTTCTGAGAGCTGCAGCCGATGTTGCCCTTGGGCATGTGTGTCTTGGCGAATTTGGTCTGCGAATGACTGAGGCTTGTCGCTACCAAAGGCAGAGAGAGAAACTGCACGACCTCCATTCGACTGGGTCCCCACAATGGAGTCACGGGCGCGTGAGTCAGTCACGAGACGCGTGCAGGGAATCCTCGGCGACTTCTGCACGCGCGAAGCAGCGTGTCGACCGACATGTGATGCAGCCGATCGATGCTGTCTGAGCATCACGAATCGTGAGCGACAATTTGGAATCAGAATGTAGAGCACGCACGTTGCTGGCATCTGCTTCATCTCTTCTTCTCGACTCCAGCTTCCACCGCAGCCGTTCTCGACGCTGCTCGGCTCGCAATCATCATGTCTTGGGCGGAGACGCAACACATCTTAGCGTCGCCCACCAGTCTAGGCATTCCCATCACTTCCCTCGCATTCGATCCATTCTCCGACCTCCTCTTTTCCGGCACATCGACCGGAAATCTTTTGGCTCATTATGGACCTTCTTTGAATCGATACACCTCTGCTTTGGCTCATGGCACAAAGACGAAAGATAGTAGGATTCATCCGCAGGAAACGGTCAGGGGAATCGTGCTGGATGAGAGATGCGTGTACTCGGTGGGAGATGGGAGCGTGAGAGCGCAGAATAGGAGAGGACTCTGTAGGTGGAACGAGCTGATTGGGTGAGTGTGTGCTCGCTTGGGTCAAAGGATGGTCGATGAGAGCGTAGCCCAGCAGATGCTGTGCCTAACAGAGAGCGGATGCGTAGTCACAAAGACGCCAAAGCTGATGAATGTAATCATGACTCGGGCTTCGCAAACCTCAAGGGCGAACAACCAATCCTTGAAACTCTCCTCCATCTGCTTCTCGCCCGTCTTGTCATCATCCGACTTGATAGTGTGCGGATCCCACGCCGTTCCTCAACCAGATCCTTCCAGCGCCGATTCTATCCTCGTCCTCAACTCGAGCGTAGGAGGCGTCGTTCGTCGAGGCACTTCCGATGCGCCACTTTCCCATGTGCGAAGGACGAACAGGTTGTTGGCTTGCGGTACTTCCAATGGACAGGTGCAGCTCAGAGATCCGAGGAGCTTGAATGTGGAGCATCGCTTGCATGCTCATCCTGGTGGCCTCATCGAGGTGCAGGCAGAAGGCAACTACGTCTGGAGCGCTGGCTGGACAGTCAGGTGAGCCAAGCATGGCAGCGCAACAGGACTCAGCTTAGTCAAGTGTCCCAGTAGCAGGTGGTGCCGCGCTGACGTGCATGGCTCTGCTGCCCTTCTTGACAGACTTGGACATCCTGTACCCGAGCCGTACGTCAAGGTGCACGATGTAAGGTCACTGCGAGCCTTGTCCCCGTTGCCGTTCTCAGCGCCAGGCGGACCTGCGCTCTTGGCAATCCATCCCAAGTTGAGCAGCACAGTTATGGCCGCATCTCCAGGTGGACAATTGCAAGTAGTAGATGTGAACAATGCTGGAAGCGCGCAATACTACCAAGTCGCTACCAATAGCTACCTGTCTTCCATGGCCGTCTCTGCCAGCTCGGACTACATGGCCTTTGGTGAGGGTGACGGTAGCATACGGTTGTGGGCAAATGTACCCCCCGGCACCGATCCCACCAGTGCTGGATTGAGATTCGCACCGCACATCGCCAGTCCACCCGAGATGGCCGACGTGCCCGAAATGCTGCAGCCCATCCAGTGGAGCATCGAGACGTAAGTACATGGCAGCCCTTGTAGTGTTGGCACGTGTGCGGTCACGCTCACGCCCTATTGTGCTCGTGTCAGTCCCCTGTCAAGTATCGGCATGCCACACTACACCGAGACTCTCTTGTCGGTACTCGACTACAACCACTACAGCTCATCTGCCTCGCCACTGTTCAACCCGCCAACAAAGATAGACCCGCAGGTGTTATCCACCATGCGCACTGTGGACGGAGTAGCCTACGCTCCACTTCCTCGTCACTTGCGCGGCAAGAGGAATCAAATATCCGGTCAAGGCCCAGGCGGAACTGCGAAGGGAGACGCACTGAAAGCTGCAGGACTGGCGGGCGGGTCGAGATCTGATCCGGCCGAAAGACGGAGGATAGGCATGCCGCTGTTCAGATCTGAAAGGGAGAAGGAGCAGGCTAGAGCAAAGACGAATGCTGCGGACTCGCAGACTCCCGACACTCCTCTTAGCCCGGGGGCTGAATTTGCCACTTCGAAAGAAGAGACCAGAGGAATGCCATCTTACTATGGCGTCAAGACCATCCAGTACAGCAAATTTGGAATTGAAGACTTTGATTTCGATTTCTACAACAAGACACCATTCTCTGGATTGGAAACACATATTCAGAATTCCTACTCGAACGCCTACTTGCAATCCTTGCACTATCTCTTGCCTTTTCGAAAACTTGCAGAGCAGCACTGTCTCAATTCTGCGCACGAAACGCAGGCGACTTGCAGCGTCGAGACTTGTCTGCTCTGCGAGGCTGGATTCTTGTTCAGAAGTCTAGACACTGCCAAGGGCCAGAACTGCCAAGCGACGAACTTCTTCAGAGCTTTGGGGAACAATGAAAGAGGTGAGCAGCGCCATTCTATCCAATTGCTGGAGCGTTTGCTGATTTCTTTTGGAGGGTTTGTGGCCGTCCAGCCATCTCTTTGGGATTGATGGACAAGGAAGACTCGCCACATGCGGACACCGCTTACAGCAACCTCATACAGACCTTTAACCGATTTGTCCTAGACGCAGTCTCGCAAGAGGCTGCAAGACATGCAGAGAGACCCTCGCCTGGTCAGCAAAGTAGGCGCGCTAATCCCGTCTCGGCGCTCTTCAGGAGCGCGGTCAGAACGCGCAACGTCTGCTCCACGTGCGGCTTTTCGTCGGACAGGGAAGCCAATAGCAGTGTGGTAGACTTGGTTTACCCAAGGAAGGTGCGTGTTTGCGCGACACGTGCCAACTCGAACATGTGCTGATCAGACTTGTGCATCACCTTGTTGACGTAGGCCATGTCCAATGAGCTTCCACCGCCTAGCGATTTTGCGTCGATCTTGAAGGTATCGTTGCTGCGTGAGACCATGTCAAAAGCGCTGTGTCGGCATTGCCACACATCGAACAGCATCATACGTTCACTTCGAGAACTTCCTGCGCATGAAGACTTGCCCAAAGCACTGAGCATCAACGTCAACGTCCATACGGCTGAGCAACTGGCCTACTGGATCGACGGCATCGGTCCGAGCGGTATCATGCAAAGTACCTCTTCCACAAGTAGCTCTGGCATTAATCGCCAAACGTTCTTGCCCCCATACGTCGCTGTTGATGTTCGGACTAAGGACGTGCGCATCTGGGGTATCTGGGACGAACACGCAATGCTGGAAGCCAAAGAAGAGGGCGGCGTGGCACTGTATACCACGAGGTCTATCGTCGTGCAAATACAGGCGGAGAAAGAAGCGCCGCATCTGTGTTGTATTGTGCGGATTCCTAAGGAGCAAAGATCATCGAGCGGAAGTGCAGACGGAGCGGAGCGACGGGCAGATTCGGCAAAGGCTGAGCCGACTGAGAGTGATGCAAACGCTCAATCGTTGGAGGGATCTGCGCAGAAGGGCAAATCCATCACGCACGATTGGTACCTCTTCAATGACTTTCTTGTGCGCGGCATCTCCCAAGCCGAAGCGCTCGGCTTTCCAGCGATTTGGAAGGTAAGCAGTCGGAGTAATTTTATTGCGCTGACGCTGGAGGTGGAGCTGACCTCGCGAGATTGTATGCTTTACAGATACCCGCCATCGTCTGGTTGGAGCGCGTCGACGTCCCAACACTGGAAGCGAGCCTCGCACTTCCCCGCTCGCTGGATACTACTTCACTCCTTCAGGACACCAACATAGCTTGGTGAGGCTTTTTGTTCAACGTACGCTGGTGCATTGCCGCTGACATGATCGTTTTGTCGTGTGCTTGACAGGCGACGCGACCCAAATCGTGTTCGGCACGAAATTTTGAGGGTCGAAGAGCTGCCCAAGCCCGGGACCCTAGTCGCCATCGATGCAGAATTCGTGGCCCTGAGTATGGTGCGTAGCTACGCAACGAGAAGGCTCTCATGGAAGTTGTAAGCTGCTGATGTGCGGTCACTCTCATCGTCATCGCACCGAATCACATCACATCGCAGGAGGAGCTCGAAGTGCGCTCCGATGGCACTCGCTCCGTCATCCGTCCTAGTCGCCTGACACTGGCGCGTGTGTCCGTGCTCCGAGGCGAAGGGCCAAAGGAAGGCACTCCTTTTATCGACGAGCATATTCATACTCGGGAGCCCGTTGTGGATTATCTCACTCAATTTTCGGGCATCTTGCGTAAGTCGCCACCGCGGCCTAGCTGCTGATGTCTTCCGGCTTGCTGACTAGCATCACGTCGACTGGAATAGATGGCGATCTCACGCCCGAGTCCTCCAAGCACACGCTCGTCCCGCTCAAAATGGCCTACAAGAAGCTTCGATTGTTAGTGGAGCTCGGCTGCGTCTTTATTGGACACGGGCTCAAAAAGGATTTCCGTATCATCAGTGAGTTCGCCTATCCTCTCGGCAGCAAATGTCAGGTCAGTCGCTGACGCTATGCGGGACTGCTTGGCCAAAGATATTCATGTGCCGGAGCATCAGGTGATAGACACAGTCGACTTGTATCACAGCGCAGCTCATCCACGCAAGTTGAGTCTTCGCTTTTTGAGCTGGTTCTTGCTCAAGCAAGACATTCAAGGTTCGTCTGCCAAGAATAGCGAGCAAGGACTGGAAGCTGGGAGCGGTGCAGTCGAAGGTCACGACTCGATCGAAGATGCTCTGGCCGCCCTGAGGCTGTACCGTCTGTACGAGAACTTCAAGCGCGATGGTAGGCTAGACGACGTGATGGAAGACCTATACGAGGAAGGACGCAGAGTGGTGAGTTTGTGCTGAGCCCCAGTTTCTGTGCTGCCGCGTTCCTCTTTCTCTCTTTCGTGGACCGCGCTGATGTGCCACATTCTTTTGTTGCGTGTGCGTCAGAATTGGAAACCTCCGGTGCAGCCTTCCAATTCCAATACATCGACGCACAGCTTGCCAACGCAGATTCCGACAGGTTCCGAAATGCTTGTGCCGATCACCGCACCATCACAAGCTTGGCCCGATTTGGGCTGAAATCGAGCAGGAAGTCAATGTGCTGTATACAGATTCTCGTTTATGGCAAAAGGCAGCATCTCGACGATTGTGCCAGGAGATCGCGCGACCGCGAGCGAGGTTGCTCGCAGAGTCACGTCAACTATTTCGGCTACGCAACTTTCGCGAGACCTCGTGCAGCACAACCCTAGCACCTTACTTTGTCACCATCTAGTCACTTAAGATACGCTGTGCAACACCATCACCTCGTCTGTATTCTTTGCGGATTCGGCGGTGAGACTTTGCACTCCTCCACTTATGGGCCTTGCTTTGAGGGCGTGCTGGTCTGCTGGATAAGCACAGCTTGCTCAGCTGATCATCTCTTAATTGGATCATGGTCCGCATGCTCAAAGCAGCCGCGCCCCTGCACAGGCAGAGAAGCGATGCAGATGAGCAAATTCGGCCCCCACGTATGAAACGCAAGAGACCTCCAATCTATTACTCTGTCGAGATGTTGTGGCCATCAAACATCAAGTGCTGGATAGGGCAGCAGAGTTGCTGCAAGGCGGTGAGATGTGAAATTGTGAATTTCACTTGAGCAGAAAGTTGCGTCGGCAGGGTGCAGACAAGTGCTGAGCGAGAGAGGACATCATCGGTTGTGGCGGACATCTGTGCGCACTCGAATTGCAACTTGATTAACCCTTGTCCTGCAGCGATTGCTGATGCTTCATTCACGATTGCAGCGCAGCTAGCTAGCTAGCTGCAACGCGTCATGTGCGTCGGATTGGTCACGCGGTCTTGCGCTCACTGATGCTTCTCGTGCCACAGACAGAGCGCGTTTCAAAGTGACGCAGTCGAAAATGCCAGAGACCGCGAGATGTGTGAGAGCCACATCAAGGATGCGCTACCTATACAATTGGCTGCTCTTCTGCTGAGCATGCACAGATGAGCAGCCTACAGCTGATCCCAAAGCTTCCGCGGCCCACCTACATCGCCGCTACCTCATCGGTTGTTCGAGGCGCAGACATGCGCACAGCAGCAGCAGCAACCCAGCGCAGGACCGACGCAACGCGTTATCTATATGCGTGGCGAAGCCAGTCGCGGAGCATCACCGATGAGGTCCTCAAGATCACCTGTATACATCATGCCTGCTGGGCTTGGTCGGTCGATCGTGCGCACAGCTGCATGGGCAGCTGCGAAACGGGCTCAAGCTCATTGGGCGCTGGTATGTGAGATTGATCAAGCCAAAGCTGCAAGCGGGCACAATCCTCACCTTCGCAGAGACTCTTCACTGTCAAAGTCTCTTGGTTGGGCGGGGACGTCCGAGCCGGATGCCATGCTTCCGCGGACGCCAGCAGCGACAGGGAAGAGCAAGACACCGCTTATGGAGCACTAAATGCCGACCAGACACACCATTGGCTGTGGCCGTTCGCCAAAATGATAATGTGTAACGGCACCAGAGCTGTCTGTCTGGAGCTCACGGCTCAGCTTCTGACCTGTCTTTGTAGTGAGACTGCCGCAGTAACGGCACGAAAGCAGCTGTCATGCTATTGCGAGCCCAAGGCCACCAAATTTTCCTTTTCGAATGGGCAGCGAATGCAGCCAATGATTCCACACTCGGCTCGAAAGAAAAGTTGAAAGGTCTTGCACCTTCTTTACCAACCACAACATCATCCGCATCTTCACCTCCCCGCATAGCCGATCATCGAGCCAGCTTCATATCAACATGGCTCCTTCAGTCGACCTGCTTTCGGGTCCTACGCCACTGCCCATCAATACCAAAGCGACAGCGACGTCTGTCCGTACACCTGAGGCGCCGAAAGCTGTCGACACTATCTCCAAGAAGACCAGCACAGAAGATGCGGTGGAACCCAATGCCAAGCGCACGAAGCGTGTCGGCAAGCTGCCCGTCACTCTCTTGTCCGGCTTCCTGGGCGCTGGCAAGACGACCCTGCTGCAGCACATTCTGACAAGCAACCACGGTCTGGGTCGCGTCGCGGTCATCGTCAACGACATTGGTGAGTCGCCACGCTAGCCCTCGTCTTGACGGCACCCTGATCCACTTGCATCCGAATTGCAACTTTTGGCAGGCGCCCTCAACATCGATGGAGCTCTCTTGTCTCAGGCCAAGGTGAAGCAGACGACTGAGAGATTGGTAGAGATGCAGAATGGATGCATTTGCTGCACCCTGCGCGGCGACCTCCTGGAAGAGGTGGCTGCTCTTGCACAAGAAGGTGGCGTCGATTACCTTGTCATCGAAAGCACCGGCATCAGCGAGCCTATGCAGTGAGTTGAGACAGGCGGAGATGTGTCATTGTGGAGTGATGCTGATCATGGAGCACTCCGGCGATCGACCGCTCCTGCAGAGTGGCAGAGACTGTGAGTCGACCGTTCACCCGTGTATGACTGTGAAACGTTTTCTGATTTCGCTACTTCTCACCGACAGTTCAGCGAAGAATTCTCGCAGATGCACGTAGCAGCCGCCGAAGACTTGAAAGCTGAGATGGCCGAGGACGAGGAGTCGGCCAAGCAAAACGCCAAAGTAGCACAGATACTTGCTGCCGGCGGTCTACCTGCAATCTCGCGTCTCGATACTTGCGTCACTCTTGTGGATGCTTGCAACGTCTTCAATGATTACCAGACTGCAGACTTCCTGGTCGACCGTAACAAGAACGGCGAGGTGCCTGAGGGTGCGTGAAAGAGACTGCATTCGCGGACACTGTGCGCTGCTGACGCATGCATTGTATCTCGTGGCTATCGTAGAGGACGACAGATGCATTTCTGATCTCATGACGGATCAACTCGAATTCGCCGACGTCGTCATCTGCAGCAAAGTAGACTTGGTCGCTCCGACCGAGGTAGAGCGCATTCGCAGCCTTGTCCACCAGCTCAATCCAACGGCCACTTTCATACCTGCTGTCAAGGGCCAAATCGACCTGAGCAAGATTCTCAATACTGGGAGCTTCTCCTACGCCAAAGCTGCTACCTCGGCCGGATGGCTGCGAAGCTTGCAAGAAGTCGTCAAGCCAGAGACCGAAGAGTATGGCGTGGGAACCTTTGTGTACCGTGCTCGTCGTCCTTTCCATCCGCTTCGCTTGTGGAAAGCGATCCGCGAGGTCTTTGTCGTCATTCAGGTGAGCTGCTTGCAAGCACGCGGGCCTTCACCGGTAAGCCTGGCTGACTCTGCTGCAGGCCGCTCCTGAACCGCACCCGGATATGGATCTTGACATACAGACCGAGTACATTGACGATGGCGAAGGGAGCGAGCAAGATGAAGAGAAGGCCATCGGCGATGATGCTGAGATGTCAGAGGCCGAGGTGGAAGAAGGCGATGAAGAGGTCGCCTCTGACGATGAGGATGAAGCAGGCGAAGCTCAGCCTCAACTTAATCCCGCAGCTCGACTTGCCAGCAAGAAAGCATCTGGCTGGGCCAATCTGTTTAGATCGAAGGGCTTTATCTGGCTTGCTACCAGGCCTCTCATGGTGAGCCGCATACAGCACACGAGATCACCCTCACTGCAATTGTCGTCGACTAGATACTGACAAGCGACTCGTCTTGCAGTTTGGCGAGTGGTCCCAAGCTGGATGCATGCTGACTTTGAACGGAGGTGGCAGATGGCGCTGTGAAGTGCCCGAAGAGGACTGGCCTCAAGATCCTGAAATTGTCGACGCAATCAAACGCGACTTTGAAGGACGTTGGGCTGACCGTCGTCAAGGTGAGCTGGACGTACGAGCCTTGTTCAAGGCGAGCGCTGACACTTGCCTGCGCCCTTTCTACATGAAGAGCTCGTCTTCATCGGACAAGGTATGCGATCCGACCCCAAGACTGGCAAAACCGGCATGGAAGCTTTCATTCGTCAAAACCTAGATGATTGCTTGCTGAGCGACGAAGAGTGGAAAGAGTGGGAGAGGATCATGAAGGGTCACAGCGCGCAACAGGACCTTGCCAAGCGTGCGGAGAGACTTGAGAAGATCTTTACTGGTGAGTGGCCGCCGCTACAGGGACCAAGGCGGTATACGCTGACCGACCGCTGCCGCTTCCATTTCAGATGGCTTCGAGGACTGGCCCGATGATGAGGACCACACTGGTCACGATCACGCTCACTGAACCAGCTAGCTCATGCTCAAGTGTTTGTCGTCTGCTACACATCCAATTGTTCTTGTCCCGCCAAAAAACTTTTTCCGCCAGAAGTCGTACAAGCGTTCGACGTAGAACCTCCATAAGCGAATACAGAGCTTGTTCATCCATCCACTGGCGCTCCTCGTTTGAACGAGCGGTCATCTTGAGGGGCATTCCTGCCACGTGATCCGACAGGAAGGTGGTGCGACGCTCTCGACAAAGCGAGACGTGCGATCTTGCTGGACGACGACGATCGAGGAGCACGCTAAAGCGCCGCTGAGCTTGGTATCAGCGAGCACCGTGCTCTCGTCATTTGAACTCGCGTCTGAGTCGTAGCGTAGTGTCTAGCGCTCGGAGGAGTGGATGGTCTAGCGAGGCGATGACGATGGTATCGACATGCGGACTTTGTTGCCATCGATCTGTGAGCCAATGAGCAAGCAGCACCAAGCGCGATCATTTTGCGCGTGCAATGATGCAAGATTGGTGTGTCAAGTGCGAACCAAGCGCGCGAGTTCCTTCGCTCGTTCGGCAACCTCTTCCGCGCTTGGCATCATGCGCCGATTCCGAGATCGTCAGCATCCGCGATCCGCTTTCACCTGCTCGTATCTTTCCAATTCGGTACGAACTTTGTGACGGAAGCCTTTTCCCACACGCTCCTGGGCCGCAAGACATGAACATCGCGATTGCGACAGAAGGTCCACTCCATTTGACCGCTGCGAGCGCGTCGGAGTATGAAGAGGGATGGCGAGCAGGGAACGTGGACGTCTGTGCGCAACGTCTAGGTCTGATGTGGGTGTCGGGCGCATCCAAAATCCTTAGCGCCAGCGCCTGATGACTTGGCCGGAGGGAGGAGGTCCCGAGCTTCGAGGTCCTGATATGTCATGAGGCAGCGCGCAGATTTTGGTCCTTTTTTTGATGGTGAGAAACACAGCGAGGGACTAAAGCCTTCTGGAAAGCGCTATCTGCGTCAAGTCTCGCGCCAATTGAGCACGCTCCACTCACACTCGACGCCTTGCAAATCGTACGTTCGGATGTTTGCATCATACTTGCCTATGCGAATTCGCTCAAAGGCCTATCAAAGTTATCCTCCCAGCGAAACAAAAAAGCTCCACGGTAAGCCGTATGGGGTCCTCGCAATGCAATGCTTGGAGAGGTGGCTTGCGGGATCTGTTGAGCCGCCATAGAGGAGCGGTACCGATGTGCCATTGATTGACTAGGACTGTTGTGGCTTTCCTGCTTCCAGATCCCGAGTGCTTGTGGCTTGATTGCCCCCAGTCGGAAAGTGAACGGATGCGCGCTGCAGCGCAGCAACTCGAGGTCGTTGTACGCCGGTCATGATGTTGGAGTGTGGAGAGTACCGACAGCCGCTTCACTGACGTGTCCGTACTTTCATTCTCCGCTCACATCACGATCATTCTGGATGCGGAGAGCTGACAGCTGGGTCCTGGAGATGCTGATTCAACTCCGCCCAAGCTAATTGCCTTCACAGTGGAGCTTGTCAGACAATGTGAATGTGCACGTCCACGAGCAGCGGAGTTGGAGAAGCAGCTGGACCGAGACACGTGCCCTCGAACGGACGGTGTTGCGCGCAAAGACACAATCATCTTGGATGCGCGAATGGAGGTCCAGGCTCGATCATCTTCCGACTTGAGACTGACTATCCTCATCGTGTGAGCGGGGTCTCTTCGATCAAATTGCCACTGCCGCAGCTCCGCCGGCTCTTAGCTTGGATGCGCGGCGGCAAAGCAAGCGCAAGTCTCGATTCATGACGATGCAAGATTGATTCCAGACCGGCGATATCTGCCTCGCTTTTGCATGCATGTTGCAAGCAAATCAGCAGTCAGCATTAGTGTGAATCATTCACGACTGTGGTGAATGATTTGAATCTGAACGCGGATGGTATGTGCGAACTGCAAAAGCGACGCTAGTCCACCACGCTATACACTTGCAATTAATAAGTGTCGCTCGATCGGTGTCTCGTTTCAGACACTCAGACTATGTGCTTGGATCTTGCACACCTTGCGCGACCGCTTATGTAGCAAGATCCGGCCTTTGACAGTCTTGAGTGGTGGTTGTTTTGGAGCAATTCGTGTGCACTTCAGTTCAATCCATGCGGCCTCTTTATGCTTCGGAGCCCGATCTAGTGGAGCTTTCAGCTGCTAGACGTGTGGATGCGATCCGCGGCTGCTGTAGCTTGTTTGCGTCAGCAATCGTGAGTGCGCATTTACCGCCGATCTGAGCATGTGATACGACTTCTCCAAAGACGTAGCGCATAGGGATCAGAACCACGGCGCCCAGCAACCAAAGTCAAAAGTCGCGAGTGGTGGGGCCGAATGCCGCGAGCGGTCCAAACTTGACGTTTGCGCTCGAACCCTCTGATCATTCGAACGGTGACTGTCGCAGTCCTGAGAGCCAATCGTCGGACGAACAATTTGGAACAGGCCTCGCCAAACTTGCGCAACAACGAGAGTCTTGAGTGACTGAGGAGCGCGACTCCACGAGCCCTGGGTGCGACCTAGCGGGCGGAAGTGTGCGAAGCTTGTTCGGCACTTGCAGCACGTGAACTATCATGAATGGTATAGAATCTTGAATGGGAATGGTAAAAGGCGGCAGCCCCGATCTGCGGCGAGGCCAAAACAAAGAGGCACCCCACCGCGCGTGCAAGCGTCGCTTTGCTCTGATCTTGAATGACATTCCGCACCCAACCAGCAGAGTCGTGAGTGAGTCGTGAGTCGCGGCGGGTGAAAGTTGTCGATCGTGAATCGAGCCAATCACGCGCATCTGATCAGCGCACGTTCTCTCGTGCATGCAGTGCTGCTTTCTTCCACAGCGTTGCCCCGTCCATATACGCGCTTGCCTTTGCTTTGATCTTTGATACTCCGCTTACTTCACCAGCATGGTACCGTACTGTACAGCGGATGGCCTACATGTCCATCAGAGCGCGCGAAAAGCTCATCCATCGCGCATGGATCTTGCAGAACAACCCTGCCGGCGCGGGTGACCACGAATCACGAATGCAGCGCGCGAGCGCCTTGCTCCCGCTGCGGAAGCCGGCTCATTTGCGATTGGCATGGCAGAGGAACCGCAGAGCAGCTGCGACTCGACGCGCAAGCCGGCGCCACACTCTATATTCTCATGGCGTCGAAGGAACGTGCGCTCGGGGGATCGGAGTCTGGACTCTCCCCGAAGCTTTGACTCGCTCTACTCCACTCGGTCCATTCTTCTTTCCCTCTCTTCATGTTCCCACAGTCTGACGGCTCCTTCCGCACTGACCGCCGGCTTACGCTCCATTGCCGTGGTTTTGATCGTGTGCATCCTGACAGCATGCATAGCCGAGTGAGGCTCATCACTACACGAAATCGACAGCACTTGCCTTTCCGGTCATTGTTTCGTGCCTGCAGGCAAGAGTGAGACCGGCGGCGCGCGCCGGTTTGATCGCGGTTGAGCTCGGCTAGCTCAAGATATGCTTGCTGATGGTCCTCTACGTTCGAGCTAGTTTCAGCTAGACAACTAGTTTGCCGTTGCTGGAAGTGTCTGTGCGCTGTGATCGAAGATGGGAGGTCCTGGCGTCGCTGATGAGTGGCAACTGCGCCTTCTACCGCTGCGCCAGCCAGGTCACCCTCATTCCACGATTGCCAGAAGCTCGTCCGTCTCGAGTCGCGTGCGCTGCACGTTGCTTGAACGGGCTGTAAAGCAGCTGTTGGTAAATCAAATAGCACAAATGTCGTGGGCACCGCAGGTCCGATCTTGTGGCGCTGCATTTCTGCATCTCGGTCTTGTCTTGCCTTGCGACACGCTTGCCATGCACTCGACCGACGGCAGTTGCGGAGCGGAGACGGCGGTTCGGCGGATGTTGAATGGCAGCAAATGTTGCTGGGGTCCTGCATGAATGTGCATGTCCAGCTTGGGAGCAGCAGAAGAGACGCGGTCATCAGCGCCATCACCCGCCTTGCTCTTGGGTCGCCGCGGCAAACCAAGTTTGCCCGCCACCGTATAGCGCACCTGATGCAGCTAAAGCATAGATGCAGCGTCTGCGATTTCACGCTTCCGCGTCTCTTCGAGACTTGGAGCGAGTCCAGACGTGATCGATCGATCGATCGAAGGACGAATTGCCCGCTCGCTGCGTGTCGTTGTTTGCACGAATCGAGGCTGAAAGCTCACGCGGTGCGCTGCTGCTGCTGCTGCTGCTGCAAGCTCGCTCGCACTGACCAGCAAGCAAGCAGGTCGAAATCACATTTTTCTTCCCATCCGACTAAACTTTTTGAGAACGTGCTCCTCGCGAATGGTGGACTCGCGATTCTGGCACTTGCATTCGCGCTGGGGCTGGGCCTCTGCTAGGACCGAGGTGCCTGATCACCGGGCGCACGGGCGACCCGGCATCGCAATCACAATGCTGCTGTGGCGCAGTATGGCGCTCGAGCAGACACTTTTTGCAAGAAGCGAGATCGATGTCGGGTAGGCGGGGCGAAACATCTATAAGATCCTGACTTGCCCATGTACTCTTACCCCTTCTCGCTCCTCACCGTTGGTCAACACCATTCCGCAACCTTCAGGGCGATCCTCACCCTCCTGTCCAACCGCATTGCATCGCGCATTCCAAACACTCATCCCCGCACACCCTAACAGCTGCTAGTCATCATGGCTTTCGGCAACGACCTCGACGCCTACCAAGGCGCGTCGACCTCTCTCGCTCTGGTCGAGAAGTCGCGTGCTCGCAGCTTCCTCGGCCTCAGCTGGGGTGAAGCAAAGCTGCTCGTCATTGCAGGTGTGGGATTCTTCATGGAGTGAGTAGAGTCACAAACAGTGAACGCGCATGCAAGTGCTGCACCGCGATCCCTGACCACTCTTCTTATCTCCCCACTTGGCAGCGCCTACGACCTGTTCATCATCAACATGATCTACGCAATCCTCCTGCGCACCTACAAGGAGTTCAAGGTGCCGCAGACTGACAGAGGAGCACCGCTTCCAAACATCACGTGGGGCCTGGATGGAGGTGTCCTCAAGGCATCGGCCAACATCGGCAACGTTTTTGGTCAAATCCTCTTTGGTTTCCTCGGTGACACTTTCGGCAGATCAGCAGTATATGGAAAGGAACTCATCATCATCATTGTCGCCGTCATCATGATCATCTCTGTGCCCGACTACCTTGGAGGTGTCGGTGTCACTGCCTGGATGACCGCCTTCCGCTTCATCATGGGTATCGGTATCGGTGGTGACTACCCTATGAGCGCTACCATCGTCTCGGACCGCTCTCACGCCCACAAGCGCGGTACCCTCTTGGCCCTCATCTTCTCCAACCAAGGTTGGGGTAACCTCGTCGGCGCCATCGCTGCCGTCGTCGTCATTGCCGCATACAAGGGTCCCGTCACTGCCGGAGACACGCACAAGCTCTCTGGAGCTTGGCGCATCCTCCAAGGTCTGGCCCTCATCCCCGCTTTCGGTGTCCTCTACTTCCGTCTCACCCTCGTCGAGTCCACCCGCTTCACTCAAGCGCGTCAGATTCAGGACGACCCCGAGCTGCTTGCCAAGGCTTCCGCTGCCGGCGTCGTCGTTGGCGAGTCTGACTCTGACGAGGAGCTCGCTAAGAAGGGTGGCGACACTCCTATCGCTGCTGAGAACGAGGCTGTCGGCCTCAAGTTTGCTACCGTCGGCAAGAAGCCTCACAACGAATTCTTCGAGTACTTCAGCGAGTGGCGCCACCTGCGCGTTCTCCTCGGCACAATTCTCGGCTGGTTCTTGGTCGACATTACCTTCTACGGCATCAATCTCAACCAGTCCGTCATCCTGCAAGCCATCGGTTTCACCACTGGTAGCACTTGGTCCAAGCTCATGAAGGTCGCCACTGGTAACCTGATCATCACCGTCGCTGGTTTCTTGCCTGGCTACTTCTTCACTGCCGCACTCATCGAGGTCGTTGGCCGCAAGCCCATTCAGCTTCTCGGTTTTGCCATGAACGCCCTCTTCTTCGGCATCCTCGGCGGCAAGTTCGACGAGTACAAGGCGCATACCAACCAGATCTTCCCCCTCTTCGTCTTTTTGCAATTCTTCTTCAACTTTGGTGCCAACGCTACCACCTTCATCATTCCTGCCGAGGCTTTCCCCACCCGTGTCCGTGCTTCCGCTCACGGTCTGTCTGCCGCTTGCGGTAAGCTGGGAGCCATTCTGGCTTCGCTCGGCTTCAGCGTCTTGGCCGACCCCAAGAAGTCGATCGGCCAAGAAAAGGTCTTCTGGATCTTCTTTGCCATCTCCATCCTTGGATTCATCGTCACTATCCTCCTCGTACCAGAGACCAAGGGCTACGATGCTGACGAGGTCGACCGCAAGGAGCTCGCTGAGAAGCGAGGCCTCGGCGCAGAGACCAACCCCAACTTGCACTCTCTCTAGAATGGAGAAAGGGTCCGAAAAAAAACGATTAGGATATTCACGCGTCGATGTTTTGTTATAGATCATGTTTGTGGGCCCCTTGCATAATGACCATTCGTCTTTCTTGCAAGCCGAGCTCCACTTGCCTTTGGCCTTCTCTCTTCTGATGTCCTTTGTCGACAGTCGCGCTTCATGCTTTCGTGTTTCGCTATTTTGGGCTTTTCTCTAGTCATGTACAAAGCTTTTGCCACTATTCCCTCAACCCGGCTTGCGCCCCCCCCCCTACTCCACAAACGTTGACTTACCCACGCACAACGATTGTCGACGTCACCCTATCACGAATGCATACCAATTTCAAAAGACCAGGCCGTCGTCTGATCTGCGCGCATGCATGTGTATCGAGCAAAAAGGGGCGTGGAGAAGTCACCTCTGCTGGTGAAGTGGATGGATTGTGACGCCTGTTTGATCTGCGGGCCGTGTGATTGACGAGGCGCTTATTGTGCAGGCTTTGCACGCCTAGCGATTCCTTTGCGGCTGTTGCAGATGCGGTGTGTCGAATCATCTCAGGGCGGCGAAGGGAAAAGGAAAAGGCTTGCAGCAGCCCTTTGCCGGTGACCAGGTCGATTCAGCAGCATTCTTCAAATTGGCACTTTTGGACGCGCAAACAAGCAAGAGAAGCAAGAGGGCGAACAGCGAGGCTCTGATCTGCATCCGGGTCTCGTTCCAAGTAAGCATCACGATTTCTCGAGCGCAGAAGTAAATGTGAGCAAGCCTCTTTGATCTAGACGTTCCTTGTACCCGATGAGCCACTCTTCCGCATCTTTTGCAGGCTTGGGCTTACCAGCCGTATGAAGTTTGCGTGCCAATAAAAACGACGCATCCTTTCCTTCTCCTACGCACTTCATCAACAGACCGCCCAAAGGTCGTGATAGGCATGCTGTGCCCGGCATCGAGTCGGCGTCGCGCAACAGTGACATAGCTTTGCTATCGGCTGCGCTCAATTCAGATACCCCCCCTAGCTCCACCACCTCGAGGTCGTGAAGTGACACTTCGTTGATGGAGGATCTTGGATCGGTAGCTTTGGGATTAGGCATCATGCTGTACACGGGAAACTGAAAGGGGGGCCCACTTCAGCTCTGCAGCTGAGCCAGACCTCGCTTCGTACAGGCACGAGCAAAGCTGCGCTGTGCCTCTCGCCAACTCACAAAATGGCTCACACCCCTGTTCAATCGCTCGATGCGCTCTGCCGACATTGTGTTCCAGTCCACAAGAGCATGACGCCTCTGTACCTTTCGCGCCATCGAAGGAGGCTGGTGCGAGTCCGGCATCGCCGATTGAGGGCACGCCTTGGCCTGCGCGACCGAGTCAGTGCAGCAATAAGCATCCACGGCTCGCAGACCATTCTTCAAGTGCTGACTTTTGTGTGCGCTCACCGCACGTTCAGGCAGAGTACGAAGAGTCTCAGCCAACAAGGCTGCACCAATTGCAGCCAATTGGTCCCGCAATCGTATGTACGACGAGCTTGTGGGCATGGCCTGACAAATGTATGAGAGACGTTGTAAGCGACAATTCTGCTCCTCTGCTTAGGAGACGCGACTGACCACCTCTTGGCTGTTGAGCAGCTCTCCATGGTCGAACTTTTCCGAGATTCGCTGGACGGAAACGCCTGTCAGTGTGTGGCCCCTCGCGATGGCCCACTGAATGGGTGCAGCTCCTCGCAGCTTTGGCAAGAGGGAAGGATGGACATTGAGCTTTTGCCAATGCGGAAAAGCGTGCAAAAAGGCTGGCGGAATGAGATGTCCGAAAGAGGCAGCTACCAGCAGCGCGTTGGAAGACTCTCGAAAGGAGTCTGGAACCTGCAACTCGGACGAGCACAATAATCAGCGACCTGAGCAGAACCATAACCCATTCTTGCACGTCGAACCCACCTCGAAAGAATCGAGCCCGGCTCGAGGCACTTCGTGAATGGTGATGTCGTGCTCTGCGGCAAGAAGTTTGAGCGGCGCTTTGCAAGGGGACTCGGCAGGTTCAGCCATCAGCTCTTCGAACTCGAAAAACCCCCAAATGCGTGAGGCCGAGGGCGACTCACGTATTGCGACTCTTTGTTTACCACGAGAGCTTTTACGAGGCTCGGGGCTAGAAGGGACCAGTACTTCTACATGCTGGATGAGATCTGCGGAATTGTTTTGCGCGATTGAGCGCGTGTTTAGTCGTCAGAGCTCAAACATCAAAGTGCCCACCTTGACGATGCCTTAGCAGCTCCTCAAAGATGACGCAGGAAAATTCGTCCGTGCCGCAAAAGAGCACCTTGTAAGGCGGCGGTGAGATGACTTGCACTTTGAAGAGCGGCTGAGAAGCTGCGCCTTCTTGTGCTACTGCCCTTGAACAGGAAGTGCATAGAAGTCGAACGATCGAACGGAGCGGATCTTGCTTCCCTGTCCTTTCGTCAAAGTCCGGGAGCACAAGTTGCCGTACATGCCTCTGAAAGGGAGGGACACCGTGCCGAGCAGCAAGGTGCACCTGCCTTGAACATCCACTCTTTGCCAATCGAGCTTTCGCATCGGACACGCTGGGTCCATGCCAGCTAAGCGTGCATCCACTTCGCAAAACACAAGTGGATACCTGGCGGATGCAAGATGTATGCGCTGCTGGCACGCAGAGCGGACGGGCGCAGCAGTGAAGCGCGCATCTTTGTCGAATCGCACTGGCACCTGAAAAAGGCATGGCAGACCCCGCGCCAATGGCGACGGAAACGATGAGTCCGCGTGCGTTTTGATCACAATGGTCGTGAGACGTCGTGCAACGAAAGCATAGACGCACGAGTATCGAAGTCGGTTCATTAAGCTCCTGATCGTTGTTCACCTTCGCCTCTCTCCCTCCAAAATGACGCGGGTCTCATTTAGAAGCTTGCCGAGCGAAGGTGTGGAGGCTAGTGCGTCCTTCTATCACGTGACTCGCGTTCTCAGACATGACCATTTCAGCGCTTTGCCTCACGACTTGAAACCAATTTTTGAATCTCGTTCTTGTGTCAAGAAGCTAGACGCCTCAAAGTGCCACGGACGATCGAGAAGTGCTAGCCATTCAAGATTGCTCAACATTACATGAGATCGTGGATCAAAGTTACGAGAGCACGAGAGGACTAGGCACGTGTACTTTCTTTGATTCTGTAGAGGCCGAGCGAGCGAACGAGCGAGCGAGATCTTTGGGCACAATGCATGAGAAAGGAGGATTGGTTGTTTGATGTTTCTACACACGTTTAGGAGTTGTGCTGGCAGCGAGAGGACGTGCTCTTCATGTGCTGATTCAGAAGCAAAAACAGAGCAAAACAATTGCTACGAATTGATTGGCAGGCAGTCCACGTTCACGCAGACTCTGATGTCGGGTCTGCAGAGGTTTGCTCGGTGCCCAAAGCGACCTCGTCGAGAGGTACAGCGACGGTAGACCCATCTTGCAAAGTCCGTTCCAATAGTCCTTCCTTATTCACACGCGTCGCCTCCTGGTCTACACCAGGGCCCAGCGGAGCTTGGTCCGAAGCAGCGTGCTGTGCGCCTTCAGAGCCCGCACCCGAGCCAGCAGAGGTCGCGCTTCCCGCTCTCCTCCTGTTGGCAATGGCCAGCTGAGCATCTGCCGCTTCTTTCTGCTCCAGACTAGGCCTGCGCATGTGCGCTGTGCTGACCACGTCTACACCCGAAGGTTGGTCCAATATGCCCCCCAGAGCCCCTTGGGCGTGGGGCGGCACTTCAGACGTCGGCGTCGCCGCATCGCTGTCCGACCCATCGCCAACCACTTCCTCATCGTCCGAGCCTCGACCCTCACCAAGGTCATCGGCTGTTCGTTGGAAATCCGCTGCCCAATCTGCCGGGGTCAAATTGGGCTGCTGTCTAGGAGCATAGGAAGACGCGCTGCTCGTGGGTTCCGCGCCGCCGACAAAGCCAAAGTCAGATGCGTTGCCGACCGCACCTGCGTTCTCGGAGAAGGGACCCCATTCGTCGTCCTGCGACAAGGCAAAGCAGACGGCACGTGTGAGCTCAACACCAGAGTTGGCGAGCGAGTCCTCACTCACATCTGATGAGATCGGCGAAACATTTTGACCCGAGAAAGCGTCCTGAAATGGTCGAAATGCAGAGCTCAGTGTCAGTCGCCGATTCGTTGCGGGCCGCGAGGGCCACACAGACTCACGTCAAAGCCAGGTGCATCTTGGGCAGGCCTATCAGGAGAGGGGTGGGCCAGCCAGTTGACATCCTCATCCGAGTCGTCGTCGTCGTCCTCACCGGCGCCGGACCCGGCGCCCATCTGAGCAGACAAATAGCTCGCAAACGTGTCGTTGGCGTGGACTGTGGCAGGGTTGCGCGGCAAGTCAATTTCCACCATCTCCATCACCCAGTACCACACTCGGACTTACCAGCGACATTACCCTCTCCTGGCCCAGCGCCTCCAAATTGGAACGCTCGGTTCAGCGCTTGCGGTCTGCCACCCGCGAGAGGGGCGGCTTGATTCTCTCTGCATTCCTTCAAAGTCTCGTTGACAAAGCTTTCCCAATCGCTCGAGTCTTCCACATTGTTCGCTTTAATGACGCGCGCAATCTCGCCTGGATACCTTTCCAGCAATTTGACCGTCTCTTCGGCAATCAGGAGCATGTGACCCATGTAACCAAGCCTGATTTTGCGTGGACCTGACATGCTCTGCTCGTTCGCGCGATGCCCAGTCACGATGCGCTCCTTCAGCTTTCCAGACTGGAAGACAGTGAGCACCAGTCGTCTGTTGAGTCCCACGTCCATGCGGCCATTGAAGAACTGCTGCAGGATGTCGTACACCACATTGTGCAAGAAATTGTTCCAGTGAAAGTCGAAGAAGAGAGACTGTGCGAGAGCGACGGGCGTCAGCAGCGCCAACAAGGGCGTTTCCAATCGAGTCTTGAGAACTCACCAAAATGGTAGGGATGACGTCGCTCTGAATGAATCTGAGCTTCAGAAGATCGCCCACGACGTATTCTTTGGCTGGTTTGGAGTCCAAGTCGGAGACGTCGATCGGTGAAGGAGGCCCTGACGGAGCCGGCGAAGTGAGATCCGCAAGGCTCATGCCAGACAAAGCCGATGCAATGGACTTTGCGTCCTCATCGTCGTCGTCGCCCGTCTGCGTCGTGTCCGCGAAAGGATCCTCCTCCTCCTCTCCACCGGTCACCGACGACACCTCATTGAGCAGCGCTTCGTCATCCGTATCTTCTGACCCGCTTGCGCCAGTCACCGTGTGCCTAGTCGATGCTTCACGGGAGTGAGAACGACTTCCACTTGGTTTGGCGCTTGAGCCCGATGGCGCCTGTAGCTTTTCTTGTTCCAAATTTGGCTCCTCCACATCCACCACAGAAGCGCTCGGCGTAGCCTCTGAAGCTGTTGCTTCACCTGCTTCAGGCACCGTATGTTCCGGGGTAAGGGCAGTCTCTTTGACGCCACTGGTCACATCTCCCGCCGGCGCTGCAGGTGTGGTTTCGGGAGCATTGCCTTCTTCGGCAACGTCACCACCATGCAGAGTGCGCGCGAGGACCTGCAAGCCGTCAATGCCACCCTGCAGCACTCCGTCCTCGGAATACTGCGGTCCTTCTCCAGGCTTGCGGTTCAGCAGAGCCATATTGGAGCAGTGGAGAAGCTCGGCGTACAGCTCGGTGATGCGATACCTTTCGAATGTCAGAGCTTGGATAGTGCCGTGTGTGGTGGGCAACGTGCCATCCTCCTCGCGCGTTCCGCTACTACCGACACCAGCGCATTCGCGCACGCTGCTTCCACCGCGCTTGAGCAATTCTTGGAAATCCGGCAATCTTTCCGACAAGACGCGCAGCATAGGTCCCAAGTGCACGATGCCCAGCTTCTCCGAAAGCTCAGCCATCGCCTCCTCCATGCCCTCCATTTCGTTGTCTTCTTCCTCCTCCTCCTCCTCATTGTCGTCTTCCAGTCCTGCAGTGGCATCCGCGCTGGCATCTGCATTCTGGCTCTCCGAAACGTTGCTCTCTTCACCTGCATCTCCCGGACCAGCGGCACCTGTCACTTCAGACTCGGAAGATTCGTTAAGCGCTCGTCTTTGACCTGCCTCTTTTGCGGCGCTCCTCGCCTCCGATCTCTTTCTAGCTCTCTGCTCCGCGAGCTCTTGTTGCCTTTGCAGCAAGTGCGTCCTGAGAGTATGGAATAGATGCTGCTCAAAGTAGTCCGAGTTGTTTTTCCTGATGAGTTCGATGAGAATACCAATGCAGGTGACGAGGCTGCTGCTCGCTGTCTCCGACGTGCGGGGAACAGTGGGTGCCGAGACTGGTGGAAAGCTGTAAAACGAAGAGGGCCGCACTGTGGCCACAGAGTCGTGCCTTTCGTCGTGACCAGAAGGTGACAGCGCGCCAGTCGGCACGATGGCGGGCGCTTCAGCTGGCGTCAAGGGCGTCCTGCGCCTCAAGACCTCTTCGACATCATCATCTTCCTCCTCTCCTACAGCAGACTCGTCCGAGCTATTGGTGCCCCCGCCGCTTGGCGGGTCCTCTGGTAATGCACCCAATGTCGAGCTCCGCGCACCTTCTGTAGCTCTCTTCTTTACGCCTGTCGCACTTGTGAAGCCTGAAGATGTGGCGTCCAGGTCCTGGGCGGACAGATCTGCAAGCGCTTGCTCGTCCGCAGCCATGGACAGCCTTCTGTGCAGCTGATCAGGTAGTAATCCGTCATCCAGCATATAGCCAACCATCTTTCGCACAATGGGCTCGCTGGCTAGCTCTCTGACCAGGCGGTTATTGACGCCGCCCAGCTGTTGTTGCTGCTGGCCAAAGGCAGAATCGGTATCGCCTCCTATGCCCGCTGAAGCGCCAAATCCGTGAGCGTCGGTCTGGCTCTGATTCAATCCCGCAGGCGAAGGAGCGGAAAGCGCAATGATGGCTTTCAACAACTCGGATACAGTGTTGTGCAAATCCGTGGAGTGAGTAGGTGAGAGCAGGTCGACGAGTTTAGGTATGAGTTCCCGCGACGATAACCAATCGATGACCCCTGCCCCCGGAACAGCTTCTTCGCATTGTATGATGCGATATAGAAGATCAACCACTGCAGGGGTCTCAAGATGGGCCACGAAGCGATCAGTGATCCGAGGCTGACTGCGGATAAAGTCGAGCATCTGCAAGGTCACACGCGTGGTCAGCGAATGCTTCTAGGGATCCATGCGCCCCGCCTGCCCGGCTTACCTCCTTAGGCTTTCGATCCAAGAAAACACCATTGACCTTCGCCCAATACCCGGCCAGGACACTTCTACCTGGTCCATTCTCTCTAGCAGTGGTGATAGATGGTCCCGAGGTGGGGGAGCCTTGGCTAAGCGCAGTGTCCGAGACTTGCAGTCCAAGCACTCCAGTGCTGCCTTGAGCGTTGTCGGTGGCGCTGGAACCATCTCCCGAAGCATCGTCAGTTGCGTTGCTGCCTTGCTGGTTCTCACTGCCGCCAGATTTGGGCGGTGGACCCCAGGGCACACCTTTGAAAAGGGGGTGCATGTGCTGAGGCGTAGCTGGCTGATTCGGTAGCGCACGGCTGCTCAATACGGCATTCCAGAATGGTTCCAACAAATTGTCCGAGTCCAGCACAGCCTCTACAATAGACCAAATTTCGCACGACAGTACCTCCGAAGCGACGTATGGGTACCTGCATTGCGTGCATGCGAATGGTGTGAGCGTGAGAAGAGAGAGCATCTAGGCATGGCTCCTGTGGATGCCCACTCACTTGAATCTGACCTTCTCCTCCCATTCCTTGCCGCTTCCGCCCGCAACTTGGGCCGTTCCAGTGACATGCTCCAAAAGTCTGCTCAGTATCCGGGGCTGACACAAGAATTGCACCAGCTTTTGATTTTGGGATTTGCACTCTTGCAGCAGCTCCTCTTCATCTAGCACCTCTTCCAAAGTGACGTTGGGCCTGTCCAGTAGAGAGTCTAGCGTAGAGGCGGAGGAGAAACCAAATCGCCACTGTATGTATGCGCAGAAGCGTCGCGTCAGTTGAGACGTCTCTGACTCGCGACAGCGATCCTTGCGCCAAATTGAGATGCAGCATACTCACGAACATGATGGGCTGAGCTAGGGAGCCGAGCCGCTTTGGCAGGTACTTGCGCTATAAGCAACGTGGGACTCCGAATGTGTGGATCGATACAGGAAGCGTCAGGCGCGGGCGGCCCAAAGTAAGAGTGCTAGACGATGAAGTGCAGGTGCTGTAGAGAAGACAGGACAAGTGAGATCGGTGTTGCAGTCAGCTGAACCCCATGAGTGCAAGTGCGAGTGCTGTGATGAAATGCTGCATCTGCTCCGTTGCTGGATGGCGAGTTGAGAGTGCTGAGAGAAGGTCGCCGGCCTAAGATGCGGATGGTGACTGATTGAAGGTGAATTGGTGGACGTCCAGATCAGACACTTCGAGGACTTGGCGAAGGTGCTAAGATGGCGTAGGGAGACTTCGTCACTCCTCCTTTTCTGATCAGAGCCGGGCCCCGGACAGTCGAGAGGTGACAGCAACTAAAGCCAAAGCAAGGGCCGCTGCACTTGGCGTGGATCGTCGTGAAGAAGGTGATGGCACAGCTACTCAATCTGCTTCACAAATCACGACTCGGCGTTGGAGCGGACCCTTATCATCGCACAACCAAATGGCCATTCATTTCCGTCGATCTCGTGCAAACGATTCTTGTTTCACCCAATTCGTGATTCTGCACCCAAACGCGCACGCAACCAACATGCAGCCTCGCGAGCCTCTGATGATGATGAGCTAGCAAAGCGCCCCCCTCTGCAAATCTCTATCACGTGCTACCGCGTGGTGATCCAAATTTTGAATGAAGAATGAAGAATCTGAATCTTGAACATCATCAGCAAGCTTGTATTCTTGATTGAATATCATGAGGAAGCTTAAATTCCAGAATGACGCCGTGAAATCTATTCACGATCACAACTCTCGCTTCAAGATCAAATCGAGGATTCGCTGTCGCGATCCTCATGCAACTGTGAGCGCTAAGTATTGAACGCATTGAAATGTGCAATTCGTCCGGCATGAGCCGGAATCGTAAATCTAGTTGAATTTGAATCTGAATCGAATGTCAATTTGAATCAAGAATCTTCAGGCTGAAAACCGAGTGCGTGTCTCTCGGCCGACTCTGTCCCAAACACGTTTATCGGCTTTATCGGCCGATTCACAATTCGAGGGCGCCGAGCACTCACGACTCTCGCGACCCGTATGGCTCTTGACTGAGGATTTGATGACTGCGTGGCGTGTTCGCCGCGCTAAGTCGACTATACGGTCACGAGTCAAGAGTGGTGAGTATATATATATATGTAGTCAAGAGTACGTGACCTGATGCGGGAGAATGGTTTTGCCGGACGGCGATGTTCGATTGGTGATTCTTAATGACGCGCGCTCGCTGCACGGCAACCTTAGCCAGAAGCTCTGCAAAGAGAGATTTGCCCTTCCTGATCACCATCAGAGGTCGGTCAAAGCAGGAAGAAAGGCGCGAGGCACGAGACCGAGCCACTCAAAGATAAGATGGCGTCGCACAAGACTGAGCTGGAAGAGCTGCACGATTTTGCGCTGCATTTGGCACTGAGTGCAGGAGAAGCTCTTCGAGGCGCTACAGCTTCCCAAATCTCTCGGACTCGAGGTGCATCTTCCTCTGCCTTTGACTATCCTTACCCTTTAGGAGAAGAAGTGGGTCTGCAACCCAGCACGAGTCAGACTGCCTCTGCAAGCTCGCATCCTACATGGGATGAGGGTTACACGCAGGAGGAAAAGGCTGGGAGTACGGATTTAGTGACCAGCACGGATCTCATGCTGGAGCGCTTGATCACGGATAGGATCAGGCAACGATATCCCGATCATCACATCCTGGCCGAAGAAGCGTATGCCAAGGGCGGAAGCAAGGAGTGGAAGCTGGACCCGGTGAGTCCGGGTCATGTGGCATGCGTGGCCTAGCTCGTTGTTCGCAGCGACCCTTGAGAAATCATTGTCGCAGCAGTATTGACTTCCTGGACGCCGCTACACTGCGTGCAGACTGCCACGACTTGGATCATCGATCCCTTGGATGGCACCGTCAATTACGTCCACGGCAATCCGTTAGTGTGCATCTCGCTAAGCGTCGTCCGTTCAGGCTACAGCCTTGAAGAGCCCCTAGTGAGGCGCCGAGCCAAAGCATACGACGTTGATGCTGAGCGCTTGGCACGAGGTCTGAACGCTGCTCAGAAGTCATCTCTAGCCAATCAAGAAGAGCTTTTACCGGTCGTTGGGGTAGTATACGCTCCTATGTTGGGCAGAAGCGGTACACTGTGGTCCGGCGCAAGAGGGTGGGGCGCTTGGCAATATGATCCCACAGAGGATCTCGTGCGAGAACTTGATCTGAACCAGCGCATACAAGCATCTCCAGGACAGAGTGATGCTCCAGACTCTAGCCCCAAAAGCGCACTTCGTTCACTGATCCAAATCTGGTCAAGATCCTTCGAGCCGAACGCATGTCCACCTGCATCCTCATCCTCCTCGATCCCAAACGTCCAAAGACTTCCACTCCAGCCTCGTCCCCTCTCCCATAGCTCTTCAGAATGGCTCTTTGCTTCAGAATGGGGCAAGGATAGACGTGATGTGGTGCAGAGCGTCTCTTACGAGGGTCAGCCGACCAGCGCACCGGGCAATCTGCGGCGCAAGAGGGACACCTTTTACAACCTAGCACTAAACAAGGAGAGTCGGATCGAGAGGGACGGTTCAGGCGTCAAGTCCGCGTCGACTTCTTCTGCTTGTCACAAGTCCGAGTGCGAGTCCCGAGAAGATCTCAAAGGCGCACAATTACGAGGCTTGAGATCTTACGGCTCTGCAGCTCTGGATCTGACGCTATGCGCAGCTGCAAGTGTGGACATCGTTTGGGAAGGAGCAGTATGGGAGTGGGACATTAGCGCTGCTCTTTTGCTCCTGCTCGAATCTGGTGGCGTTTGGACCGACGCCAACGGACCTTCTAATCCACACAACCGTTTCTGGTCCTCCAGCAGCAGCACGGATCAGCCTGTCGGGGCAGATCTGAGGAGTAAAGCTTCAGAGGAAAGGCTACGTTTGGCTATTCAGGAAGAAACATATCCCAATGCCGGTCTGCCTCGCGCAAGTTTGGGAGCTAGAAGGATACTGGCAATCAGAGGAGCTACGGGTCCCGATGCACATGTTGCCCAGCGCGCGGCTGTTCATCAAGTGTGGAAAAGGACGCAGGGCTTGGAATACAGGAGGATGGGAGTGAGGTACGCCATTGAAGAGGAAGACGCCAAGACTGCAAACGCTCCACAAGGCTCGTAGAGGCCTATCCCATGCTTCACAAAGCGTGGAGTCACTCAATCTGGGAAGCTCCATCTGACAATCAAATGAGAGCACGCGCAGCACGAGGTACAATTGGCTGGGCTGTATATGAATTCCTTCTCGAGGACAGAGTTCGACCACAGCTGCTCTGTCTTGAGACCGCGCAATCCGAACGCATCGCCACGTGACGCACTCCTAGCACGATCGTGGCATCAGTCATTCGGGGTATGCAACTCTTGTTCGAACCGCTTTCTTTGTCCATTTGCTAATTCGCGACTGCAAAAGCGGATTTTTGGCAAGCACAAGAGAGAAAGAGGAGGCCTTTTGCGCAGAAATCCTGTTCAATCCTTCAGCTTTTCGAACGTAGCTTTTGCGCCCTCGAGCGTCTCTCTCTCGCTCTTGAGGTGTTGCAACTTTTCCAGAGCTCCCTTTCTAACATCTTCAGGAGTCTTTTCCCACACCTCCTTGTTCTCCGTCTGAGCTTGGACTTTTTCCAAGCCGCTCGTATTCAGTTCCATCTTGGCCACCAGCTTGCTTAGCTCCGCCTCAATATCCACTTTGCCCTTGATGAGCACATGAACGTTGCATGATGCAGAGGGCAAAGATTGCACAGCACAGCCTTCGGGAATCGTCTCGGCTTTGTTCGATGGCGAAGCAGCTTTGACGCTGTCGCAACCCTTGATCAGCGTAGTCAAAATCGCCTCTTGCGACTTGAACACTTCGTAAGCTTGCGCCGAAGTGGCTTCCACATAGGCTGCGGCGAGTCAACAGAAAAGAGAGGGACAACGTCAGTGCTGATCTGCATCAAAGCCATAGCGGACTTCGAGGTCGGCAACTCACCCTCGATGCCCTTCGCAAGTCCGTAATCAGCAGCAAGAGCTCTGATTCCTCGTACAGCGGCCATGACACTCTCGAAGCTTTGTGCGTCAGCTAAGTTGGACCTAACCTTTTGAGCTTCAGGAAACGCAGCCAGCGAGATGCTGGGGACGACGTGGCTCTTGCGCCTAGGCAACCTCTGCCAAAGTTCTTCGGTAACGAAAGGCATGAAGGGGTGAAGCAGCCTGAGACCAGACTCGAGCGCTGTGTACAGCGTCTCCTGCGCTGATGCTCGGGCCGATGCGTCTTCCGCTGAGGGGTCCGTGATAGGTTTGATGGCCTCAATGTACACATCACAAAGCTCGTAAAGCCAAAAGTTGTAGACGGCAGAAGTGGCGCTCATAAAGTTTCTCTGCCCCAGCGCGCTGTTGACTTCTTTGGCTGCCTCATCCAGCTTGTGCAAGATCCACTTTTCTGCCAACGACTCTTTGCCCGATACGTGCTCATCATCCGCTGGCTGAAAGCCGCCTTCGAGCTTGAGCAAAGCAAATCGTGTCGCGTTCCACAGCTTGTTGCAGAACTTCCTGTATCCTTCAACACGGGCAATCTCCAAGTTGATGTCTCTTCCTGCGGCAGTGTAAGCGCAGAGTGCAAAGCGCAACGCATCTGTTCCGCACTGCGGGATACCCTTGGGAAAGTCCTTCTTCTGTCCAGCTTGAGCTTTGAGAATCTCCTTCTCATCCAAGTTGCCCTGTCGGAGCTGATCATGAAGGGCCTGAAGGGGCGCGCCTTGGATGACGTCGATGGGATCGATAACGTTCCCCAAGCTCTTGCTCATCTTGCGTCCATGCGCATCTCGGACCATAGCATGACAGAAAACCTCCTGGAAAGGAATTTTGCCAGTAAAGTGCACACCCAGCATGACCATGCGAGCAACCCAGAAGAAGAGGATGTCCCATCCTGTCTCGAGCATAGAATTTGGGTAGAAGTGTCGGAGGTCCGGCGTCTGCTCTGGCCAGCCCATGATACTGAAAGGCCACAAGCCAGAAGAGAACCAGGTGTCGAGCACATCTTCATCTTGCTTAAGAGTGAACCTGGCATTGGGACCTGCCAATTTTCGGGCGCGCTCTTCTGCCTCGGCAAGATTGCGACCCACTACCCACTGGCTGGAATCGTCTTGCTGCGGGAATATACAAGGGCCGTTAGAACAATGCAGGATTCTTCGTGCACAAGTCACGTACTCACATTCTGATCCTTGCCCTCTATATCTACAAAGTATGCTGGGCAGCGGTGTCCCCACCACAGTTGTCGAGAGATGCACCAATCCTGAATGATGTCCATCCACCTGAAGAACTCTCTTTTGCTCGTGTCCGGCACAATGGTCATCTTTTGCTCTTCCACGGCCTTCACAGCTTCATCAGCAAGGGGTTTGCAGCTGACCCACCACTGCGGCTTGATGAGTGGCTCCACGATATCGCCCGAACGGCTGCACACTGGGACCGACATCGGGTTGTCCTTGGTCTCGACATACAGCCCCTTGGCTTTCAAGGCTTCGACGACGGTCCGCCTAGCAGTGAAGCGCTTGACGCCCGCAAATTCTCCCGCATTATGGTTAAGCGTGCCGTCATCGTTGAGAATGTTGATGAATTCCAGATTGTGCCTTTTGCCAACTTCGTAATCATTGGGATCGTGCGCGGGGGTGATCTTGACGGCACCAGTTCCAAATTCCATGTCGACAGCGATCTCGTCAGTGACAATAGGAATGCGGCGATCTGGAAGGAACGGATGGAGGAGGTGTTTGCCGTGCAAGTGAGTGTATCGCGCATCCTTGGGGTGGACTGCCACAGCGCTATCACCGAGCATGGTCTCGGGACGAGTCGTCGCTACCACGAGACGCTCGCCCGTCGGAGAGTCTGCTACCTCATAGGCAAAGCTTACAATCACTCCAAACTCGATCCTCTCCTTCTCGTCGTAGCCAGGAATGTTGAGTAACGTCCGCCCGCTCAACTGCTTCTGGTCGACCTCGAGCGTTGATAGGGTAGTGTTGAGCTTGCAGCACCAATTCACCAGTCTGCTGGCTCTGTAAATGATGCCCTCCTCGTGCAATTTGCAGAATGCTTCGACGACAGCTTTCGATCGAGTTTCGTCCATCGTGAATGCTTCTCTGCTGTAGTCATAAGATGCGCCCAGACGACGTGTCTGACCGCCGATGCGGCCTTTGTAATCTTGGGACCAGTCGTACACGCGACGCAAGAATTCCTCGCGACCATATTGATGACGGGTCTTCCCTTCCAGCTTGAGCAGTCGCTTCTCCACCACGGCTTGAGTGCTGATAGAAGCGTGATCGTAGCCGGGATTGAAAAGTACGCGCCAGCCTCGCATGCGGTACCATCTGATGAGCGTGTCTTGAATGGAGATGGTCAATGCGTGACCGATGTGGAGCGCTCCAGTGACGTTGGGAGGTGGCGCTGGGATCACGAAGGTCTTATTGGGGTCGTGAGGATCGGACTCGCTGGGTTCAGCAGGCTTAAAGAAGCCCGAGTTTTCCCACCACTCGTACCACGACTCCTCTACATGCGAAGGGTTGTAGCCAGACTCCATGGGCCCAGAGAGATCTGTGAATTGCAGCCATGCAGACAGTGCTCATGAGCTAAGTCATCGGACTGTATGCTGCACGTCCACGTGCTCACCTTTCTTTTCTCCCGATTTGGTATTGTTGACCCACTCCTCCTCAACCGCCTTCTCCTTCTTTGCCTTTGCTTTCTTGCCCTCTCCAGCGGCTGCACCTGCGGCTGCGGCAGGGTTGTTGGCAGCTCGAACAGCTTGCTTGGCAGCAGACTTTGCCAGTCTCTCGGCTTCCTTGGCTGCTTTTTTCATGGCAGACTTGGTCATTGGTTTGTCTCCGTCTTGGGGATCGACGGGAGGGGCGCCTGCTGCCGCAGGAGGAGCAGCGGCAGCATGCTCGCCGGCAGGAGGCTGAACTTTGTCCGACATGGTGCGAGCTAGTCGATGAGAGATCGTCAGCGAAGGACGCGGTCGCCTTCTAGGCGCTAGGACACTGAGTCTGGAGGCAGGAAGACAAGAAGAAGCGGCAGTTATGCACCGAAAGCGTCCGAGTGGTGCGAATAGTCCGCGCATACACTTGACTAGCAAAATGTCTGGGCAGACTATTGATCACGTGTAGGTAAGAGATGTCCGAAATTACAAAGCAGCGATGACGCTCAATTGCTGGTGGAGTGGAGGACAGCGCGAAGGTCGATGTGAGGGACCAAAGACGGTGGAGAGCGCAAGCAGCAAGGCAACCTTTCCTCGCAAGTCTGAGTCACCCTCCGTGACTCGTGACTCCGGTCGGCGCACGGCCATCAAATTTTATGCCCAGGAACGTCAGGGTCACGTGACTGCGCGCGAAGCACTCGTGCGAACACTTTTTGACTCGAGACTCTTGACGCGTGACTTGACGACTCAAGACTATCATATGTGACTTGTGACTCGTGACTCACCACTCTTGACTGTTGACTCGGACACGGAAATGACTCTTGACTTCTAACTGATCGCCGTACGCCGTGTGTGCAATTTTGACTGTATGACCCACGACATTTGATGACTCATCGAGGTCTCGAAGACGCCTGGTCAAGACCATATGAATCCATTCACAACTGCACAGCCCCGAATACAGTTGTGGCATGACTCGCTAGTGACACGAGCAGTTGTGCAAGAGACAACTCGGCCGGATCTTCAAGAAAGCGCATCAACGCATACACATGAAGGACGCCGCATTTTCAGGAGATCGACAAATTTGAGTGCAATCGCACGCTATTCGTGGTAGAGTGGCAGCAGGTGCAATCGTCGAGGCATCAAGAATCATCCTTGAGGCCATTCGTGACGGCAGAGCAGAGCCGAAGCTTATATTGGAGAGCGGAAGATCGGGGTTGGGACCCGATAACTGGCGCGAGTCGAACGTACACGCGGTCAGAGCAAGAGACCAATCAGAGGCTCCTTCGACATCAATTCTCGCCACCGAATTTTTTTGAAGCCCGCGCTTGCTGGGCCTGAGCCACAGATTCCGGAACTTCTCGAGCTCGCCAAGATGGCGTCCAGCAGCAACGTAGGGCTGCACTCTTCGCTGTCCATCCGCTCTGGAATCCACGGAATCAGCGGTGAGTCAGGCCTGCCTGAGGGCCGCAATGACGTCCCTCAGTCTTGTGATTTAAACCATACTCTTTGTGATCTCCGTTCATGTAGAGCTTCTCAAATCTCAACAATTTTGGGACAGCGTGAGGGTGTTGGCGATGGGCGCTCTCACCGGAGCTGCCATTTCCGCCTCGAAAGCCATCTCGGATGCGATCGTGGGCGCGCTCAAACAGTTGATCTTTGTCAACGCCACTTTTCGCGGCAAGGATCAAGCACACAAGTGCGTCCAACTTGAGCTGTTCATGACTCTGTCGCTTTCAACTGATGACAGCTTCTCTCCGCCGTATGCATTTGACGCCCTAGGTGGGTCATGTACCACCTCACACACCACACCGATCTCATCTCTCAACCTAGAGATGTGGAGGTGAGAACAAGGCCAGATGTCATGCTATCAGGATACGGATCCGAGGAAGACTTTGCCCCTGCTAAAGACTCGTCGAATGCGAGCGAAAGCGCGAGCGGTGTTTGGTACTTCCCAAACGAGAGCATGCAGTGAGTGCTAGCCTTTGGTCGAGGTATCACCTTGACTGCAGTAAGTCTCATCTCTTCGCCTTGCTTCGCTGTCGAAGTTTCAAATTCAGGGGCACGCATATATGGGCCAAGAGGAGTAGAGCGTTGGTCGGCGATTCGGAATGGGACGAAGTAAGTGATAGCATTGCCGGCTGTCTACTCGGCCTCATTTCAGCTGACCCCGTATGACTTCCTCAGACTTTGGTTCTTTCGTTCCTCACACTCTCTTCTAGCCCTCTAAGGAACTTCATCAGGCATGTCAAGGAGCAATATGTTGATCAAGAGCTGGGCAAATGCATTGTGTGGCAGTTGGACCGATACGGACAATGGACAGAGTCCAATAGTAGCTCCAAACGGCTGGCCGAGTCTGTGCATCTGCCTATCGGTCAGAAGGAGGGCTTGCTGGGCGACGTCAGGTGGTTTTTGAGCAACGAAACGAGGCGGTGGTATCATGACCGTGAGTAACGTTTCTTCGGTGTCCAGAGAAGCGGCATCGCTAAGCTCAGCTTCCTATCACCTGAATGCTTGCAGGTGGCATACCCTGGAGACGCGGATATCTGTTTCAAGGCATTCCGGGTAGTGGCAAATCCTCCATGGTTCACGTCATGGCCAGTGAGCTATCCATGCACATCTACTCGATATCCCTGTCAAACAACAAGATTGACGATGCGACGTTTCAGGTACGTCTGCGTTCCGAATCAACGTGAAATTTTGCGATGGCTTGTGGGCTCAGCGACGAAACTCTCTCATGCACAGGAATTGGCGCAGAAGGTTCCTGAAAGGAGTATCTTGCTCCTAGAAGATGTCGACGTGGTGAGAAAGAGCAACATCTGACTGCACAGTTTTGCGTCAAGATTGACGCCAATCAGCTCTCTTCCTTTCGTAGGCCTTTGCGAATAGAGAGCAAAAGCTCACCGGCATAACGCTGTCGAGCTTGCTCAATGCAATTGATGGAGTTGGAGCGACAGACGGCCGCATATTAGTCCTCAGCACCAATCGCAAGGAGGTTCTGGACGAGGTGAGAGACAGTGTGAAGCGGATATTTGTGCTCATGATGCCATGTTGAATTGATACCATTCGTTCCTCTGTATGCGCAGGCACTTATCCGGCCGGTGAGTTGTGTATTGCTGCAACATCTTCCTCTTTCCCGCTGACCGCATGCTCTTGCTCACAATTCCGGCAGGGTCGAGTGGACTACGAATTAGCCTTCACACATGCGACTTCTTCTCAAGCCTACGAGCTCTTTTTACGTTGGTACAAGCCAGCGTCTCGTCGTACCGACAGTGGCTCTTTGGCGCACTCGCAAATAGAGAAGCTCCGCTCGGACGAGCAAGATCTGGAGAAGGAGGCACGGTCATTCGCGCAAGCTATACCAAATGAACGAGTCAGCGTCGCAGCGCTGCAGGGTCATTTGTTAAAGTACCCGCACGAACCTCTGAAAGCCGTTCAGACTTTGTCTAGATGGCTTTCAGAGCAAGCAGGTAAGGACGACGCAGTATAAGTCACATACGTCGTCGATAACACAGATTCAGTGAAGCTGGTCAAAGCGTGACAGCGAGCAGGACACGCGATGCAGAGCGGGGTCGTCGTTCGCTACGATCCTGACAGGGACGTGGTCTGGAGCAAGCAATCGCGAGAAGCGTAGTGTAGCAGATCGAGCGTAGTGTCGCGAGCCAGTCGGCTCTTGTCATACGAGATGATCAGCCTGCGGATCCTACCTTCACCGCCTATCTTCAGGAGTGATGCCACGGTGTGCTTCTGACGAGAGCCGCAATGCTTCAAATTCCTCATAATGTATTCGAGCACGCGCTTGCATATTTGACGTCTCAACCGACACGCAGGGTCTGCATTAGATTTCTATATTTTGCTGCGCGTTGATCTTTTGATGGCCTGTATGCCTGCCTCATCTTGGCTCAGGCTCCTTTCCAGCTGGCCTTGTTTCCTCGTTGACTTGACGGCTGTCATTCTCACCCTGCACCTCTCCTTGCTGGCCGGGGCCTTCATTCCCCGCCCAACCTTCTCTAATCTGCTCCAAGACGGATTCGCCCACCAACCTCCTAAGCTCTTCCTCCTCTTCGTTTGTCAATTTCAACTCTGCCCCAGACTCTCCCCTGTCGGCACTTTCGGATCGCAAAGAAGCGCGAGATAAGAGGGACTCTACCTGACTCATCAGCGCTTCCGTCCTCTGGTCGATGAGGTCTCTAGCAGCCGGAGTCAAGCTGGCTCCCTCCTCGTCCTCCAACCTCGAAGTCAATTCACTCTCTTCCTCATCCTCTGGCCCATCTCCAGGTCTCTCATAAAGTCTCTTCTCTCCCGTTATACTTCTCAAATACTCCGCCACCTCTTCAAACCCATTCTCCTCTGCTACTTCAGCCGGCGTATCTCCCGCCTTGTTTTTGTGGAAAGCATCGCCTCCATGCTTGATGAGTAGTTCTGCTATGGCAACTTCTTCGACCACGAACAACGGTGTGTCTCCATCCGAATCTTGAATGTTGACGGCGTTTGATGGAGTTTTGGAATGAGCGAGGAGGAGTTGGAGCGTGCTGCTGTGCGAGTAGGATGCGGCTGCGTGCAGCGGAGTGTAGGTGTTGCTGTCGGGTGCGGTAGGAGAAATATCTGACAGAGGGGCGGCAGAGGGAGTCGAGAGGGGGATTGAGCACCTCCTTCACACGCTACACCGCAGCATGAGGATCACCCGCAGTCGTCGATCCGAGCTCACCCTCTACTTCGATCAGGTATGTGACCCTCTCATCATCCCCCTCTCCAGCTGCGATCCAGATATTGGAAGACTGCGCAGCGGCGGGCGAGACTGCGACTGGCATGGCGTGGCGTGAGATTAAATTGTGGCGCGGGTATGAGGCGGGTACGAGGGCGGGGTCTCAAAGGTGTTGCAGGAGAGACTTTCGTAGTGGTAGCGAAGCGGATTGCGGGAGCTGACTTGGACGCGTGTGGAATGTGTGTGATGACGAACAGCAAGGCTTCTGGAGTCATGAGTCAAGACTTGTGTGAGTCTGATGAGTGTGTGTGTGTCCCTGCTAGTCGTCAGTCCTGTGGCTGGGGTCATGTGCCATGGGCGACGGCGTGGAGGTGCACCGCCGCTGGCCTCACTGCTGCTGGCTCTACACAGGCTCGAAATTTCATCAGAAATTTCAAAGAGCATCCAGTCGTGAGTCACGAGTCCGAGCATACCGGGCGGCAGCAGCGCTGGCCTTGGGTCCCACACGAGGTGATGTGCACAAACACGTGACGAGATTAATCTTTCGTGCAAGAATCACGTGTATTTTGATTGCCTGCAAGCGGCTCGCGGCTCTTCTTGAATTCTTGATTTTTGGTTTTTCCTTTCGTGATGATGCACGATTCACGATTAAACATGGGAAGCGGGCGTGCCTTGATACTTTGGCGCTCTCTACAACCTTGCGCACGTCGACGTATCGAATCTTTGACGTCGTGAGTATTGCTCTGGTAAGCTGCCCAAGGTCACGCCCTCCAACAAGCGATAATCGAGCATTGTCGTCAGTATACATATACAAGCTTTTCAGCCACCCGCCTTCTTCCTACGCAATGGTCAAAAGAGCAGCCGCTTTAGCCCCGGGAGGCGGTCATGCACCAACAACGACGGCGCCAGGCGCGGGCACGGGCAAGGGCAAGCGTAAAGCAGTGTCTGACCAAGCAGAGTCAGACGTCGTCGTCCCATCATCCCCGGCCACCACCGAGAGCTCTTCGAACGGATGTGAGTCGCTAATTGCTTAACATCTCGATCGCCCCCCGGCACTTTCTTGCGCATCTTGCGCGTCCCTTTGCCCTCGCTCGCTCCGCTTACTTTTGCCTCGAAATCTCATCGCATAGTCAAAATCGCACTTTCCTACGTGCACAGTTTTCTGTCAGTGCATTTTCCAGGCTCTGCCGCCGCTCTCGCGACAGAGTCCAAGTCAGGGTCCGGATCCACAAATGGCTCGGATGGTAGACCGACGAAGAGGGCTAGAAAATCGGCAGACATGGTTCAGGAAGTGTTGAGTGGACTGGAAGAGGTGGAGATGGACATGGAAGTGGGTGCTGTGCCTCAAGAGCCCACCGTTGCGTCGAAGGTGGAGCAAGGCACGCGCCAAGTCGCCAAGTCGGACGACAAGGACGGGGACAGTGATAGTGATAGCAGTGACGAGAGCGATTCATCCAGCAGCAGCGACTCATCCTCATCGTCCAGCTCCAATTCAAGCTCAAGCTCGAGCTCCGCCTCCTCCTCTTCCTCCTCTTCCTCCTCTTCCTCCTCTTCATCCTCGTCCTCATCCTCATCCTCATCCGAAGACTCCTCACAACCAACGCCAAGCTCAGCAGGTCGCAAAGCAGCTCAGCCAGTTGTGACGACTGCTACAAGCCCCACAATTACCAGCGATGATGCCTCAGATCCGGGAATCTCTTCACCAGCGAAAGCGGACGCTGAAAAGAAGCAGGCTTCAGAAAGCAAGCAGGCAAGCGAAAGCGGCAGCGACAGCGATACCAGCAGCAGCAGCAGCAGCAGCAGTTCGGATACCGAATCAGAATCGAGTTCCAGCTCGAGTTTGACTTCAGAATCAGACTCGGATTCTGACTCTGATTCTGATTCTGACTCTGACTCTGAATCCGACTCCGATACGGATGCGCAAGAGAAGGAGGCACAAGCAAACGCTGCACTGGTCAAGATCAAGCAAGAGCCAGGAGTGAGTCCTGCAGTGGCAGCGGCAAGAGCAGCAGCAGTCACACCTGTCAGGGTGGTCAAAGCTTCTGAGAGGACCAATGAGAAGACTGGACCAGCAGAGACTGCAACACAGCCGGCTGTGGCGAAGAAGAAGAGCGTCGCAAAGGCTTTACTGGAGAAGAAGCTGGAAAGCGCAAAGGCGAATGCCAAGAAGGCAAAGGCGGACTCGGCTTCGGAATCAGATTCGGCATCGTCCAGCTCTGACTCGAGCTCGAGCTCTGAATCCAATTCGTCCGACAGCTCCAGCTCCAGTTCCAGTTCCGAATCTGAGTCGGGCTCAGACTCCGATTCCGATTCCGATTCCGACTCCTCGTCTTCTTCTTCCTCATCTTCCTCCTCCTCATCATCTTCTGCTTCCTCCTCTTCTTCTTCCTCTTCTTCGTCGTCATCTTCAGCATCAGTGGCAAAGCCTGCCGCCGCCATCTTGGCAGTGGAACCAAAGACGAGCACACCAGTAGTAGCAACAAGCACCGCAGCCACGGCTTCACTCCCGTCCTTGAGCGCTTCGCCCTCCGTCGACACCTCTACCGGCAAGGTAAAGCGTCAAACGGGTGTTCCCTTTTCGCGCATCAAGGCCGACGCTGTCGAGTACGCGCACGACGGCATGAGGGACATGTCATACAGAGCCCTTGTGAGTAGGCGGAGGTCTTTGGCACCTCGTATCGATTCGCGCAAGAAACGTTTGCTGACCCGACCTATGCGTTCTACGAACATCATGCAGGCCGGAACTTCTGGCTATGGAGCTAAAGCGGCGGCAGACTTTGCACCTGCGAAGGGTAAAGCTTTTACAAAGGCAAAGAACAAGATGAAGAGGGGCAATTACAGAGCTGGTGGAGAAGCGATCGACATGGGAAGCAAGTAAGTGGCACCCGTATGCGCGTGCGCCCGCTGGATCGGCGCTTGACGTTCGCTTTGATAGCTGCGCTGACTGCAGAAGCATTGCTTCTTCGCTGCTCAACAGGTCCTTCAAGTTCACGTACGACGATGAATAGGTCTTGATTCCGACATTCCCGCAGCGCATAGGACTCAAATGCTGAACGCCATACGATTCACAAAGTCGCCCCCCCCCCCCCCCAAGTCTAGCGGCGCGATCTTCACACTCCGCTTTTCTCCTACCATATCTGCCCACATACGTCTGATTCGTACGTCACCCTCAGAAGACCCATGAGCACAATGGCTTTCAATTTCTCCTTGCTCTTCGCCCTTTATTGCTGCCATGTTTGAAGCCGCATTTGCGCTTTCACGATTGTGGGTCTGCTGCATACTGATCACTGATGGGCCCCAGCGATACGGTAGCAGGACAGAGGACCGAGTGCTGTGTGTTCCGAGAGATCAGGCGCCACGAGTCTTAATGAGCGCGGCGAGCCTGATGGGAACTTCATTCAAGATTGTGATTCAAGATTCGTGATTCACCATTGTTGTGTACTTGCTTCGCTTTCGACCGTCTGGTGATTGGGCTCTCACGTGATCGGTTGAGGCACGCCCAACGCGCACCGGCGACGCGCGCCTTTGGTCGAGAAGAAGCATGCAGGCAGGTCATGCATTTAAGCAACCGAGCTCGACTCACACTCAACAACTCTGTGACCCGACCTGTTGCCTCCGGACGAACGACCATAGCACGTCAGTCCTGATCAAGCAAGCTGCTCATGTGTATTTCTCGTCGCAACATTGTCAGGCACCAAATTGACCCCGACCTCGAAGCGCAGGCAAGCACGATCGACCCCAACGCCCAATCAAAACCCGTCCAACTGCTCGACCAGTTCGATCAGGGATACTCAACGTTTCTCCAAGTCAAAGTATCGCCTGCCTACAACATTCGCAATGTCCAACTTTGCTTCGACCTCTTCTCGATCTCAGCTGCCTCCGAAACAAGTGGAGATGCTGGAACCGCTAGCCTGGAAACCTGAGCCGCTGAGGGATACTCTACTGCGTGGAATGTTTGCGGGTGATTGGGCCGATGAAGACACTGTCAATGTAAGTTCGGTCAGCAGAGAGTGGCTGTACTGACGTGCCTACTGGTACCAACGTGACCGCGTGTAATGCTGACACGCTCGAACCGCGGTGCCTTTCTCGTCCTACTCGTGATCACTCCTCGACAGTTTCTCGTCTCTTCTTACATAGTCTTTTCCAATCTCAAGCAAATCATCCAGCCTCAGTCTAGCGCGCGCGACGAAGCCTTTTCCAGCAGATCCTCCTTTCTGGGAGCGGCCTCTCACTCACGTCAAACAGTCTCGATTACAGCCGAGACCATCTCTCGCCTGTCTAGAGTATCCACCAACCTTTACTCCCGCGATCTGACCACATTTCAGAGGCGGTTGGGAAGCAGGCTAGAAGAGCTATCGGAGTTGACTTCTTCCAATGCCACTTCGAACGAGACGAGAAAGGAATTAAAGGCGGAGCTGGAAGGCCTGAGGCGAAGAGCTAGCTGCTGCGCGGAAGCGAGACAGATCCTCTCGCTGGCTACGACGATGTATCTGCCACAGGACGGAGAAGGCATGGGAATCGTCGGGGAGGAGCTGCTCAATTGGGTGAACATCATCGATCCAGGTGAGTGGCGCGCTGAGTTAGGCGCTCATGATCATATGCGTGTGGGAGCACTTCTCACTCTGCCCTTTGCTGAGCATCTTGACCCGCCACGCGCAGCTCCTTCCACTGAGGAAGGAAGGCTAGTCATTTCGTCTGCCGTGCCTTACGAGCACGCTCAATACTGGGACTACCTTCTCCGACTCACCATCAGAGGATTCAACAAGAGCGCAGCTACACTGCTGCGTAGTCTGTCAACTCACCAATCGTCCACCATCGCTCGCCTCTCCGTAGAGGTGGCAGAGCTGTTCGACACCCTTCCACGCTCCACCAGCTTTGGTACGGAAAGGCAATTTGTCAACACTCGAAGGAGCTGGGTGCTCGGTGTTCGAGCTCTGCTCTCCAGACTCGAAAAGGACATGGATCGAGCCGAATTGGAACTGGCTGGCGGTGCGGACGAAGCCGAAGGTGAAGCGTCTGGAGGCAGCGGTAGATTCGATGCATCAAAGAAACGAGCAAGCTTCTCCAGCGAAGAAGCTGAAGATGCCAGGCTGGAGTATGAAGCGCAATTCAGGTGCTTGTTGGAAATAGTGGCGGGTGTGGCGGGCAGAACATTCGAAGCTTGTCAAGATTGGAAAGAAGCTCTGGGCGCTTGGGGAGTGTATGTGCTTCCCACCATGCGCAGGGAGAATGTGCCGTGAGTTGAGCACTGCTTTTGAGAAAACATGACGTCTGTCCTTCACAGGGTGACTACGTTGATTTTCGAAGACTGACGTCTGCAGAGACCGTGCTTCGCACAGCGAGACTATGCGGCAAATTCTCAAAGAGTTGCCCATCGATCAGGCGTCGGATGGCGAAAGTTTGCTGTCCTTAATAGCAGGCGGTGAGACCAGCCAGGTGAGTACGCAGCAGCTTCAATAAGCACACGCAGCACAAGCTTCGAACGGGCATTGTGGGCACAATTGATGTGGTCTCTCAATCTTCTGCCTCGCATACAGCTGGTTCAAAAACTTTTGCAGTACGACGCTTGGCTCGCCGTGCACCTCATTGATCTTCTCGACAAGGCGGGCATCGCAGATGACGAGACGTGAGTGTTGTCCCATGATCGGCCACCCCTGATTGCATCGGCTTGCCGCCTTCATGCGCTCACCGTGCTATTGCGTTCGCACTGACCTCGACTTGCGTCTACAGCGCGCGGGGCATTGCGATTGAGCAATACGCAGAGACTCTTTTGGACGATTCGGGTCTTTGGCGCCTGTCTGTGGACTATCTCGGCTGCATTTTATCTGCCGAGCAGTCTTTACCCCTATCAGCGACAGAGCGCATCCGCGTCCGTATGCGAGACATCATTCTCTCGGTACCTCTGGACGAGTCCAAGTCGTCCTCGACTACTACAGATGCCATTTACAATTCTCGGCTATCACTCAAGACACTAGCAGAGTTGGAAGGGGAACGAGCGCAAGAGGAGATGGATGAGGACTCGGACGATCCGGATGCTGCGAAGGAGAGAAGAGCACAACGGGCGAAAGAAGAGAGTGAGAAGAGGGGCAACGCGTTCGCTAGGGAAGTGGAGCAGGTGCTCGGCGCATGTGTGGCTCACAGACTTGAGGGTGAGGCCCGAGCTGTGTGCAAAGTGAGTGCCAATTTTTTTCGATGCCACAATGAGCGGTCAGAAGGCTCAGCATAGTCAAAGTACCCTTGCACCCTTCAGAGGGTGGCCAAGCACAAAGCCGCTTCGGGCCAGTATGGACTGGCTATAGCGTACTGCGTTCGGGCGGGTGACGCGCGTCAAGTCAGACGTATCGCGGATGCCATCCTTGAAGAATACGTGATCAGAGGAGCAGACGTGTTTTGCAAATTGGTGGACGACATCCCTAGAAGTCTTTTGGATGGTCTGCCCACCTCGAAGAGCAACGAGAAGGTGGACGCCCAAGATGAAAATGTGGAATTGAATGAGGAGTACGGATCCGGAAGAAGCTTGATCTCCGGTAGGCTGGCGTTCCTGGCCAGGTATCGAGACTTTCATCACCTATACGCCGAGAGAAGACTGAGAGAAGCTGCAGAGTTGCTCGTCTTGCTCCTCACAAGCAATGTGGCCCCAGAGCGCTTTTGGGCAGTCTTGATCATCGATGCCATACCATTGCTCGAGAGTGAGTTGCCTGCTCCTAGCTTTCTAGCCACAGCTGCAAATAGCTTCGCTCGTGAGCGATTGGCTGATTCGAAGAGTTCCCACTGCGGATAGGCGAGGAGAACTTGTTCACTACCGAGGAGACATTCGATCTCTTGCGTGTCGTGGAACAAATCTTATCTAGCATCAGCGGACCTGGCGCCAGTGCCGACACGCAGCACTTTTTGGGTTACGTAGAGAGGCTCCTCTCTCCTGCCGAGTCAGTGACGGAAACAGCCGCGCTTCGGCGAGACCTCGCCGACATTGATGTCGATGCTGCTAAACAAAGGCTAGACGTGGCAAGGTTCGGATTGGCTCGCCAGCTCGCTCGCAATTGCGGCGCGGGCGGACCACTGCTTTGAGATTTCGGGGGAATCGAGGTGCATTCGCAAAGCAAGTATAACAATCTCAAAAATACAATAATGTCACCCGCCTCGTGAGCCCAGTGAAGAGACCAGAGCTACATTGCAATTCCCTTCTCGCCGTCATCATCAAAGTGAAATGTGGAAGCGCTTCGTTGAGTCTTTGCCATCGAATTTGACCGAGAAGCCTCGGCATTGGATATGAACGAAGCTCCTCCAAAGTCTTCGCGAGATGCATCGCCCCCCGGAAAGGCGACGTCGGGAGAGAATGAAGCTCCTTCGTCTTCGTCTTCGGGTATATTGTCTTGGCGGTGATGAGGGTCTGGAATCAGTTGTGTCGTCGCCATCTCGTTGGGCGCCCCTGCGCCACTGAAGCGGATTCGAGAAGCTGATTGCGAAGCCCAATTGGTGCTCGTCATTCCGATTTCAGCGTCCGAGCCTGCTGCGTTCTGTCGTCTTCTGCCCAAGGCAAAGGCTCCAAGTGACGACGAAGGCTTGGATGCTCTCCGACTGCCATTTGCTGCGCCATTGCTCGTGTATCTTCTCGACGCTATCCCCTGAGCTCCTCGTTCAGTCGTGGTCATGCCGACGGTGCCATTTGTGCTATTTCCGCTCCGTAGACTAGAAAAGATTGGTTCGAAAGCGTTGAGCCAGATGATGACGAGGACCAGACCACCGCATACGCAGTTTAGCCAACCCGTAGCCAGATTAATCCCAGAATAGACGCGCACAATCGCTTGAGGGGCGTCCGATCTTGCTGTCCACTCGATAGCCACTGAAGCGCAGTATGACACGGCTACAGCGTAGAGGAAGATGGCGATGAGGATGCTGGACCAGATGGTCAGCAGATTGCGCAGAGCTTCATTCAGCAGCTTGACTCGCGACCGATGTGTTCGCGGTGCGCCAACATTGCCGTCCATGCGCACAGGTGGCCAGAACGTGGAGCGCGCTTGCAGCTCTGCTTCTTCGTCGAGGTAAGTCTGGGCTTGACGCGCACGCTCGATCATTGCAGCGTGCGTCTCCGCTTCCTTTCCTTTGCGCACATTGCCCTTCCCAACAGCTTGCGGAGCAGGCGTGGACGAGCTGATCGGAGAGTTCGCCTCAAACTGGGCTTCCTCGTCATCTTTTTGGAGCTTGCCGGGAGCGGCAATGTCCACGACGCCGGTCTCGGCAAGCGCTGCTTCCTCGGCGGGGCTCTGACAGTCCTCGGAGCGAGTATCGCCTTCCGCATCCGTCCACACTGGCCGATTGTGAGGAGTGACTCCTTCCTTTCTGGCGAGTTCTCCAAGAGCCAGCTGTTCCCTGATTTGCTTGCGGATGGTTCTTTGAAGCTCAAAACCGACGAAGAAGTAGAACAAACCAAATCCGTAGGCCCAGAAGCACCAGACCAAGAATCCCAATCCCAACCACCAAATCGCGTCCTCGGCTTCTTCCCAGATATCATACGCTTGAGACAGCACTTCTGGAGTTATGCTGCCGCTCGCGTTAGCTTGCTGCCCATCCCAAATCTGCCACATGTGCACCGCTTTGTCCCATCTGAGTCCAAAAGGGACAGTGATGCCGACGGTGCAGCCCACCAGCAGCGAGGGGGTGCCGACGAGGATGAGATTGCACATGAAAGGATTCGGAATCCACTTGCGTGCGTCGGTCCAAGAGGTTGCATGGTACCGCATCGATTGCCAGCCTGGTGAAGCGTACAAAGTGCCCCAGGCTCCTAACCAGGCTGCGATCCATAGAGGCAGCCACGGCAAAAGGATCATCCATCCTGCTACCGTTGGGGTAACTCCCCAATGATGAACACCGATGAGAAGCTGTGTCGCGGAGAGTTCAAAGCCGAGTGAGTTCACATTGGCGTGCGAGTCGAGGGCATCGATCCCACCCAAGTGAAGGCAAGCCACACGCCAATGAATACGCAGGCGACCAGCGTGAAGGCAAGAATGGTGTGCGGAACGAGGATCCTGCAGCCTCCGACGGTCTCTTGAATCCGGATGATCCATAGCTGCTTGGTGTACAACCTTCTGCCCAGCACCATAGCTCCTAGAACAGCGATGACTCCGATCACGCCAGTAATGACGTACAGCTGAATGAAATAATGTTGAGGAAATTGCCAGACACTACCAAAGCAAGACGCAAAGAGAATTGTCAATAACAACGCGAAGAGTACGTGCTGGGTAAGATCAAAGACTCACAAGAAGTCGTGCCAGAATGTGCGCAAGGCCGCGAGGGGATCCGCAGAGGTGAAGATACCATCGGGCAAGTGCAAGTCTGACCTTGCGGGAGGCGAAGCTTCAAACCGCCGTGTCAGACCTCGACTGAGCACGTTACCTACTTTCAATCCGACTCCTGCCCCCAGACTGCGTTTGTCTGGTGTGTCGAGGGGGCTGAATATATGGGCAGCTGAGACTGCTTGGGCAAGAGCTATCAGCGATGCGAGGCAGAGCTTCTGCAATTTGCTTCGCATCCTGAGCTTCCGTGTGCACCAGCAGATCTGATCTTGTCTTGCTCTCTACCGAGCGCTTCGCTTGACCGTTTGGATGATCGGAAGGGTACGATGTGTTTGCCAGTCCAGCTGGTGCGCTCTTGCAGTATAAATTTTGGGGGAGGGTGAATGATCCGTGTGGGGGAACGGTAAGGTGGAGAGAAAGTGGCGAGCCGGGTGAGGGGCTTCACCGCATCTCTGCTTTGACGGGTTCGCCGCTTTTCATCTTCTGCGGATGTGCCGACTACACAAAGCAGGCAAGATCGGGAGCAAAGGGCTTCCAAAGCGAGACCTCGACAGCGAGTGTGACCCTTCGTCAAGGATCATAAAAGGTGCATGACGAAAGGCACGCTGACACTTGGTGACGCTCTGCGGAGAATACTCCACTAGCGTCACGATGAACTCTCCCTTCCATGAGAAGCGGCAGTCACAGTGAGTGGCACGCCTCGCTGCAGCTCCTTTCCTCTGTCTCATTCGTGATTCGGAGGCGTGCAAGTCTGAACGGCTGCAAAAGCGCTTGGCGTGTGTATACACTCAGACCACTTCGGGTCAAGAAGCGACATGTGTGATCTTCATTCGTCCTGCGTGTCTGTAAAGACTGCATGTACCTGGTCTGGGCCGGAAGGCACTGTTCACACTCTACTGTGCCTCTTCCCCACATTATGTCCGTCGCGTCAGGACGACCAACCCCGTAGCTCTCGATCAGATTTAGGGCGTCAAGACTCCGCTCCTTCGACGCTTGCCACTTTGTCGAAGACGATCATTCACTTCGTGCCATCAGGCGTCGTCTCGATGTAGCAGCGCTTCGGGAGTGCAAAACTTGATGCGCTGCTAGGCGGCAAGGCTAGGCTAGTCTTTTGCGGAGATTTCTCTTTCGTCCTGCTGTTGCTGCTGCATGCGGGCCTGCTGCAGCGGGATCGCCGTTCGGATGGAAGCATGTCCTGCCGCCTGCCCCTCTCCAACACCCCTGCTGTGCTGCTGCTGAGCGGCTGTTGCGCGCAAGTGTGAGTTGCGGATTGGAAGCTTTTTTGGCCATCGTGATCCGTAAGTGAGCAGGGGCATATCATAGCGAACTTATTGCCCCAGGTGGAATTTTGAACTCGAAATCCGAAAGGTCAAGTGACGATAAATGCCACTTTCAAAATGTCGACACCGAGACCAAATTGCCCCCGGAAGCGCACTCAGAAGAGTCTTTCGCTGCACGGCCAAGCTTGAGCAGGCTTGGATATCTAGGAGATTCCGGCAGATCTACATCATACCGTGCGCAGTGCAAGTGAATGGAAATCCTGACCTTCTCCGCTGATGAGCTCTTCTTGTCATCCTAGCGCGGATCCTCCCCGTGCGCACCTACTACTCGAAGTGAGGCAGGCCGTCGGGGAATTTGAGCGGCCTTGTCCATCGTGAAATTACGTCCTGATCTAAGCTAGCTGCTGCAAGCGGCCCTGCTGCTGCTTTTGATTACGAATGCGCATACCGCATGGGAATCTTGATCGAGCACGGGTGACTCCACTCCCAACCCTACTACCGGTACATGCACTACGATTGTACCTACTACCCGCACTACCTATCAAGGTACCTACAGCCCCGGCAAGCCAAACAGCGAAACAAACGGTGCCCCTTTGGCTGCCGCAGCAGACGGCTGTGCGGGATCGCTAACTTTACCAAACGGTACAGGTACAAGTACCTACATTCGTCATTGTCCTCGCTTCTGCAACACGAAGCGAGCAGCGGGACGGGACAACTTCGAGCTTGCGAATGGGGACGGGAGCGTCGTCCGTAAGATGACACCGTCCGAGCGGTGCATGGGTCCAACGCGTTGACGGAGCAAGTTGCCCAAAAAAGACTTGTTACTCTTTCCCTTAGCTCAATTTAGACAAAACTGCACATGATGAAGAAGATCAAGTTCTCCCCCCCC